ATGACACCGAAAAGCCTTACAAAATGACAATGTTTCAGGTTGAATTATTTTCATCATCTAAAATGGATCAGAGACAGTAAATTCAAGAAGGAGTTAAAAATAATCATAATCTGACAGTTAACAATCAAGTAGCATTAAAAAAGTGCAGTTCTGATATCAAAACTTTGATTTCAAACTCTTTGATTTCAAACTCTGATTTCAAAACTCAACGAAATAAAGCTTCTATTTTGTGAAAGCAGAGAGTAATAACAACTCCTAAAACATGTCAAACGTTAACTAAACACTGAAAAGTGATCTATCCAGTCATAGAAAATATCAAATATAACCAAATACTGTGTTCAAGTATGAAAACAAAAAATGATTTTTACGCCTCACAAAATGACATTTTTTAAATTTTTTCAAAGTATAGAAAATGTTCCTTTTTAAATATATTTTGGTAAAAACAGAACTGGTATAATAGAAACAACATATATATCTAACAGTAAGACACGTGAAAGAATAATGAAACTTTTTTCCAAATCGTATTTGAAGTGATGCCGTTTTGGGTTGTCATTTTGTAAGGCACTATCTCACGCGAAATTGCCCAACTTTTTTTAATCATCCTTTTTCCTGTAAAAGCTATTCTACTCTTCAATCTATTATATTTATCTAACTGTCCTAGGTGAAATCAAATTTCTATAGGCTGCTGTTAAAAAAATGACAGCCGTGACGAAATTGTCATTTTGTAAGGCATGTTTTTTTGGAAGATTTCAAAGATGACAATTTTTATCGCAAAATTTACGGTTTATCAATCAAATCAACCCCCGGGAAGAAAAATATACCTGTTGAACTACCTATCTGGATAATAAAACATGAACAAAACTCATTTTTGTGCATTTCAGAGCCATCTCCTTTTTCGTGTCATTTTGTAAGGCCGATACCCGTACAGCCGATTTAAATATAAAACACTTTAAACACAACGTAATTACCACAAAACCGATCAAAATTACGTTAAAAAAATCTTTGCACGTGCATGTGTGCATTAAAACACCGTTGCTATGGAACCTTTTGGTTGTTACCTAAATTCCTATTTTCATCTAATTTGCTTGTGGGCGGTCGTACATACAACAGAAAGAATTCTCTGAATTATAGACTTAGAGATTTGGGTTCCTTTTCTGTATTTATTATTTAGACTATATTCTTAGTTTCTACTTCAACTCTTCAACTATCAACACAGTCTATCTTGTGAGCCTTTGTAGACACTTTTGTTAATGTTGTGTTATATATAACTAACAATGGGCTTGCTTTGAGAATTGAGACGTAGACTGGAATTTGTGTTGGAACGTTTCGTTATTATAATTACAGGCAAGGTTTGCAGAGAGGATTATGTGCGCTATAGTCCAACTAATCTTTGCTCCTTGGTCAGGTATTAGAAATAGTGGAGTCGTGGCTCTGTAGGGTATGTTCACAGTTTTTTATATATATATTATCTTAATTGCCAACTAAGGAGATAACAATCAGCATGTTGGCAATAATATGACTATATAATATTGCATTCCCCGTTTAAGGTGTCCTTACGTTATGAAGCCTCATATGTATTAAGTTGAATATGTTATGTGAATATGCATTATGCAAGATATCATAATATTTTGTGAGAGTTGTGTAAGCTTCATTAAAGTAGCCGTCACAATCGATCATGTTTACCGTTTCTTGCGCCATGTTTTATAGATTGACAAATATATCGACCCAGCCCCGATTACTCAATTACCTGAATGTAATTACCCTCTTGACAGTGGGCTGTCAGTGGCACCTGAATGGATTCCGGCTCAGTGTTGGCCAATTGCCTGGATTGTATCAGTCACTACAACAAACACCTTATTATTATTTTTATCCTGGACACAAATTTACGCTTATGCTTTAATCGCTCTCTCTCATAAGTTTATGTTTTAAAATATAAGAATGTTTCATTCTCTCTCGGAAGCTCCGGCTCGGCTCTATATTATTATTGTGAAAAGATTGCTGTTCAGTTTTTACAAAGTTGCATTTACAGTGAAACACCGATTTACTGCTAACCCCGATTTACAGCTGGCAATTTTCTTCCCTAAAATTAGAGCTTTACATACAATATGGGAACAATCGAAACCCGGCTGTTGCCTGTTAGCTGTTGCTTACTTTCCCCAATACTCCGCAGTAAACTGTATATTATTTTAATGAAAAACATAAACTCAGATTCATCTGCCTTAGTTCGTAGCTTTTTGTTCTCGGTTTTCAATTATTTTGTGATACCAAACTCCTTCCAGAAAAATGTTACATGATGAACTTTCACTGTTATAATATTATACCTTGTTGCTCTACTTCCCACAGTTGGATATTATAATATGAATAAGAGATATTTAAGGACGTGTTGCGTTTTGTGTTTGTGATTATAAAACATTGATTAATACCGACACTTATTAGACAAGGTTTATCACAATTCACAACACGCATATTCAGTTGCCAATGACTTTTTTTATAATATAAATATAATATGTATAATATGGTTCTGTACTACACAATTTAAATAGTTCTGTTCTTAGTTTTAAACGCGATTACTTGACAGTAGGCTATTGTGTTTCTGAATCTAACTTAAAATCATACTACTACCGAAACATCAAAATATTATTACATTATAGATCATTACATTTTATCATTCTATCATTCCATATTGATTAGCATTCCTCGGCCTCCGTAGCATTCCTATTGAATAAAATTACGCTAGTCTTCATTGAATTCTGTTCATTTTACATTGGAATGGTAAAATTAAATGATATTTATGTAGTGTTGAAATTGTGACGACTGCAATAAATAAATAAGTTTTCAATTTCATTAGTTTTAACTGTAAAACACTCGAAATCTTTGACGATTCGTCTGTTTGTAAGTTTGTAAGACGTCAGTTGATCACGTTTTGTGGAACCAAGCAGCAACTCTTTAGTAAAAATTTAGTTTTTATCTAATTTCCTTTTAGAAGTGACCAATCCCACAGTGCTGTACTATCACGCATATTTATTTCATATTTATTTCATTACGTTAATTCATTACTTATCATGAATTTATCAATATATTCGTAACATCAATTACATATTATGTGATTTACTTTATGACTTGCTTTACTTAATGAATTAAAAGGCCGGAGTAGCGTATTCTGAAGAGGTGACTTGAGTTTACTTTGACACAGCTTTTAGATGCTTCATTTTTTATTAACAAAATATAATCTCTAGTGTTAATTGCGGTGTAAATTTAATCCTAATTATACTTTGAATTATTCTTTCATCGTCTTAGTCTGTCAGACGTAAGTTTTGTTATAACATCGAGGAAGGTTGCTCTCACTCTGTAAATAGTTTGACAGTTTGACCGTGAAATAACGTGCTGTAACTTAGTTTTATGACTGCATGATGTAAGTTAGTTAAAGAGTGCCAACCATACTACACATTGCATTAGGCTTCCTGTAAACATAAAATCGAACTTTTGTTTAACTGATGAATCTTAGCTTGGGAAATACCGTCGAGAAGTTAAATCACGTTTCACTTGTTAAGTCGTTACCTTGTTAAAAGTGTATCTCCTACATAAAAAATGGGTAGACTTAACTGTTTACTTTTTTTCTCTGTTTTTCGTTCCCGGTTTCACTTTTGAAATTATTAGTTCTGATTTAAAACTCCTTCCAGAACAATGTTACGAAAGATTCTCCTACTCACTCTCACTCTCTCCCTTGCTGCCCTCTCTCCCGTACCAGAAAATAAAGAATCGCAGTTAACAGAGGATGCGATAGCAGCTTTAGTAGTCGCCTCCCTAGCCCTAGCATTTGCAGTTCTCATCTTCTGTAGAATGTGTTATCTAAACCGTAGAAAGAGACTCATCCTGTCTGAAGACTCCACCATCAGTGAAGCAGCTTACCCAGCTCCGGGACCGTGTCTCCAGAAATACGACCCCGGAGTTGATCCTCAGTTTGGACAGTTAGACCCTCCGCCTCCTTACCACCTGACAGCTGAACCAGGTTGGCATCACGTGACACGTCACGTGGGCGCTAATCGCTCAGCTCCTCAGTATCCTGGAAGAGCTTACTCTGAGGGAACTTCTTCCAGTCAGCTAGCTCCACCACTGTATGAGACTTTGGGTTATAGGGAAAATTGCCAGACTCAGTGTTATCGTAATCGTACTGTTGATGACTAAATTTGAGTTTTTTTAGAATCATAAAATACAGACTCTTACTGTTCATTGCATTATCTTGTATTTCAAATCATTGGCTGTGGTGTACTATGCTGATTTCATATTTAACATGTACAAATTGTAAGTCCTCTGTACCAAAAAAAGAGGAAATAGGTTGAATCAATGATATATGAAGTAACCAACCAAATACTTCTCAATATTTTTAAATGGGTGTAGTGCTGCAGTGTGTGCAAAGAATTGTTTTCTTCGCCCTCAAATTTATTTTCAACGCCAATGGAAATTTGTTGTAAATTTCGAGAAATTTGTAACTTTTGATGATAGTTCAAACATTTTACTAAGAAACTCTACCTTTTGTGCTTGAACCTACATTATTCTTGATGAAGTTGACGAATAAACGGTTTTCAATTGTGTACCACACACTTTTACTAGTTTCACAAGATTCAATGTTACATGCATTGTGCAAATGACATTTCCTATGCGGTCTCGGAATTATCTTAAATCACTGATTGGTAAGTTATTCGAGTTTGGTATGTTGCCAGTTACAAAGTAGAATGAGGAAACAATTGATGAGGAGTTGAACAATTGTTCGAATATATTATTGAGTCTCTATATTATATATAATGAAGATGAAACAGTACTCGGTCAACATCTGATATCTTGTAAAGAAGTTCACGCCTAAGAATTCCTTAACAGAGACACGATGCAGTACTAATTGTATAGATAGCAAGAGTATTTGAAGCACTAGCTGAATATTCCTGTACAGCTGGAAGCTCTCAGTATCTGAAATACAAACTGTTACAGAAGATGTACAAGCTAACCTGAGTGAGCAGGAAGCGAAGACACTGAGATTTGTTGTGTTTGATCGCATAGAATAACGGTGTCTGAAGTTCCTTGTCCATGGCTTCTAGAGTCAGTGTACCTGCACCTATATGGCGGGTTAACTCCTGAAATTGGTTTACATCTCAATCGTCTGATCGTTTAATTTGTTAATTAATTACTGTACTACCAGCTTCGAAGAAAGAGGAAAATTATTTCATTAAAACATTACGCTGATGTGATAGTCAAAATAGCATGTCTTGAGTATTAACTTTGGTTAATTCGTTCGGGAAAATAATTGAACTAGTGGGATTTTTCTTGTCGAAACATGTCCCACGATCATGTGGCAGTGAATTGTTTAAAGAGGTGAGATTGTCAATAGATAATTTGTGTAAAATTACTGATGTTTGAACAAATAACCCGGATATCAGTGCAATTGTTTAAGGATAAGTTAATCAGCAAACCTTGAGAGTAGCCACACTCCCGCTTTTAACTGCAGCATGTAAGGGTGTCATGCCCGTGTCCTTTACTCTGAAGTTCATTCTATCTGGATTACCTTCTAACAGGTATGAAACCTGTGCGGTAAAAGAAGATAATTTTCAGAACATTCTTTTTAATTTAACAGCTGTCTTGAGCTCTGTTTTTTGTGGTCGATGTGAGATGAATACACAAGATATCAGTTATACAGTTATTATACTCGTACAAAAATCTTGTAAATAATTTTTGGCTGGAAATCTAAAATCCTATCCAATATCCGTGTGCGAATGTTGAACACAGTGCAATACTGTAATATGTTTATGATATCACGTTTACCTTGGCAGTGTCCCCTTTAAGGGCGGCGTAGTATAGAGTCTGATTGTTGAATCTGTGGTTATATTGATTGTCTCTGGGAAAGTGTAACTCAATCATTTTCGGGAAAAAAACTATGTTTCATTTGAACTTTGCATTCATCAGCAAAACACAGTGCATTTAGTTCTCAAGATCAAAAATTAAAACGGGTTATTGTAGAAACTGTTCCAGTACCTGTAAAACAACTGTCATTAATATTCAAACTCACTGTTTAGAATTAGTATCAAGTTTGCGTCTTTTAGCACCCTCATCCGGCTCCGAACCCCCCTCCTCCTCCAGCGTGACTTGTTGGGGAGAGTCAGGTTTAGGTTCCACCACTACAGGCAGGGGCTGCATTCCACCTGTACTGAGGGCTTTGTGGGGGGATCTCATGGGGGAACCATGGGGACTTGTGCACTGAGGGGTTATGTGACGTAACTGTCAGATACTTATAATGGGGATATATCTTAAACATGGAGATAAAACTGGTTTTATAAAGATAATGTTATTCGTATGATGATTGAACATGCATGAGGTGAATTAGATATGAACGTGAGCTATAATCAGGGTTTTCATTGTTTAAATTTTCCAAGCTGTATTATGAGTGCTTTGAAAAATACTTTTAACTCACCACAGACCGCTCAATATTTTTCTCTTCCTCACCGTCACTGTCATCAAGGGTTATTGGGGCCTCCGAGGAGCCCTGCTCCACATCAATCACCGGAGGTTTGTGTTTTAGACAACTTGTACACATTCTGTAGGTCGTAAATTGTTACTCCTCAATTTTATGCAAAATAAAATAATAACAATAAATCGGAGAAGTTTACTAGATCAATTGGTATATTTCATGACTACATTTGATGGCACAATGGAACAGAGAAGAAGCTGCCACGATTTAACTTGAAATAAGAAATTGATTCGATAACTGTCAAATGGCTGCCTAATGTTGCAGAGTAAGCTATTAAGTATTGAGGCAGTTAAAATATTAAACCAAATAATCATACCTTTGGTGTCTGAATGGTACTGGAAATTTGAAATAGCCCCCAGCCATGGGTCTCCGGTTGTCTGTGATGGGGCCTTGTGACTGGGTTAATTGTGAGGAGGGTGAGGGTTGTTGTTGAGCTTGCTGTCCTGTGTTCAGACTGATGTTGATATTAAACTGCGGGGTCTGCAAAGAAGGGATTGTAAGCGCAAGCTTGAGTATAATATAACAAAGGTTATCATAAATATTTAACAATCATCTTCAAAGGACTGAACTGTTATAGTGTTATCAGTACATGAAATATTATACCATGTTTGATGATAAATAGATGACAATAACTTACTAACCTGTTGAATGGGTTGATTTGGATGAGAAATGGCAGCTGCAGCAGCAACAGGGGGATTGGGGGCTACCTCATTAACTGACACAGTGCTGTTAGCATCACTCTTATCTTGGATAACACTAACTACTGGGGTCACTGCTGCAGTGGGCTTCTTAATAGGGAGGATGTTGTTGACGTTTGGACTCACTACATTGGTAGGCGGCTCTGTCATTCTGAATTAATTTTATACTAATCATAGAGTTTACATGAAACTTAATCATATAATCATGCTCCTAGTTAGTATAGTGATTCAGACTTGTTTGCGAAGTTCCTGGAGATCAATCATTTTTCAAGCTTGAACCCACAAAAACACTCTTCAAGGAGACTGAAATTCTTTCTGTTCACAATCGGTACTCATACCAAATTCAAAATCTTCCAACGACCTATGTCACCTTGCGGATAATCAATAACTTCCTGTTATCTCGCAAAGTACGGCTGAGGGTTGACAACAGTCTCGGATTCCAACGCTCATGTGGATGGTTTGGGCTTCCCCAAGGCTCTGTCCTTGCACCTCTGCTATTTATCCTCTACATCTCGGATATGTTATGTAAGGACCAGCTTCCACTGGAATGCAGCTCTAACTCAAGTCTATTCAAATATGCGGACGATGGAAGCATAGCAGTATCCCACATGGATCCTATATATGTGCTCACCGGATAATGCAGCTGATGTGCAAATACCTTCATGTCTGGTGCAGTAAATGGAAACTAATCCCGAACTGTGATAAAAACAAAACTGAGTGCATAATGATCGCACCAGCATCCTCAACTGCACCTGATGTCACAACCTTAAGTCCGTTAATTATTGGCAGCAGACCCATAACCTATACCTATCAATCAACTGTTCTCGGATTAACAATCGACAACAAGCTCACATTCAAGGGTCACGCAAAATTCAAACTCAAGCAATGCTGGTTTGCCTGGCACAGGATCACCCAAAACTCCACCCGCCACAGAGGTCTGAATACAAGCTCACTCAGAATGCTCTTCAAAACAGTGGTACTCACAAAACTTCTATATGCTGCTCCTATATGGCTAAAAGATAACCTCGACACTTTCAAAGACTTTTATGCCAGGGTCCTCTTGAAGATAAGTGGGGCCACTCACCATCCTCCCAAAGATTTGACCTCTGTTGCGCTTGGGATTCCACCCCTTGAGATATCCTACAAGATGGTCATTATAAAATTTGTAATAAAAGCACTTACAAGTGACCCATTTATACAAGGGCTCATCTTGCAGCTAGAGGAGGCAAAGGCCCACCGATACCACCACCATATTGACGAGATACGTAAGTTTCTAACGTGGAAAACTGGGTCCAAAGAACTAAACAGAAGCAAAATAGACCTTCTGACTAGTGTCCAGAACGATGTTGTCAGCTACTCAAAAGAATTTAAATAATCCGCTTCATTGAGTTTACTTGGAATAAACATCTCCTGCTGAACCCAAGAATAAATCAGAGTGAGGGTCAGATACTGGATAATATTGATGAAAGGAGCAAACGATTATTTCCTCGCTACTCAAGCAGAAACACGGATACTAAGGTTATGTCTCTCCTACATGGCCATGACATCACCTTTGCAGCCTTCCAGGCAAGGGTAGCCAACAACTGCAACCCTCAGTGTCCAAATTGTAAGGTATTGGACACCAATTATCACAGACTCTTCTACTGTCCACTGTGCAGCTGCTCTTACAGGGAAACCCTGCAGGACCATTCCTTTAATGACCAACCATCATGGTCTATCTTAAGAGATGATAGTGATAACAGCATCACTGCCTTCCGCTCTCTAGTACAAATTGCCATTGGTGAACTATCATAAAGATGATCATTATAGTTATAGTGCTCATCTCTTGTGACATTTATTCTTCTTCAGCCTCTACTACTCACTCTACTGCCTCATCTTCTGAACATCATTATCTTTAGTATAGTTGAGGATTCTCAACACCCACTTTCAAGTTGAGTACTCTCGACCCACTTAGTCCACATGCCTTGCAAACTTACAGCACGGTATTTGTAATGATCTAAGTTCCTAATACTCGCCAAAGATGGTTCCTCTAGTCAACCGTAGGAGAAGAGAAAGCTCAACAACAAATTAGATGGCTGCATTTTGTTTTCATTTTATTAGGTCCTAGTATTTATTCCTATTGTCTTAAAGTTTTAAGAGAACTCACCTTAAATTATTTTAATGCAGTCACTCAGATAAGTTTATATCAGGACAATTCAATAAAGAAACATACTCTGCCCACAATAAGGGGCCATAATTGTTTCAATTATGTAACTGTATAGAATTATTATTATTATTATGTCACCTTTTGATAAGCACAGCATCCCATTTTGGAAATCAACTCTCAAGCCAACTTCTCTCTGGAACAACATGGCTCCAATATTCAAAATACCAGACTATTAGTTAAAAGTAAGCCTAGTTGAAGATAAACTAAAGTGAGCACTTCTTCATAACCAACACAGAAATTTATAATTTTTACTATATAGGAAGTTGGTTCATAAACTAATTTTCTTTGGACCGAATAGAGAGCAGAGAAAAGTTGTCTTCATTGAAATCCTCCTGAAAAAGACTCCTTTCAAAATAACAATTTCTTCGTGGCTGTCACTTTTTAACAGCAGCATGAAGCAATTTACTTTCATCTAGGGCACTTAGATAAATACATAAGATTTAGGAAAAGAAGAGCTGTTACAGGAAAAATAAATGTGCTCAAAATGACAACCCAAAACAGCAACAAGTCAAATCTAATTTCGGAAAAGGTTCCATCATTGTTTCGCATGTTCTACTGTTAGATATGAATATTATTAGGGATCGTTCACACATTACTTAATCATTAAGGGGGTTAACACTTAGCTGATTTATTTAACTTTTCTCCATTGTATAGATTAAAATACACAATTGCATTGTCACATTTTTAGGACTTTTCCATTTTCTAACATTTAATTGTTATTTTGAATTATTTCCGGATAAAATTTCACAAAAACTGAAAACTTATATGTTATAAAAGTTATACAACAGCTCAAGTCTCAACCTGCTCAGTCTGACTAATTGGGAATTTAAACTCTTGATGTTATAAAAGTTTTACAATAACATCAATTAATTAGTAAATGGAAAGGAAAAAATAAACTGTTTCAGTTTGTGAAGAAAACGGGATCTACGCTTAGATCTCGCCTCGTTACATCTAAACAGCTTGCCTTAGGTGCTAAACATGGTAAAACTGAACCCTGTCACAGAAGAAACTGCAAGTGTTGTAAAATGATCATGAATAAGGACTCCATCACATCAAATGGCAAAAAGATCAAATCAGCCCCTGGTTGTTGCAAGACCTATAACATCATCTATCTTGTACAGTGTTCGATTTGTAAGAAAAACTATGTGGGTAGGACTATTAATAGCTTGCATAAAAGGATGGACGGACACAGGTCCAAATTTTATGAAATCGTTGATGGTAGAGCATTTGATATTACTAGTGATGAGTATAGCCTACAGCAATAGCAGCAAATCTGGGGAAACTTTGAAATACACCACTTTGAAGCATTTGACCACCCCTTAAAAATCACAAATTATGAATTCTAGTAATCTGAATATTTACATAGGTCCAAAAATGTCATAGCTTCATGATAGTGCAACGAAATAAATCCCAGAACATTTTGGTGCTGAGTTAGGTGGTTAAGTAGTCGAAATATGACTGATTTGTCAGTGGACATTTTTTTGTACTTCTAACACTCAAACCCTTACTACACTGAAGATATGAGTGTTACAGTTAAAATTGATGGTCATTATTGAACAGAAACGGTTCATTGACACATGGTTGAAGAAAGAAATTAAAAAGGTTAATAAATGTGGTATGTGGAGTGGTTTATATGTGTTTATGTTACAGTGTATGCGTGCGCGCGCGCGCGTACTTAACCATCTGTAGGCCAACATATTTAGTTTATGCTTAATTTCTTTATATATTATGTCACCACTAGAGTGCCCAATACTTTTAGTGAAGGTCTAATGTAAAACGGTTAACCACCAACTTTGGTATATCAAAAACCCCCAAAAGTGTATGCGTGCGCGCGCGCGCGTACTTAACCACCTGGAATGGCACAGCATTGAGATATCACCATAATTCCAAAAGCAGAGTACACCATCCAGGTGCCCAAAACTTTTGGCTATGGTCCCAATACCATAAAACCTTAGATGTGGCCATAATGTGGTTAAAACATGTTGATTTTGGACCTTCGGTCAACAGAAGCCATCACAAATTAACCATTATTCAGCACAATCTGACCTTTTGGTGCCTTATTTTGTTTTGATATTTGATTATGAGAGATAGCTGAAGGATAATAAGTGATTTTGAAGATAATGCAACAAAATTTGTGGCCGTATGGCGGTTAAAACGACCAAAAACACTGATTTTGGTCAATTTTAGACCTTTATTAACCATGATGGATGCAACATAGGACTCAGCAATGTTTCTGGTCATATAAATGAGCAGGTAGTTATATCTAGATAATGTAGCATGGCCAGCTATAGCTTTACAAAGATAATATGTGCTCTAAAAATGGTTAATTAGTGCAAATATAGGGTATTTTCGAGACATTTTAACCACCTTAGCTGCACATTGATCGGAATGCATGAACTTGGGGTCAAATATGCATTTGCAAACAAATATACACTCATTTGGATAGCAAACCATTATCTGAAGTTCATATTGTGGTTAATTTTCACTTTAATAGATGCCTTGTTCAACAGCCTAGCAAGTAATATAGCCCTTTTAACCACTTTTATGACAACATTTCTTGATAACTTTTATCAAGACCCTTCAAATGTCCTTTGTTGACCATAAAATGTTGATTAAAATCATCAATAATGTTTTGATTGGTGGTTAACAACAAATTTTGACATTTTAACCATCTTTTTAGCACTTTTTACGAATATTAACCACCTCAAATCAACCATACTATTAAATTGCACATTTGTGATAAAAAATTATCATCCATGCACAAATGAACAACCACCACTATACATCTATAATCAGAGCAATATTTATAGCTCACCGTTCATCTTCAATTTAACCACCATTAGGACCACAAAATGCCCCCCATGAGGTTTGAAAACTTTTGTGATAGTTGCACCATGATATGATCTCAATATAATGACTACTCAGTTCATAATATCATATCTAAAAATGGTGGTTAACCCTAAAACTGGTATTTTAACCACCATAGTGGCCACATGGATGACCCATTAACCACAATTATTCAACATAACCGTACTGCAGTGTTTTGTGCACCAGAAAAACATCACTCCAACATTGAGATTAACCACAATAAGCTGCAACATAATGTTGAAGTCAACATACTCAAATTGTGTGAAAAAAGTCAATGTCCACCAAGTTTCCCCAGATTTGCTGCTATTGCTGCCTAGGAGTCCACTTGATTGACCACGGTTTAGGAGTACATACAGATTTTAATGAAACTTTTAGAACTTTTATTTTAGAGAATTGCAGTCCCAGTACACTTGAAGTAAAAGAAAATAACTACATACATTTGCTTAATTCTCTTAGACCTTTTGGCCTTAATACTGTCAATCCCTTTGGATTACCTATATTCCATAAACCTTAATATGATCTTTTTACCTTTTTCGGATTCTTAATTTTGTAACGGTTTGAGTTTCACTAACCTTTTAACATTTTTTAGGTTCAATGTCACTGGAGATGACTACAATCGAAATATATTTGGCAAGAATCTGAATGTTTTCAGTGTTGAAAGTTTAGTTTCTTAAATCCTGGAGTACTCATTCGTGTCCCTGATATTTGGGTTAATTCTAACTCTCCAATTAGTAAATGCTATTGTGGGCAAAAAGACGTGTTTTCTGTTGACCATTGTTAATGATCTGGCCCGGCGCGCACTACTTCGAAGAAATTTAGACGAGTTACATCCGTCAAGTTTTCTGCCATGAGTTTGAAGATCTAACCATTAATTGGACACAATAGTATGAAGTTTAACTTTAAGGATATGATCAAGAATATGTTTAAAAATATAAATATGACCTTATTAGTCACGTGCTATACGTACCAATGCGCGTTTTAAACGTTGACAGTTTATAACTTTTAGGCCAATAAAGTAATTATATATTCATATTTTGTCAGTTGCTCTATCCAGAGCCCTTTTGCTTGTTAATGGCAGTAGCGCGCGACCGCCGCTATTTACTTCTGAAACTGGAAACAGGCTTTACTAATTCGCTCGCCCAAAAATTTCACGTGACTTTGGTTTTTATGGTTTTGCAGCCGTACAGAACAGTTTTATATAAACCCTTATCCCAACCCTAACCCTAACCATAACCCTTGTAGCGCGATGCATTACTGTGCCGCGCCGCGCACTCAATGAGGCTTCTCGCAGATCGGATAGATCCGCGAAATGCGTTACTGTGCCGCGACGAGCTGCCATGAATTGACATCGTCAATTAACCATACCCAGCAAACCCTACCAGCCGGGGAATATCTCCAAAAGTAAAATAAATAGAACCTTCCGGTTTTCAACAAAATGTCCGTCTCGTAAATTTAAAGGAGGCTCCCTAGGAGCACAATTGGGAACAACTTAGATTCTGAATTAAACCGAAAAGTTTGATTTTTGGCTTAATTAAAGATCGCAGCTTTTAAACTTTGCAAAGTCATGTCGTTGTCAAGACTACTAAACTAAATGCAGCGTGTGAAAGGTAAACTCGATGTGACGCGCGACGCCAAACGTGCTGTTGAAAATCTATTACCTCTAGCAAGCCCAGCAGGCGGTAAGATTTTCTGGGTAATCCCGAAGCTAACCATAACCCGTACCACAACCCGCTAACCCTAACCCGAGCCCTAAACAATCGAATTCGTATTTTATTAGCCTGTCACGTGACCAAAACGGTTTTTGCCCATAATTTTGTTGCGATATGCCCAATGCCAACAAAATTAAGTTGCTAAAAAGTTTTTAAAAACATGGTTTTTGGCCTATATTTACAATTTTTGCCCAAAATAAATCGGACTTTTCATTTCAAAACAATTTTTAATCGATTCGACGGTAAAAATTGCGTTTAGAGAAAGGTGTATCTGGAGTCCTTAGCTTGCTCTAACCAGAGCCCATGAGCCCGTTCGCTTGCAGTAGCGCTTGTGAAACAAGCGCGTCATGCAGTACGCGTATACACATGGCTATGTGAAGTCCTTAGCGTATCGAGCAGAAACATGCCCGTATAGTAAGACACAGGGAGGCTTCACCTAACCATGTGCTTTCGCGCCACTTCGGGCGCGCTTGTTGTGAGGCGGGCGCGCGCTACTGCAAGTGCAAGGGCTCTGGATAGAGCAACAGGGAGGCTATAATTGTCATTATACGTTGTATTGTGTATGACCCGCCGCACACGAGTGCGCGGCTCCCGGCCCACTGTATCGTCAGGACGATACGGCTCGCAAATTATTTGACACCCACCATAGTGAAACGACGGTGGGGGTCGCAACGTGATACAAGGCTATAAAAGTGCAAAGAAACTGCTGCTAACTGTACACTGCATATAATAGCTGTGTTACTGGGTGTTACTGGGCCGCGCTCAGCCTGTCCACTGTCATTCCGCCGAATCTCTATTTTATGAACATAATAGCATAAGGTCCCCAAGTAAAGCTAGGTGGTAGGGGGTATTTGTAGATTTATAACCTACCAGGACTTGTAGGTTTACAACCTACCAGGACGCGCGCCGAGTTGGACTCGTCGACGGTCCTGATTAGTTTGAAACAAATATTTTACATTAAGTATCACCTGTTAAATATCGAAATTGATCGATATAGCTATATAGTGATGAAAATGGGGCAAAATACGCTGCTTTTAGCTGTAACATAATGTCGGATGGTTGGATAATGCTTTAAATTTTTCGGGCAGTTTTCTTGTAAATTTATAAATATTAACATTACTGCCTTATTGGGCCGCGCTCAGCCTGTCATTCCGCCGAATCTCTATGCTCTATTCATATGTTTATGAGCATGATAGCCTGAGGTCCCCAGGTAATTCATATAAGTATTAACAAAGCGATCGTTTGATTCATATCATTGATCATGATGTCAATCCTTCGCATCTCGCCGATCTGCATACGTGGTTGCGAGAAGATGCGCGGCACGGCCCAGTAGTGCATCGCGCTACAAAGCGATCGTGTGATTTAATTGGCCATTGTAGGTTTATATTTATAACCTACTTATAACGCGAGCGCTGAGTTGCTTCGCGCAAGTGATGCAACTTTATAGTTATACTCAATACTGTAATATATATTATATAACTATTCATTGTGCTGTTAAAATGGCTGCCAGACTTTGGGGCCGAAGTGATACGATCCACCATATACGTTAATTGACAATCTGTCCTTTATAACCGTTCCTCAGAAAAACCAAAAAGAAATGCAGCTCCAAGATAGTGATCCAGGCTTCTGAATCCTGGGCGGACGTATAACTGCGAGAAGTCAAAAGAAGATTCTTGAATATGAATTGCGGTTAAAATAAAAACGACACAATAATGATATCCTAACACAGTCTAGATGCTTTTGATAAAAACGATAACTTTAACCAGATCAATCGGCAAAACCTAACACAATGATTAATATCAAAAAAGTTATTAACAGTCCACTAAGTCTCATATTTTTAGTACTTGAAGGGGTGCAGTCAGGCCACAATTCATTATCCCATCCGTCCCAAAGACACTCATGCAGGGACGGAGACTGTACGTTAAAGCATGATATTGTAATGACCTGTCCAACTTTGTAGGGAGCTCGAGTGTGGGTGGGTATAGGGTGGAGGGTTCCGTGGGAGAGGGAAGTGAAGGGCATGTCGCAACCAGCTGAAATATTAGGTCACATACTTGGAGCTGCACTATTCAAATTCTTAGGGAAAAATCTTGAACTGACCCATCCCTAAATCTTAGGGATCAAGGACAAAAGAAAATCGCGATTATTTAGGCCAAAAAAAAGTCAAACTAGGCAAAATCGCGGTGAATTTGCGGCGAAAGATAATGTATTTGCAGAGCTAAGTTAGATGTCATAAATTCGTTAACTGGCCTGTTAGTATAGCTAATATCCCGGCCAAAACGGTTATCCCGGCCGGGACCGGGACCGGGACAAAAACGCCAAATCCCGGCCGGTATCATGGTCGAGCTCTGAGTATGCTTTGACTGAGCGATTTCATACTTTTACACCGTTTTACTACTACTACTACTACTATGTCGGAACTAAGTCCGATCTACGCCAGATAACCCCCTCCATATATCCCTGTCCCACATCAGGGTTCGCAGTTCCTCTTTAGAGTTTGTCCCAACTTCCTTCAGTAACATAGACAAGTAGCTTTGTCTTGGTCGGCCTTGCTGTGCTCTACCATGCATAGGTTCCCATAACACTAAATCGCTGGCAAGTAGCTGAGGATGTATGATGCAGTGTCCCGCCATTTTTAGTCTCCTGCTTCGTAACTTGTTTGACAGCCTTGGTAGACTACCATACAAAGTTATATTGCTGACCTTGTCCTTCCATGAGATACCCAGCACCATACGCAGCATTTTTGTGTATGTCCCGTCCAAACTTTTTTCTTGAGCCTTTGTCAGTGTCCAGATTTCTGATCCGTAGAGCAGTATTGACTCACAAGCCGCTATGAACAATCTAATCTTTAGGCTCTTTGAGAGTTTGGATTCCTAGATATTCTTCAGTCTATGTACGGCACCCTGTGCTCTCAATCCAGGAGCCTAGGTAGATAAAATCATCCACATTTTCCATGGCTTCCCCGGATCGATTTGTAGGTCGCTAGATCGATCCTCCATATTCAGTGTCATGACCTTGGTCTTGCCTTCGTTTATGTGAAGCCCCACGCTCGCTGCCGCCGATTCTACTCGGAGCAGGAACTCGTTAGCCTTGTCCATGTCCTCAGATTTAAGTGCTATATTATCTGCAAAGTCCCGCTCCTACTAAATCGCTCGCCCAAATTTTAAGAAAATTCTTGTGAAAAGGCCCTTTAGGCATGAAAGTGATCCGGATCGGTGTATTTTTGGACGCTGATTCCGAATCACCCCCATGACGTAGGGTTAAAATGCTTCCCTGGAGAGTTATGGGCAAAAAACCGTTTTGGTCACGTGACAGGCTAGTAAAACGTGAAATCGATTATTTAGGGCTCGGGTTAGAGTCAGGGTTGTGGTTAAGATTATGGATAGCTTCGGGGTTATGGTTAGGGTTAGGGTTGGGATTAGGGTTTATGTAAAACCGTTTTGTAGTTGTACGGCTGCAAAACCAAAAAACCAAAGTCACGTGAAATTTTTGGGCGGGCGATTTAGTAAGAGCCGCAAAGTCCACATCGGTGATGATCTTGGGCCCCACTCTTCTGCTTTTTCTACGTTCGAGAGTGAGTCCAAGTCGCTCCGCATCATCACCTATGGCTTGCCTCATACAGTAGTCGATGACTATTGCAAAAAGGTAAGGTGCTAAGGTATCACCCTGTAACACACCTGCTAGTATCTCGAACAATTCCGTTTCTCTGTCTGGAGTTAGGACTTTGGCCATTGTCTTCTCGTACATGAGCCGTATAAGCTCTACAATTTTGACTGGAATGCCGTAAGCTTCTAGAATCTTGAACATTTTCCCACGATGTACACTTTCGAAAGCCTTCTTAAAGTTTATAAATGTCAGAACAGCTGGCACCGTTTTAACTACCAAAATGTAATGGGTTTTTAGAATATAATAGAGATATGCGGGTTTATACTTTTGCATTTCAAATACTAGTGTAACCAAGGCCGTAGGCCATGGTTACACTAGTATAACATAATCTCGAATATATTATTGCTATAAAACAGCATACTGGAAGTTATATTGGTTGATTATATGTTGAGTATGTACAATTTGTATAGCAACTTAGACAAATAAACACCAGCGATTCAAGCTGTACTTACTCGTTGTTACACAAATTATGAATTTGGGATACACTGGTTCATAGGATTAGAGTTATGACAATTGCTAGTTAGTTTGTGTGTAGATAGTAGGTCTGTGCGGCTTCTAGTTCTAGTGATAATAGAAAATTATTATAATTATTACGTAAGAATTATTATAAAAGTTATGTTTATATAGAAACAAGGAGAGTAACTTACATATTGAGGCACTCCGCACTTCCTTGTACCTATCGAGAATGACTCGGACCGAAAATTTTCTAAATCGAAATTATTTTCAAAGTTTTTCTGGAAACTACTTTTGTTCATGTTTCATGCTACCCTGATAATTATGAGCCGAAAATACCTTTTCGGTCCATACCTACATTCGGAAGGCTGTGGATGTGATTAGTTCCATATAATCATAAAGAACGTGATATTTGGCCCTCGGATTTAAAGAAGAATGCGCAAATTTGGTCCTCAGAGAACTGAAATAATCGCGATTTGTCGCGAGGATCTGAGAAAATCGCGATTTGTCTCGGCAAACGTCTAAAATCGCGATTTGTCGCGGAGAATGGGAGAAATCACGATTCTGCACGTGCCGCGATTTCCTTTTGACCTTGTTAGGGATGGGTCAGTTCTAAGTTAACATCATTAAAACTGAATGATTTAAATTTGGCTCCGTATGAAATTATTACATGCAAAATGACTTAAAATAAGATTAAAACTAGATCTTACGATAACAAGCATAGCTGGCAGCCGGAGACAACCCCGCGGCTGGAACTCCAAGGTCTGTCAACTTTCCTGACATTCTCCTACAGTCTACTTTAGGTGACACAGTGACAGGAAGTGAGAATCCTGGTGAACATTGTAGGGTGTAGGAGTCAGCGGGGGCCAAATTGTGGGGGTCCCTGACCCCGTGTTCTATCAGGGGTGCTTCGCATGGCTGGAACTCTCCTGTGTCGAGCAATGGTCAGCGGTGCAAGATTACCCGGGACAGTTAGTATTTTGGATTTGTAAATTAAATTTCGAAATACCACTGAAAAAGTCATCATCATTTCATGTTTCAATTCTTCAACCAACTTTAAAGTTTAAAATAATAACGATAGAAATAAAGCTGTCATCAACTTGACCATGGGTTCCTTAGCTAACGAAGATAAAGCAACATACGTGTACAAGTTGGAAGAGGATGAGTTATCTCTCCGTCATAGCACTCAATCCTAACCCTCCCAAGAGCGTATGTCCCTGTGGGGCACCTCATCCGAGCAGCATCATCACTGTTCTTCAGGGTCCAGGTGCCGGGTATCAGAGTCAAACCAGTCCACGGGTCAATTAGTTTACCTTCTCGGAGTGTGGGCACCTGACAGTTACCTGTGGGTGGTCTTAGCGTGTCTTTAAGTTTAAGTTTATAATTTCCGGTAATTGTTATCTACTCTGTTTTTCATTATTGTGTGTAATGGAAGACAAAAATAACACCAGGGAAATAATAAATGAGGTCTAGTTTAGAAACTAACGTTTACAGTTGACGGTGGTCTCGTATCTGCTGTGTCCGTAATACCCGGCAGCAGCTGTAGTGTTGTCTACCAGACACGTTATTTTAAACTCTCCTGATCTGCTTCCTGGAGGATGGTTTTATTTTAATTATTCATCTACTTGTACGCACAATGCTTCTTGGATTGAAAAGCATCTTTAAATAATAAATAGTCATACAAATTAGAAACTTTATTGAACAATTTACCTGTTGAAGAGTACCCCTCCTCACACGTGATAGACACGTTAACTTCCGTCCCCACAGGATGCAAACCGTTGTCCTGTAACAAATGAATTAAGGATTCTGACATCATCCTGGGCTTCATGAACCTAAAATACACTATTAAACTTCTAAAATTCAGTGGCTAAAAAGTAAAATGTAACCACCCCTGTAAAGAAGTGTTTCCCTACCAGTTGAGTAGTGACTTGTAAGTCAGTGTAACTATCATAGAGAAGAGCCGTGTTGCGCGCCTCCCCACCGTGCCTCACCTCGGAGCCACACATTCCCAGACACTTACTCCCTGTTACCTCCCACTTTCCTGACTGATAACACACTCCGTACAGTTCCCTGAGGGAATTGGGTTATATTTACTAGCTAGTTACTATGGTAACCCACTTTTTTGTTATTTCATGGAACGAGGTCAAGAATTTCGGCATCACAATAACACGGAAATATTCTTTATTCAAGCTGTCAATGAAGATTCGTCATGATATCTATAACTATTTCTACCGAATCTCTCAAATAAAAACTCCAAAGTACCTGTCCTGATTGGAGTGAGAGTAAGCAACAGTACTGTAACCAGCCTCACACTGGACCTTGTACTCCCGGTCTACAAACACATAGTCTGCATCACTGTACAACTTGTAGTGGGGAGACGATACAGGCAGAGTGTCTGAGTCACATAGTGCTCCCTGAATGGGTGGGAGAATTAACAATATATTTTAGTGGATAGTAGTGATTGTACGTAAATACCTCAAAAAAACTTTGATTCACAAACAGAATTTGTAGGACGATTTATTTGATGCAAAAAAACTTTACAACGCCGGTTAATAAAACGCCCTAAATCGGATCAAAGGATCAGCCCAGTAATTACTGACTATTGCCAAGATGTCACCATACCTGCATTTCATCCACATTAAGACACTTAGGATGTGGATCTATCTTGTCAGTGTAATTACTAAGTTGTATGGGAGGGTCGAACCCCTTCTCTTCACAATCATACTGACCAGCTCCAACCAGAATGTGCCTGTAAGTGGGATAAGAATATCAATATTCTGTTATTTTAAAGATCATGGCATGCATTGTTGTGCCGTTTAATTTTAAATAAGAAATAGTACTTAAAATATGATCACGTTTTATGTGGCTATTATGGGACTATTATGTGACTATTATGTGACTAAGGACTATTATGTGACTATTATATGACTATGTTTGAGTTTGAGATGTGCACCTGATAGGACAGAAAATGGTGACCGTTAGCCCTATTGGAACGTAGAGAAAGCTAGCATCACCCTCGTCAGCTGCTTTGTAAGTGTTGCAGGGGAGCTTGGTGTCGTTATACCACCCTGTCACCTGGAGTGGTCATTTGTCAAACACAATTCAGGTTTCGTACTTATTTTACTTATTTTTCGAAATTAACAACACGTTGTTATGTATGATAACAACCACTGAGTTGAAAGTGGTTTTCCCAAACATTTCAATTTTTAAAGTTCGCTAATTATCAGAAAGATTCAGTAGCTGTTTCGATTTCCTACCTTACAGCTCAGTTCGGTGTAGTTATCAAAAGGAAGCATGGTACAAGCACCAGTTAGAGCAAAAGAAAGGTGGCTCTTTAGAATCACACAAGAAACCAGAACAAAAGATAGAGAGCAAATCATTCTCGGTAAGGCTTTTTCGATTTTCTTAAACGGTTCTCTTGAAGTTGAAATTAGAGTGATAAATCAAAAGTCGACACTGAGTTTCAAGCCAAATAAACTGTTCCGCTCGGTGCTAGTGGTAACTGTGATCTTAGTTCATGGAGATACAACTGGACAAATCATTCATCGTGTTCTCAAAAATGTAGTTGTGAAACTTTGCACGACAAACAAAACAGCTGTGAAGTTAGAAAATGTGAGTGTGTGTGCAACGTAACACACTTGATGATGCTCCTCAAATTCAAAACTGTTCGTCACGTGTTTATTTTGCGAGCTTGTTATATTATACTTATTCTTGAATGACATTTGACATTCTCGGACACATGTGCACATCAATTTTCTCTGGATTCAATAGAAAGTTCGCACGTAAGCAAGTGATGACTCAACTTCGAGTCTGGTTTATCAATCAGCATGAACTAAACAAAAACCCAATCCACGATCTATGAAATAAATCAGGCAAAAGCTAAACCCATTGTTATTACATTTTGGTTTTGATCCAGAGAAGATGCTTCATATATAGTTATACAGCTCGCCTCGATTAACAGTAACATTTTAAAAACTAGGTTATGGTCGCAGTTGGAAAGGAAGGATCTATTTTGAGTACGAGATTTCGTTCGCCGACCAACTTCTAGATGACGTGAATATTTTAATAGTCTGACCTGAAGCTGTTATAAGTGAGTCCATATGTGAATTTGAAAAGAAATTTGATAAGGCCGGATTTTATCACGATCTTTCATTTTACCTAAGTACATGATATTGGCTATTGGCTTATTTTTTAGCAGATACGAAAATAAGTTACTTGCTCAGCTTACATTCCACCACAAATAATGAATTTATAAGCGCTTGGCGTGCATTAAATAATAATAGATTCGATTTCATTCCCGGAAGTGATTAAACCGATTAATCGAAATACAATTTTCCTATTCGATATTAAGTACAAAGGCATTTATAAGAATAATGTTGCTATTGCGTTCATTTTCAGAACGATTTAAACCTTCTGAAAATTGCAAATTCCATTTTACCATTTTATCCTTTTGTCATATCATTCGTTGTTAATGTAAAAGTTCCAGCCACGACCGGTTCAGACTTTAGATCAACTACTTTTCCATAATTCCCATTAGGTACTGAATTTATTCATCCGCTGTCCCTATTTGAAGGACTTTGACCATTGTTAAACTTAACTAATTATAGGAAGATGGGAAGAAAAGGATCGTCCCGTCAACAGGTCCTACCCGGCCAGGTTAGTCTACCAGTTAGTATTGAAATACAACTCATGATATTATCACCGTTGTTGTTTCAAGATGATTTTAAAACATTGCAAATAATCACAAAGAAGAACTACACACTATGATAACGTGATGTCCTGCCAGGGACGGGACCTCTCTCTGGCTGAACCTCAGGTGTCTTCCTCGGATGAGGACACTAGCAGCTCTTTCCACTCGGCAACCTCAGATCATCTATTAACTCCCATAACCCTTCAGGGCCGTGGCCATGCAATGGTCCAGTCTCAGATGTACCAATCTGAGGAAGACACCAGCGGCGATCTCTACTCGGAGGGCCTTACTGGAGCAGCTTTCCATGATACTGGTACGTACGGTTAATGGTTGCAGTTTGTCTAGATGAATATATATACAGGGTGGGCCAAAAGTCAGTGTGCAAACGTTTGGTCTTATACCTCCGCTGAGTTTTATATTTGAGAGCTGTTGCTTTGCAGATGGCATACTCATACTGTACTTACTGGTTCGAGGATTCCGTCGTCAAAATTTGAAAATTCGAATATTTTAGACCACGCCCATTCAATATTAAAACACCTATATTGTTTTCTCTGAAAATTCTGAACGCCTAATTTTTTTAGAGACGGTAGATTATCAAATGTTGCATATGATCTGAAAAAATGAGGCAAAACGGATTAGAAATGACGAAGTTAACAAGCATTTTGTGTATCTCGTTAACAAATTGACTGGGTGATTATGTGACACGACACCTTAATTGGGCACCCTTAACAATTCCCATAATGTTTAACGGGGTAGTTAACGGGGTCACCTTATCACGTGATTAGGTAAACCAATCACCTGATCACACGTAATGAACAAGCTTGTTATGCTTCATATCTCGGTCATCTGAGAAGCTAGAACTCTCATTCTTTCAGGGCAAACGTAATTCGAATGGCCAAACACAATTCAATAACATTTAGCTTGATCCGATTATCCAAACTATCAAAAAAATGTGAAAATGAACCTCCATTTGAAAAAAATGAACGCGAATATTTTTCGAGTTGACAAATTCCTCGAACCAGTGGTGGTACTAAGTCATACCAGAAGGAAGTATTTCAATTGGGCACTCAGTGACTGAGCTATTAAGGCCAACGTTTGCACACTGACTTTTGGCCCACCCTGTATAATATATATATAATCGCAGATTTATGATCTCTGTCAAAAACATATCAAAAAGTTTCAATGAATATTTTGGTTGTTGTGAAAAAGTTAAAACTTTTCCCTCCAGGAGTTTACGAGATTCACCACGCTGGAGGCAGTGGTGGACTCTCTTTCTCCAGTACTGGGCAAGTAAAAGTGATGATTGATGGGGGTCATCAGAGTTTTCACCGGGATGAAATCACCGAGCACAAGAGACCTGGGTATTACACAGTGAGGCGGGGAGGCAAGAAGTACAACATCAAGTACAATCAGTTTGAGATTGATGAGGTTGAGGTTGTTTCACAGGTAATAATTTTGTGATTTTGTAGTTTTGAAATCGTCTTCAAATTGACTGACCATTTTCAACAGGGGTATTATTAATATAATTTCTCAAAAACCTTCTCCATTAATGTCCCTCAGCATAGCACCCTCTAGTAACTAACTTCCATTTCTTTTCAGAAGATCGCCGTCCTCCAAAGTGACAGAGCAAGGTCACCCTCCCCTCGTCGTGCAGTCTCCATAGCCCAACCAGCCGCTTGTACAACCTCTGGTATCATCAACTTCTACCCTTACTTCAGAGTAAAGATGGGTCGCAGGACAGTGACCTTGCCGTACAGTGTACTCTCCTCTGGTAAACTGAAGGGAAGGTTTATCAAGTTCCAGTACAATGGAGTGAGTAACAAAGTAAGATGCAGAAACATTCAACCTGTCAGAAACTTGTACAAGTGAGATCTCTTTCAGAATACTTCCCCAAATTTACATTGATTGTTATCTAACATTATAAGTTCGTGATGAACCATTTCAATGTCTTAAAAAATTATCAATCATTAAAAATGTTAACGATTATATTTCAAGGTGCATAGTAAACGGAAAAGTAGAGAACGTACCCTTTACAGACATCAGACCTCACAATGATGACATGTTTTCTGTAACTCACAACGGCGGAGAATACACCATCTCTTGTGCATCTGTTCATGCTGGTAGGTACTGTCCAAACCTAGAGAATAGAGAGTGCGCTGTATTGTCCTTCGTGCAGTCTCACTAACGTTCAAAGAGAGACACAATCCTCCGAACTTTTAACTTAAAATGTTGGTCGGCTTGCTCCTAATAAATTGCAAACTTTATGGGAAATTAAGTTGCGACCGATAAATTATATTGACTTCGAAGGTGACGTCATGCCTGGACATGAAGGGCCCTACGACCACAAGATGCTATTCAACAGGCCCAGAAGGAACAGAGCTCGCATCAGTCAGATGGGAGGAGGTAACTTGAGGATGAAGAGCAAGAGACCTAGGAGAAGAGTGGACGATCTCCCCAAACTGGAGATATTTGATGTGTCTTACTGCTTGTGTTATCTGATTGTGTTGAACGGTTCCCAGATCATTATGCCTCATCATAGGATCAAGGTTTAAAGCTAAACTCACGATATCTCAAGCAGTTTTAAGTTTTTAAAAGCATCGAATTTTGAATTTCTCAACTTTATCATTAGTGATGTTCAATAAGACAGCTCGTATCTATCCTTTTTAACAACCCTCACTTTCTACAGGCGTCAATAAAACACCGAGGTTACCTGAGGTTCAGATACAACAAGCTGGTGTACTACGTCACACCTCAGACTGTCCACCAGGCTTTCTACGCCCCTGTTGTCGGATACTACGCCTGTCTTCTCGAAAACCAACTCCTCGTTATCAGCGGTTAGTTCGGTTAACATTATTTTGCAATTTAGATGGGTATGTTTCTGTTTTCTAGGATGTCCTGTATATTGCTTTATTCTAAAAATGCTCATATTTTATGTTTAGCGTGTTTTTATGTCAATTCAGTCAATTGCTGACAGCTAGTGCAAATATTATAATTCCCAAATAATCACAATTTCAAAGCTTCACATAAAGGGCTAAAACTCTGCTCTTGATTAGGAATGGACATAGACAGAGACACTGAAAACCCCGACATGTTCACTATTAGACACGACGATAAAGAGCACTCAGTCACCGCACCAAACGTAACCTTCTTGGGAGAGTTCCTCCTTGAACCTGACACTGGAAGAGACGGCTTTGGAGATAACGTAAGATACCTGAGAAGCTTTATTTTTAGCTGTGACATTCGTTCCAATATTATAACTTTGCTGTAGCTGAGTAAATGGCCAAACTTTGAAAGTTTGTAGTTTGTTTTAAGTCAAGTTTTAATCGTTACGAGCCGAAATTTCTGGTCTCGATACAATTTATCACGACCAGGACGACGGAAACGGTGACGGATCCTCAGACAACAGCACCTCCGACAGTGATGCCAGTGTAAACGGACGAGACGAAGTGATCAGGGACGCTGATGACTACGCCACCACAACCACTATAATCAAAAGGAGACGCACCACTAGAGTCGTAAGGTCAGGATCAACGGAACTGATGTCGTGGTACCAGAGGATCAAATCACTTACTGCACCAACCCAAGAGGATACGCCAAGTTAGTAGGGGTCTTTTTTGGAAGATGAAATTCTTCTAATACAGTTATAATAAGCTATAGAGATATGATAGTTAAAATGTCTATTTGAGAAGAGAAAGCTCATAGTAATTTATTCTACACTTCAGGGTCAACTACTACGGAAAGACATACTACATCAAAGTGGAAGATATTGGTGATGACTTTGATGATGATGTTGTTGGGTTCTACTCTGTCAACTTGGACGGCCTGCCATTCATTGTCACTGGAATTGACATCAGAGATCATCCCAGAGTAAGTATCCTTCACAGAAATACCCTGAGTATTTCATCATCATGCCGATGCTGGCCTCCAAATCAACATCTGAATTTTGCTGTATAAAATAGGTTTACCGTAAGTTATTTGAGAAAAATGTTTTCTATAAATGCTCACTTTTCCAGAGACCAGGTTACTTCATCGTCAGATTCAAGGAGAACAAGTTCCTGGTGCCAAAACACGGAATCCTTTACCTTGGAGACTACCCCACTAGTTACGCACCAGACTACTGCTCTATCGACTACGATAGTGAAGATGAGTTCTGGATGTCCGGTGACAGTGATATTGATAGTAGTGATGATGGGGTAAGAGCTTATCCTGACAAAACCAACAGATATGGCTTTAGAGTGATTATTAGTCGACTCAGAAGCGAGTAAATTGCTCTCAAAAATGAAATAAATCTGTATTGTTGCTGGCCCTGGTAAAATTAACGTTAACCCCTCTATTCCCTCTCCAGGTTGACATGGTTAGTGAAGCAGATCCTCAAGAGTGTATTATCGTCAGGGGTGATGACCAGGACTTCAATGCTCAGCTCCCTGATACATTGTGCGCTAAAATCCAACCTGGACAATCTGCTACTGGTAAGAACACTTCACCATCTACTTACACCTTCCAAATTTTTAAATCAAGTATAAAAGATCATTCTTAAGTTGAAATTCTCCGCGTAGGTTGTATAATTTGATGATTGTGTTCAGGCAAATCTGTGATGGGATACAAGGTCACAATCAACGGACAGGACTACACAGTTCCAGCTAGCAAGTGTAAATTTGATGCTAACAGGCCCGGCTGGATGGAGGTCAGTTTGAAAATTTGCAAGATGTTTTTATCAAATCTGACCATATCTTCTAGTTAAACATATTTATTTATTTCTGCGGGATAACACACGAGATAAAAGTTTTTCTTCTTATCAAACACCTAGTTTATTATAAAAGTTTAACATCATGTATGTTCCAGGTAACCATCAATGGCAGGAAATACAGTGTTCACATGAACAGTGTCACTCCTATCAGTGTTCCAATCGTCTACTTCGTGCCAATTGAGGACGACATCCAAGTCATCCCCGCTCGCTACATCAGACGAGATCCTGAGCATCCAGACGAGTACGTCCTGGTCACCTTCAAGGGACGAGAGTACAGGATACCCATCTCCGACTGCACCCTTATGGACGGAACACCCATGGGACCTGATGATGTTCCTGATGATGATGCTCCGATCTATGGTGGTGATGGTGCTTACTCCGGCCCTGATAGGCTTTACTGGACTATCCCTGATGGAGCACCACATGGCGGCTACTTTGGACCTGACGGTACTTACTACGGTCCTGACGGGCGTCCTTACGGCAAAGGTAGGAGCATAGATCATCAATATCATCATTTAAGAGCAAAATCAAGGGTGTAATCGTGGTATGATAGTTGCTTCAACACAAATACGTTTTGAACTATGTTGAAAATCAAGTCCATGAAATAAATCCTTATTGACAGTAAAAATCAGTAGCAAAACGATACTAAATCAGCAATTTGATTTGATAATATCTTTGTATCAGGAACTCCAGCTCCATACAGAATCCCACACGGAGCTCCAGAGGGAGGTTACTTTGGACCTGATGGACTCTACTACGGTCCTGACGGACAGTGCTACGGACCCGGCATACCATTCGGACCAGCCGACTGGGCTGCTCTGGGCGGTAATGGAAGTGACAGACCAATACCAGATCTACCTAACAAGTGCTCCAGGTTCTGTATCCTTCACGGAGGTCACCGGATGAGGAGACGCAGGAGGAAGTCTCGTGCTGCTGACTACTCTGATGGAGAAGGATCCTCTTCTTCTTCCTCTTCTTCTTCGTCATCCTCATCTTCTTCTTCGTCTCATAGCCATAGTCACTCCTCCAGAAGTGGAAGTGGGTCTGGACGTCACAGAGGCTCCAGAGGACATGGTGGTTCCGGATCTGCCTCTGGAAGTAGAGGTGGTAGGGCTCAGGTAAATAATTAAACTGCGCAGACATTTTTATAATCCATCGTTGATCATATCATCAGAAGTATCACTTTATAAGTAATAATAAATACAGTAACGTCTGATAGTCGTAGCATATAGAAGTGTATTTCATTATTCATGACTTACTGTGATGTGACAGGATGGAGGACACAGAGGTTCCTCTGCTGTAGGTGGATCTCAAGGAGGATCCAGAGGTGGATCCAGAGCACGAGGAGGTGCTGATGTGGAGTTTGTAGACGTTGGATACAACAATGGAGTGGATGTTCGTGTAGAGACAGGCACGGTTCAGCATACTGGTGGACATGGTGCTCCCAGTGGAGGCAGTTATGTGGTTAGTTCCTTAAATATGTTTTTATTAGTGTCGCTTTAATTATATTTTGCATATTCAGAACCTTGAGCTAGTGGCTGAGGCAATTATCAATAATCATGCTTTAATTCCGTTTAATTTTATAATAACATTTTTTTGACGATATAACGATTTAGGAGGGGAAATCAATGATAGGACAATCACCAGTGAAGAAGTCCTCGAAAAATATTGTGAAATTTGTCGATACAAAGGTGAAGCATCATGCATGTGCATAATTTGAAAGCCCATCCTTCAGGGACCTTTCTGCTTAAGAAAACTTTCTCATGAAGATATCTTCATTCCTTGTCATTGAGACAGTAATTTTTTCTTTTTTATTTTATGATAGAATCTTAAAAAATCTACTCGAAAGCTCGCCCATAAAAGTTTGCATAAAACACCCTAAACCATCAATGATGGAACATCTATCATGAAATTTGAAGCAGTTAGTTGCACTCTGCTCCAAAATAATACTTTCTTTTTTTTTCATTCGCCTGACCGGATATCTTTATCGTGTGTTTACTTTTCATATTATGATGAAAACTATTGATCGCCAAATTTCCCATTGCAAAGTGAATTATGATAGACAATCATCTAACTATCTAAGAAAAAAATCTTCTCAAAATTATTTTAAAATGAATGTTCAACCATTCCAGCACCATTCTGATAACGAGTGTGGAATGTGTGGCAGCCCAATTCCTCCCGAGCCACTTTACCATCATGACCAATATTTTCGATAAGTTTTTGTCCTATCAGTTCAGGTAATTGTATCAAAATTTTTTTCACGGTGCGAGCATCCACTTTTGACTAGCTTTCAGGTTTTTGTTTTTGAACAGTTTTTGCCTTTAATGGAAAAAAATAATATCCACCGTTTTAGTTTTACAAAGATACATGGCTGAGTAACGGAGAGTAACATTACATGCTGATATTACCAAACATGTGTCGATTGTTTCTATCATGTAACAAACCCCCAAGGTATCCAGTGGGGCCCGAGTAGCAGGCTCCGCCAGCTCCCACAACGTCCAGCACGGAGGTGACATGGGCAACATGCAGGTCAGATCGGATGGTATGCAAATGATATCCGGTGGTGGTGGAGGTGGTACCCACGTGGTCTCTGGTGGTAACTTCTCTGGTGGAACTGAAGTCAGAACTGAAGTCAGAACTTCCAGAAGATCTCACAAGAGACATTGAAGCTGGTCAAGTTTAGAATTAGGGTTTGGTGCGGGTAGAGAATCAGAAATGCTCGGGATTGTTTTTGGACAGTAGTTTATCAAGTATTTCTATATTGAACAGTATATTTCAGATTAATTAGAGCGCAATATGTACTGTGTTGTTAATGTTCAGAACACTAACGAAAATAAATCAAATAATCTTTACATACAAGCAATCGTCAATACATATTTTCAAGTAAAATTTTACAATTTAATCCATATTTACATTTTAAATATTTTACTCCCAATATCCGATCAAATTAGGCTTATGTGAACCCCAAAAAATAAAGTCTTCAATATTCTTTAAACAAATTGCAATGACAGTCTCAAATCTAAGACAATAATCATTTCTCAAGTGCTGCAAGAAGTCGAGATGACATCAGTTCGGAAGTTTCCAAAAGTTTTCTTGCTTTGGCCGCTATCTCTTGCTTGGTTTTGTCATTTAAAACGTCATCTAGATTTATCATTACAGTTTTATATGCTCCCCAGATTCCTGTTTCGATGCATTTGATTGCTACCTGAAATAAGGAATGCTTACATTACTTTATTTCATTTCAAATCGAATTCAAATCTACTGACAAAGGGATAAAAGATGACTTCTTGTTAAACTAAATGCTATCTTATAAACATTTACCAAAGTTAAACACCTACAAACACTTGAAGCATCCTCAAGAGACATACCTGTAAGTCAGATTTAAGACTAGCATTATAGTTAGTAGACAGATCCTCCAGTGGAGCCCAGCAACTGCATCCCAGTTCCATTATTTTCATAGGCACGTGAATGATGGTCAGCAGTGCTTCTTCAAGTGCTTCCTGCTTCCGGGCTGTTTCCTCTTCGTTGGCCTGATTTTGTGTGTATTGGTAAAATTAATATTTAAATATAATACTATATCCTGTGTTGAAATCGAAACTTGATAATGATTAATGCTGGAAATGAAGCATTATCTTAATCACTTACCGCAGGCATCTTCTGAGCGACGAGATAGTTGCTGAAAGCCATAGCGTCAGCGTCAATAAGAGGAGTAATCTGGTCGATAGTTTTGTGAAGGACAGGAAGGATTGAGGTGACTGTTTTCTCGGCTGAGTCGTGCTTCTTGCTTCCGTATGTCATCCATCCTGTCATCTGACCTGAGAGAGAGGAGATTGTTTAGTAATGAGATAGATGCTGTCTTGAAAGAAAATAGAGTTGTCTGATCTGCATTCTGAATATCCTCCCCAATTGAAAGTAGTAGGCTGCATGTATATTATGTTGCTTTTCTAACCGAGAGCGAGACCGAGTGCGGTTACGAGTGCAGATACACTTCCTCCTCCAGGGGTGCTGGTTCTGGAACCCACACTCTCAACAAACTGCTGAACTGTTGAGCTTTGTAGAGGCCCGTGTCTGTTCACTCCTAGCACGTACTCTATTACCTGCAAATGAAGGAGAATCAGTCTAGATATCGAGAAATAGGTACAATTTGTTATTGCCAATTGCCATAGTCATGTTTTGATTATTGAACTTCCATGATACTTGATAGTGAATTGATTTAATCTCAAAACGGAAAAGTGGAAATCGAAAAAAAATTGTTTTTAAGGCAATTATAATAAGTACAAACCTTGGATTCTGGTTTGAATTCAGACACAGAGTTTAGTCCAAGTCTGTCAATAACGAATCTCAACTTCTGCTGCTCCTTCATAAGGAAAACGTTTTCTTTCTCGATATAATAATCTGCAGCTTTTATCAGTGCTTGAAGCGGGATGCTACCCACAATGTGACTACCTGAAGAGATTTTAAGATTATTATTATACTCATAGCGACAATCCAAATTGATATGCATGCGCAGCAGAGGGCTGCACTTTTGCGGGCGTTGCAGATTGTTGCAGCAAACATTTGTACAATGAAATTCAAAACAGTTGCGAGATTTCAAACAAAACCACTATAACCACTATAACGCATATTCATTTTTAATCCCTTATTATTTTGTTTTATATTTAAAAAACAACTTACCAACTACAGCGATACTCTGTTCATTAGCGTGTTCTCTTATCGTGTCCATGACATCGTTCAATCCACAAGTGTTGCAATCCAGAATCTGAAAAAAGATCATTTCAATTTTTTGACGTTAAATACAAATTAAATTAGGAAGAAAGCATGCAAACTGTCGACTAAAACTCTTTTATATATGAATCAATTAACCAAACTCGTGATCGTGGTTAACAAACAAAGGATCAAGAGCAAACCTCGCATCCGATAACAGCATTCCCACTGTCCTCTAACAGAACGGTCTTAGCTCGGAGGTCGGTGCGGTTGTTGAGGTGTTTGCAGATCTTGTTGGCTTGGTCACGTGTTCCCATCACGTTAACGTTGAACATCAAGTAACTCCTTGACGTTCCTGAGGGAGATTATAATTTCAATATGATGATCCTCGAGAGCAGGAATTTCTAGTCCTAAAACCTACAGAATCAGTATGAAAAATGGCTCTACTGTTTAAAAAGGTAAGCAATTTATATATTCTAATTCATAACAGTCCTCCTTTCCAAGATGGCTCATTTGATAGAGCTTCAAAACTCACCAACAAGAGTAGTTCCCCAAGAGGGAGAGAAGTCTTTCGGTCCGAATATTGGTTCATTAGCCTCGATAGCAGCTGGCAGGTCATCATAACCCACATCTTCTATAGGGGAGCAGTTGAACTGGTATACTGGCACCTGGAGGATTAGGGTTTAAACTGATAAACTGGCACAAACTGAACACCGATATTCTAGATATTCCAAACTAAGGTCCAAACTTCAAACAAACCAAATGTTTTAAAAGTTGGATGATAAACTTTATAGATTAATAACCTAAAAAGATGCGCGCCAAGTTGGACTCGTCGATGGTCTTTCCATGAAACCAATAATTTTCGAGTATCACCCATTAAAATAAACTTACCTCAAGAAGATCAGCGAGGTTGTGGCTGAAAGTGTTGGCGATGTCCTCACACTGTTGAGGTCCGATGTTGCTAAAAGGAGTGAACACCACAGCGTGCAAAGCTCCCACTGGGTTCAGGGGTCCTGGGAAAGCAGGAGTTAGTAAATGTAAGTGAAACAAACATTGAATATATGCCACATGTTAAGTGGTCTCTTGTATAAAAGAAACTGGCTCACTGGCTGTAAGTTTATGCGTGATATCAGAAAAGATCTAAATTCGATTCAAATCAACGCAGATTTCTTTTCTCGAATCATAATCATCCATTTAAATTTCCCGAAACATTAAAACATATAACTATAAGTTCTTTGGTTTCAGTTTCGCCGCGTTAATTATAAAATGCTAACCTTTGTGGAACCTCATGTCAACACTCCTCTGGACGATAACAGCAGCGTTCAGAGCTCCTTCCACAACTGTTTCGGGGGAACCTACAAAGGAAGCCACCATCCTCTCCGCACCCTTATCTGCGTGCACGTGAACCTTGGGGAGAAGTGGAGTTAGTAATACGACTGTTTAGATATGGAAGAAACAAGTTAATTGCATCTTTATTTAAATTAGTGGAACAGAATTTTACTCAAAATAAAACGTCCGGGAATGAAATATTGCAATTGGTTGACCACCTGGCGTGGGAGCTTCTTGTAATCGGTTACTAGTTATAACTAGTTTACTAGTTTATTAGTTTACTAGGTTACTAGGTTACTAGGTTACTAGGTTACTAGGTTACTAGGTTACTAGGTTACTAGGTTACTAGGTTACTAGGTTACCAGGTTACTAGGTTACTAGGTTACTAGGTTACTAGGTTACTAGGTTACTAGGTTACTAGGTTACCTACCAGAATACATGACTCAGTGTGACAGATGGCCTCTGTGACCGTCTCCACAAGTTCTTGCCGGGTGTCACTGATGATAACAACACAGTATGCTAATCTCTCCATTCTTTATTATCTAACCCTGCTACAAGCTACTGCCATTTGGAGTAATAAATTAAGAATAAGATACAATAAATATTCAAATAATTAGTTTATAAGTTTTACGCAAAATTGTGATTTTTGGGAAACACAATCGCGGTGCAACTGATGTCATTTTAAGCCACTGGCACTAGTCACTAGCCACGCTTGACGCTGACGAAGCGAATGAAATGACCGAATAAGAATGAAGGAATTAAGAAGTGAGGGTTAAGTAGCAGTGGAGCTTCACTTTGCGAGTCATTGTCCTGCTGTAATATTGGTGAAGTTGAAATAATATCCATGGGATTTGTATAGTGAACCATGGTTACCGACCGGTTACTGTTTCTAGCGTTTCGCTGTGGCACTTACAACTTAATTTGTAATGTTATACTACGTAATAATACAAAATGTTAAATCATAAGATTAAATCTGAGATTGAGCGTAGAGAATTTAAAATTTTCTTTCGTTTTAGGTAATTTCTTAAATTATGTCAAGTAAATTTAGATTAGGTCTACCAAGCGTCCCTTTTAAATTTACGTCAGTCTCAGCATTAATACTAATAGCAAGGCCAAATAAGATTGACAAATAGGCTGGAGAGCCTAAACTTAACAGCGGTTATATTCTTAATGAATGACTTACAACCAACAAAGCAAAATAATATTTGTCATATCTCTTAAAGAGAATTATCGCTTCATGCATTTGTGTAATGTGTATGAAGCAGTTATTAGTTTAGAGCGAAAAAACAAAAGGATTCAAATTAAACAGCCGCACATCTAAATCTCCAGGACAACATGTAAGAAATTAGGATCGCAAGAAACTCGAAAAAGATGAGCTTTACACAGTATAGCATCATGGTTACCAGGACAACAGCACTTAATTTACTCCGGGGAGGTATCGTATGTAGAGAGCGAGCTATTCTGCCAGTTTATTACAGATCAGGCTGTCCACATTTTCATGGCATGGACTGTTTTTATTGGAGTCATTAAAATTACGTTAAAATGCATAGTGCTTACGCGGAAAATATTAAGACTAAAACTTATAAAAGTGCAACTGAAAATGGACAATTAAAATCTAAAATCCAATCCGTGGATAAATATAATACGGGAGCATTAAATTTTAAAATAAATGTTACTTGTTGATGATTCGCAGTGTCAGGTTCCATTATTCACATATTACTACAGTTAGATGGATGGTCAATATGGAACTTTTTTTGGTTTTGGTTTTGGTTTAAAGAGCTTATACATGCCACATATGTCCAGGTGTATTATAATAATGCAGGACTTCTAGGCAATGAGCTTGGTTGTGGGACACACTCAACTGGGGAAGTTGAGAGGCCTCAATCAAGTCTCATTAAAGAGATATCAACAGAGTGTGAACCACTGCCAAATTAACTTAACCACTGCCAACTTAACTTCAAATTCAAAATTTAAGGTATATATCATAACGTAAATACCAACTCCATGCTAATAGTTGTAACATTATACGTTACTCTCAAAGGAGTGAGTCAGTAAATCTAATTCTAACTCACTAAGTTTGGGACTACGAACTAAAAAAAACTAAAACGTAACATCCGCTCACCAAGAACGCTTAAGTGCGATTAAAAACGGTCACAATGATCAACGAGTCGAAGTAACTGTAGTTAAACGTTAAGTTTAAAAGTGAAGCATTATGACACAATATGCAATAATCATAATACAGTCTTGTATTTTCTAATTCTACATGACACATGGCTGTAACGGTCACCTTGCTTGTTGAGCACGTGGGCCACCTTATCACGTGTTATCAGGTCAGTACGTGAGATAGCATGTGATGTGTAACGAATGTTATACTCACAGCTGCGTACTGCATCACGAGACTCTAAAACTTATTTCAGATGATAACTCCGAATAAGAATCATTAGATAATAAATCCTCTGAGCCTGAGAAAAAGTCTATGATTATTTGGTTCTTTGATTATCCCCAATTTCAACCCAAAAGATAATCCATGGTTCCGTCAACTGTAATAGAGGATATGTAGGAACTACTGAGAAGTCGTTAAAATGCAATAATTTTCAATACTCCATTGTCTGCGTGAATTTATTCTTGTGAAAGAATGTGGAATGAGCAAAATAAGAATACATCATAAGACAAGTGAAACATTTCCTTCATAATTTACGAAAAAAGTTGCAGAATATAATTATACACAGCATTATTCAACATAACACGAATTCTTGACCTCCAAGTAAAAATAGCCTCCGGGGTCACTACAACATTCTAGAATGAAGCAGACGAGGGCGATTAGCTGCAATCACTGGACAGCAACGACAACCAATAAGCTGTTGAGCTGTCATGTCACGTGACTAACAAAACAAATCTGCCCGTCTCCGAGAAACAAGTCGGTGCTGCTAACTTCACTCAGACACTGTAGACGCAAAGTATACTATAATGTATACTTTAAAGTATAAAGTTGGTCGTTTAGCTCCGGACAGTCTATGCACGGTCCCTGCACGGTCCATGCAACAACAAGAGAACACTCCATGCACGGTCCCTGCACAATGAACACTTGATGCACGGTCAGTCCCTGCACACTCCCTGCACGGTCTATGCACGGTCCCTGCACAGTAACATATGAACACCGGCACTTTTGTAATAACAGCTCCTCAACTTCACATTACCAAACCGGCTACTAACCGGCACTTAAAAAGTGGTCACTAGCCGGCTACTAACCGGCTACTAGCCGGCTAGTGACCACAAAGTGGCTACTAACCGGTTACTAGGCGGTCACTAGCTCTAAAGCAGACCTACTTTCTCGAGGTTCCAAACCGGCTAATAGCCGGCTCTTGTAAAGTGGTCACTAGCCGGCTACTAACCGGCTAGTAGCCACCAAGTTTGGTAATGTGAAGGTTTGGTAATGTGAAGTTGAGGAGCTGTTATTAAAAAAGTGGCTAGCCGGTGTTCATATGTTACTGTGCAGGGACCGTGCATAGACCGTGCAGGGAGTGTACAGGGACTGACCGTGCAGGGACCGTGCATCAAGTGTTCATTGTGCAGGGACCGTGCATGGAGTGTTCTCTTGTTGTTGCATGGACCGTGCAGGGACCGTGCATAGACTGTCCGGAGCTAAACGACCAACTACCCAAAGTTTTTCAAAAGTATAACATATACTAAAAGTATAACGCTTACTATAAAGTATACTATTAACAGTACAAGAACACGTTAAGGGATCAATGCTGCAGATATCCATAGGTATCGTTCCCACAATACGTAATCATACAGTGTGACAGAGGTGTGGGGGTTTCCAAATAATTATGAGCTAGTGTTATATTTACAAAATAGCTATGCGCAAAGGTAATTACAGGGGGTTTGGGGGCCGGGGGTGGGGGTTATGAATTGCACACAATTGATAACGTAATATGTGAACGGTCCCATGACACAGAGGAGGACTACAATGTTGGAATATTGGCTTGTTTATGCCAGCATATGATTATGTCGGAGGAGAAACCACATGCTGCTCCATCAGTTGACTTGTCGTTGCTTTTGTGTGTAAGCTGATCGGTTAATCGGGAACACAAAGCGCAGTTCCAGTACAATTATACAGGCACACCAGGGCCCAGGGGCCAATTTCACATTCATTTAGAAACATTATAGAAATTGACAATGATTGTGTAGAGAGTTTGTCAAAAATTCTCCGACAAAGTGACTTCTTCGGAAGAAATGTATTTATAAACTGTAAATTCCCAAACAGTAAAAGATGGACAACTTCTGCAGACAGTACAGTTTCTCCTCGCTTCTAATAGAAAATATGTGGTGTGCATAACTGCATACAAGCTGCATTATGTGTATTTAAAGCTGCATTTCCTGGCCACTTCATGAGTTGCACTTAGCCACAGGCGCTATGGCTGGGACTCAAATAGAATATTATTATAAAACATTAACAATCATAACACCTGTCAAAAAAGGCAAATTCATCAGATTTTAAGCAACTCAACCATTATTTCGTTTCTCAATATTATTAGCCAAATCTTTATTTATGTAAAACAAAATTCCCCATTGACTTCAGTCTGTTTCTTTAATAATTAAATATTATTACAATAAACAATTTAAGCGGCCAGCGCAGAACTCTGTATTTGATTAAACTTCAGTTCATAATCCTTCATCACTAAAACTTAGCAGGCATTAAATATATTTTAAACTTTAATGCATTTATTGAATAGTTAAATAATTTCATAAAAAACCGATCGAAATATGTATACTGTTTAGTCGACGATTCCTGTGGATTCTTTATACAATACTTTACAGGTATACTTTACAGGTCAATGAGCCAGTCTCCAATCAATCAACCAGGTTGATGAATTCAAGTATTTTCAAAATAAACGTAGTTATTAATACAGATATCGGAGTTTTAGCAAAGTTCATATAAAACACAAACGTTAAATCCAAAAAGCATGTTCAACAACATTTTCTTCCACGCTTGTCAAGTTGATACTGTCTGCGTTGAGAATATTCTCTAATGTTTCGCAAGTTGATGTAGTCAGCGTTGAGAATATTTCCTTGTGTTTCATAAGTTAGTGCTGTCATTGTTGAACTCTACCTCTTCAATTTCCTCGTCCTTGAAGCGGCGGTAGTAGGAGGAACCCCCCTCTGTGGCAGAACTCTTCTTCCTGAAACAGAATAATTAATTCCACGTAACTAAGTTATCAACGAATCCTCAGGTGGCAATTAAAACATCGTCTCAATTAAGTTATTTTTTTAACAGTACTATTTAACTTAATAATTGATCGAATAGCCAAAAATCAAGTAAGTGTTGTTGTTTTATCACATCCGTGATAATGAACAGACTTGACCAAAGCTGTTTATGTTTACTTCTTTATATAGTAGTAGCAACTTCCTTACTCGTTAATCTTTTTAAAAGATACACGTACGGATATTATCTATTTATATCGGCGTTTTTTCCTTGATTATAGCATTTACACTTTTAATTTTTATTGATACGTACCAGCCTAAGACAAATTTGAATAAAATTTTGTACTTCACGTACGACACTTTAGTCGATTTAGAAATCATCTTATAATTGCATACAGTAATGGAACTGTTGCAAGATGTATCCATTAAAACTTTGTTTGAATTGAAATGATACTTAATAAATTAGTGCGTCTGAATATTTAATACATTTTGATAATATTTGATTAATTCTTATAATTGAAGTTTGATAACTCCTAAGTCTGTTATATATACATATAAATCTAGGATACAGCATTCACAATCTTACAACGACAGAGACGAGGTGTGCTGAGTAGAACTACCAGCTTGACACGCCCTAACAAATGCCAGCAGCCCGGAGACAGGGTCTGGTACGTGCTCCAATACAGCAGCTCACACTGCAACAAGGTTCTGAACAGGACACCAGTAGAGCCTCAGCTGAACATGGCCCGGATAAGATAGTAGTGAACGGGGCGGTCGAGATAGGTATTGATGTCTTTCCAGGACCTCCCAACACATTAGCCATCTCACGGGAGATAAGTATTGATGCACCAAACACGCTCGACTTATCACGTGGTATTGAGACTATCATTGAGAGCCCCTCTTCTCAGAGTAAGTCCCCTTTCCATCTTCACCAGGACAAAATAGGGTCTCCCCAGTCTGCAACTAAGAGAAATATCAAGAAGAAAAGAAGAGTTCCCTTCTTGAGTTATGAGGCGGCTATGTGGATTGTTCATGTGATTCTGGTAGTGTTGGCATGTGTAGACAGGTTTACATGGAACGTTTGGCCGCGACAAAACACCTTCAAGATCGGAGGAGGAGGTGCAGGGGGAGACAAGATAGACGGTATTCTTGATGGACCCTGGTCCGTTCAGATGTACGATATTTTAGCCAGAGTCTCGGGACGGTTCTCTATCTTAGCGCTGAACTTGATGCTGTTTGTCAGGTTGAGGACTGTTGAAAGTTGGCTGTCTTCCTCCTGGATAAACAAACATGTGATTGATTGTAGCAATATAGTGAACGCGAATTTGAGGCTGCATATTTGGAATGGTGTAGCCATGGTCGTCCTGATGCTGTTCCATGTGTGGAGCATCTTGTTTCCTTGTGTTTTTCATGGATTTGGTGCCCAAATACTAGTCGGAACTTTGGAATGGCCTCTGTCTGAACGGAAACCACAGGGATTTAAAGATGCTAACGCCACCGCAAAAATGATGAGCCTTCAGTATGATGACTGTTTCAGGCTTGTCGAGATCACCATCATATTCGGAGTCATGGCCCCTCTCAGTTACTATTGGTTCTTTAGAAAATGGCACATAGCCATCCACGTTCACCGAGTGATGGCAGCTATATTCTGTATCGATATAGTCCGCAGACACACTCATCCACACTCCATATTACTCAACATTCCCGTTTTTGTGGTTTGGATAGTTGACAAAGTAATTTTCGCGTACTGGGGAGATGCAAGTTTATCACAATTTCATAGGATTTTGCTTGGAGAAGATTACATGGTGTTGCTGTGGAAATCGGATGGACACCATCCAAGTAAAAGTTTAGCACCAAACTTTTACCTCAAGTTGAAAGACAGTTCTCTGTCCGAGAACGCTCATGCTTTCACTGCTTTTCAAAACAGGGGACACGTCCAGTTAAAAGATGTACCTGGTGGTTGGAACACGGGGATCATGATCAGGATTTATCGGAACAAAAGAAAGTACCCTCTTTCAAAGAAAGACAGCACCTCACACACAGGTAGAATTGCAGATGCTGACAAATCATCAGCTGTTTTGGAGGCGTACGGACCGTACACAGGTGAAATGTCCGAGCTGATAAAAAACTGCCAAAGCAAAACACAGTGCTTTTCAGGCAAATCTTCCAACTGTTTTAGCACCCTGCCAGGAGGTTTACAAAGTGACGGGCCAGTGGTTCTGATCGGTACAGGGTCTGGTATCAACTACCTCCTAGACGCGATACAATACCGGTTTACTGGAGGGAACCAGCTCATCATACTGTGGAGTACTGGTGATAATTTCCTGTTCAGTTGGGTCAGAAAGCTTGTGGATCAGATAGTATCTCGTGAGGATACGTATCTCAAGATAGTGCTCGCCAACTCTGATAAGATAAACATGATACGGCAGGCTTGGTCGGAAGCTAACCAAGGTTCATTGAAAACGAGTTCAAGAAAAGCAATGAGCCCTGAACAGCTGTTCAACTCTCAAAATAGCCATCCGAATATAGTTCGATACATCTCGGGAAGAATCCCCTTTGAGGAAGAAATACCGCACAATTCGACAGTCTTCTTCCAAGGGTCCCGCACAGTCCGCAAGGCAGTCGACGCAGCTTGTACAAAAAATAACTGTACCGCGTACTTTGGGCGAGGAAGCAACAATGTCAGAAAGATAGTGTTTAAGGAGATAGCACAAAGATCCCTGGTCTACGTCAATCAAAGTTTCAGACGATTATCAAAAGCTGTCGACGATTTGGATCTTAAAAGAAGACTCTCACAAGTTCCAAATGTTTCCTTCAGGTCAACCGCTGCTACCGACAGAGATTCCATCAGGAGAAGGAGTACAATGCAGCCTGATGTTTTTAGTGCAGACGATGCACTGAGTCGGAACGGAAGCATTGACCGACAGAATGACCGAAATAATTCTCCCCTTGCAAGTAGAGAGACAAGCATGAGACGTAACTCACTGCAAGTTGATACATCGCTTAGAAACAGCAGCCGACTAAGCAAGAGATCTTTCACTGGAAATCTTCACGGATCAACAATATTTGAGAATAAGATATTCAAAGATGATCCAGAGACGTACGATAATGAAGAAATAGATGATAATCATGCCGATCTTACAGCAGTAGGAGAAAATGGGCACTCGGGATTGGACAAAGTAGTAAGTTGGAAAAACGTGGCAAGCTCGGACCTCGGGGAGAATAACCCAACAAAAGAAGAAACTGCAATTAGTTTGACAGACTCAATTAGTTATTCGTACGGCGATTACTCATATGACAGTGACGACTTTCACACTGATGACACAGATTCATATGACAGTGATTAACACTTATTATTTACATATAGGGTGTTTCAAAACTCGTGTTCAAATTTGAAATTATAATTTTTCTATTTTATGAAGGAGACAATTAAATGTAATCGGTTTGGGAATGCAATGCTTGTTAGGTCTTACATTATAGTTATTTCTTGAACAATCGTGTCAAAACCTATTTTTTGGTTTGGAAAGTTGATGAAATATTTGGTTTATTTTTGATATGTATTTTGAAATGTAATAATTTATCTACGGTATAATCTAAAATCTAATCTACCGTATAATTTAAAACAAAGATCGAACTGTTTGACCTATTTGTTAGATTTTAAGGGCCATTCAGAATTTGGACACGAGTCTTGAAACACCCTGTATGTACGGACACACCAACGCGTATACATATTATATGTTCCGAGTATCACTTTAGTAAAATAGTTAGATTCAATATACATACAAAATAAATATGACATTTAAAAGTGACACAAATCTAGATATTTACTATTGAAATTAAGTGTTTTACATATTCTTTCCAACAAAACCCACAACTGACAATCACCAGGTCCAAAATATTGTTTCTCCTAATTTCTACAATGGGTTGATTGATAAAATAAGGGTACTTAAGCAACTTATAATTTAATGTTAGAAGAAACGAACCTTTTCCAGCAGTTAATAGAAAGTACGCCCAGGATAATACCAATGAAGAGCGTACCAATACACAGACTGATAGTAGCTGCTACTGAAACTGTCAGAGACACTGATTATCATATTTTTATTTAATATTTAATTTGAATTGAGAAACTTATAACGGCCACACAATTCCCAAAAAAATAGACAAGATAATTCTTATTACCGGACCAATGCTGAGTATTGACAATCTGATAGTCAAACACAAGGGAATCTTTGACACTGTACGCTACTTGAATCTGGTTAGAATTCTCATTTGCAAATGTAACATACATATTGTTATCTATCGCTGTCTTTATCCGATCTTTAAATACTGAAAAAATGATTTCTGAAATGCTGAAAGTGGTTACATGATGTAGATATTATAGCATCAATTAATTGTATAACCGTGGTTTTGTAATCGATTGTTTAGCTGGAAAACGACGGCGATGGAAAATCGATAAATGTGGGTTTTTAATAACGATCACATCGATCTTTCAGATAAACCACTTTAAACGTACGTTGAATAGCAAGAATGTCATTGCCGATGCCATGATACACAGTAAGAGACACGAGAGACTGCGAGGCAGGGACTGGGGAAAGAGAGACATGGTGTATTTGTTGCTCTTTTACTTTTGTTTTTGAGGCGATTGACTGAACTATTGCCTGAGGGTGAAGTTAGTCTTAAAACATTTCATTGGTTGTTATTATCGTACTCAGTCATATCAAAAGTTAGTACTAAAAAGTTAATTCAAAATTGTAACATGGTGAGTTAACACAGTGCTTTCTAGTTTCTACAAACGGCGTTTGTTACCATTTGTGTTATTTTTGGGGTTTGGCAAACGCCACCCAAGAATAACATTGCATACCAAAGTTTTGTGTAAATAAAACTAACCCTCTTAACATTTCCCAGACCAATCCTATGTAAGGTCTGGAATGTGATGTTGAGTTTGAACTGTATGACACAGGAGTTCTCTCCTTCGTAACACACTGACGTATCGTAGAGCAACTCTGTTGAAACTGCGAGAAAATGTTATTTTTTATCCCTTGACCCTTAGAGCGAACAAATAGAGTTAAAATGATGAGCTGAAAGATTGTGTGTTGATTCGTGACTAAAACATAGTTTTAAAAAAATTTAAGAAGAGTTCATGATATACAACCAGATAATAGACCGACAGTGGAGGAAAATAAAACTCCACAAAAATATTTAAACCTGGATTACTGTCGATCTGATAGTCGGATATCCTGAAAGAGATCGCTGGTAAAGAATCCGCCCGGGCCTCAATCCGATACAAGTCAACCGACACCAGCACAGATTGTAGCTTGTTGGTGTAACTGCTCTGACGTAGATGTATCTTCTCCCTTAGAAATATTGTTGTTCAGACTTTCTTTGAGATGAGTAACACGTTCTAAGAAAATAATTTTCACGATTGATCTTGGTGACCGTCGACGAGTCCAACGCGTGCGTCTTGGTGGGTAACATTAATGATTAACATACAAGATTGATCCATGATCCAGGTCTAGCGCATGCGCTCCATATATGCTGTTAATTATATCGATTGAGTTATATAATATTAAACTATTAAAGAACGCGCGAACATGCATGCAAACATAACAAACGCGCAAACTTTGCGCGTAAATGCAGCGCAGCAAACTCAATGTAAAATAAGAGGCGCGTTACATCTTAAAACTAAGTAGACCCGAGACCCTCAATATAATTAACAAGATTGTGTCTTAAATATAATACAGAGATTTTATGCTCTCCGCTACAAAAAAAGTCCAGTACAACATACACGGAGAAGGCAATCTCAGCAATCCAACTGTTGTGTATCGGATAACTCCAAACATTGCACTGTGTAGAATCAACCATGCGACTTCCTTGGTACTGCCATCCAGTGCTTTCGTTTTTTAATAGCTCCAACACCTGCGAAACATTGTATTCGTCACCTAACTGATAAATATGCCAAAAAACAGACAAAAAACAACAAGACCCACCGAATATGTACGAAGGTTGAAGTAAGTATCGTGAGTCGTGACATTATGCAGGTTCTCTTCCGATGATTGCATTAATTATATTACCAATAACTCGCAGGGTATTGGCTGATGATAACATATTACAACATACACCAAGTGTTTTAACAACATCCTGTTAGTGCCAGTTAGAGTCAATACAAGATGGTTTTGTACTAACCATAAATACAACCCAGATTATCTTAAAATTTATTCCGCTTTTATTTTTATTCCCACTCGACTCTCGATTCCTTGCTAGCAGTCCGGTTAATTTAGTACCTTTAGTGGGTCTCATTTAATCATTAGCTCTAATTAAAGAACCTCTCACCCTCTCAGAAAGCTTTATTATTTTTATCTTTTTACTACACTTACTAACACGTGCATATTACAAAGGAGCAATAGTTTGCGGAGGCATTCTAGAACGGTATATATTTTAGCTTTCAGTTTCTGTTTCATTATCTTAAAATTTATTCCGCTTTTATTTTTATTCCCACTCGACTCTCGATTCCTTGCTAGCAGTCCGGTTAATTTAGTACCTTTAGTGGGTCTCATTTAATCATTAGCTCTAATTAAAGAACCTCTCACCCTCTCAGAAAGCTTTATTATTTTTATCTTTTTACTACACTTACTAACACGTGCATATTACAAAGGAGCAATAGTTTGCGGAGGCATTCTAGAACGGTATATATTTTAGCTTTCAGTTTCTGTTTCATTATCTTAAAATTTATTCCGCTTTTATTTTTATTCCCACTCGACTCTCGATTCCTTGCTAGCAGTCCGGTTAATTTAGTACCTTTAGTGGGTCTCATTTAATCATTAGCTCTAATTAAAGAACCTCTCACCCTCTCAGAAAGATATTCCTTATTAAGCTCTAAGTTATTAATTTTCCTTGTGTTTGAATCCTGTCACTTTTTAACTGTTTTTAGTCTTTGTTATTTTCGGCCGATTTCTGCACTTTTACACTGGGTCATCATTCATAATTTCTGGGATTGAGACGACTTATATCAGCATTAAAGGAAGAGTTTGCTTGTCTGACTTACTTCATTAGACACTTCTGGTCAAGAACTGAACAAGAACCAAATTCGAAAACTGGAACATCTAAATGACTCCGCAACCCAGGAATCAACTACTCAGTTATTATCGCTCAATAATCGGTTTGGTATCGACGTTACATACTTTATTATTATTTTTTTAAAAGCTGATTTTAGAAACCAGGGAATTAAAGTTACCCTCCTAAGGCTAACATTAAATCGCTGATTTTATTTATATATATCACCTTTTTTTTGTTCTTTCTTTTCCTTCAAAACATTCCAGTACATTGTGCAGAAAGTTGGAGATGAAGCCGTAGTACGTACATGTAGCATTGCACTGGATCGAACTTGCAGAGTGTGGTTTCCTCCAGTCTGCGCCGCGCGCTTATATAAACATACGCGGCGCAGATCGACTGGAGGAGATTGCACTGTGTAGGCTCCGGTGTAATGTGATATGTATGTAAGACGGCTTTACAAATTTTGGAAGCATGTAGGGATATATATCTGATACCAATCGTATATACTAAAAATACTCTAGCACAATTGTAACTGCAGTTTTACAGAACTCTAAATGCTTAATGAACACTCTTGCAGGTACCACCCGTATTCACACTCAGACCTGAGTTTAGTCATTTTCCGATACGAGATTGGGGACGGGTTCTATAAACAAACAAACAAATACAACCCAACACCATGAAGGTGCTAACTTTATTTTAAACTATTTGAATTTAAGAAGCACGGAGCGGCTCACATTCACACATGACTTTGTTAAGGTCCTGGTTAGGACGATACCAGAATGTCTGGCATTTTATCACGTGATATTGTCACTGATCATCAGTGATATCGCCCTGAGTGGTAGCATTACATATTTACATGTCATATCCAAAGCATGTGCCTAGTGAGAGCAAGATGATTGTTTAGTAGAGCAAGAATTGCCAACTAGCATTCGTTTATATGTTACATATTCACAAATTTAACAAAAGCTAAAGCCCCTGTTAAACAAGATCCCACTTGTTTCCCTCTTCTATCTTTTCAAGTAATCCAGGTTCTACCCTGTAATGCCCTTTGTTCTGCACTATCTGAACATCCCAGCAGGACTCATCGCGGTGGGAGCTGAGCATGTCGCGTAGCATACTCGGGGCTGCCCTCTCCTAATTCTTCTTACTTTCTTAGGGAGTCAACAATTCTTATTGTTTCCTCAATCCCTCAACCAAGATTTACTGAGCCTGCGATCAAACCCTTTATGCTGATCAGGGGAGTACTCTCGTCCCTCTTGTCATTCGTATTAAGGATCTAGTACACAAACCCCAGCATTTCAGAGTTTAAACTTTAAAGATAAACGTCACAAATAAAGTAATGGTACCATGTTGCCCTGCACCATTTTTTCCCTCTGAAAAGAAGCTGCTCGCATGAAGCCTGGTGACCAAACTGCCCATGAATATTCACTATGCAGCATTACATTCTACACAGGCTCCAAATTCCAAAGGGCCAATAAAAGACAAGAACACAAGTCACATGATTGAATGATAGGTGTTGTTGGATGGATTGTTTAGCTCGAATATGATGCACAATTTTAGCAGTCTCCCCTGCCTGCTACCGCCCCTGCCTTCAAGCCTCCACGCGCCTCCACACGCCTCCACAGTCCACATGCCTCCACACCATGGTTCTCCTCTATTCAAGAGGCACTGCCCATCACTCAGTTACTAGTTGCTCATTCTTAGTTTGTTGCTCTATAACCTGTCCGGGCAATCAGCAGCCGAGAGCATAATGGCAAGTCCAAATTCATCGAACGCTCAAGGATACATGTATCATGTGTATATTATGCATAATATGAACTGTATCTGTATTATTTTTATTTAACTACGGTTTAGACATAGCACTATCGACTCTGCCCTGCTCGTTTATTGTTAATCACCAACGCAAGTAGAAAGCAACTTAACAAAATTTGCTGGCCAGTTTCAATCCCACTGTCGTATCAAGTATCAAATCAAATTATTTTTTACTGTGTTTTAAATAAATCATAATTTATTCTAGTTTTAGTTTTTTGGTTTTTAAGAATAAATGATAAAGGTTACACTATAATTTTCAATTCTCATTTTCACTTATATTAAATAAAATCATATGTATCATATGATTTTGTAAACATTGGCCGGTGTATCAAAAACCGGTCCCCAAACAAACAATAACCATAAATACAGCCCAACACCGTGGAGGTGCTAACTTTATTTTAAACTATTTGAATTTAAGAAGCACGGAGCGGCTCACATTCACACATGACTTTGTTAAGGTCCTGGTTAGGACGATACCAGAATGTCTGGCATTTTATCACGTGATATTGTCACTGATCATCAGTGATATCGCCCTGAGTGGTAGCATTACATATTTACATGTCATATCCAAAGCATGTTCGGCAACTCTTGAACAACTTGTCTTATGGTCCTGCTTAATAATTGAAATTCTAAAGCTGTTGGTGTGAAAATGTAGCAAAGAGTGGTCCCTTTGCTGTGCCAAAATTGTTTTACAACTTTCTGACAAAGCTAGTGTGTGCCTTGTGAGAGCGGCTTGAGCTCCAAGCTGGCCTTGCCTGGTCAGTATTGGTATATTACAAAGAGAAGCATTTCTTTTTGATGTGTAACAATCAAAGAAAAATTTATGAATAAATTTAAAGAGATAAAAGTAAAGCCTGACGTCAGCAGCCGGTGATCTAATTTTCAAGATTTGACCAAACTGTTCACTGATTAGCAGGGAAACGAGGTGACTAATTACTGATGCTCTACAGCCAATTATCGGTAATTACAGGGCTGGTAAGGGATAATAAGTGTACATTTATACCAAAATATAACTAAATAAATGTAAATCAGGACCAGTGTGTTAAGTTGACAGGAATCGTCATCCTTATAATTGGAACGTTTGCTACACACACACACACACACACACACACACACACACACACACACACACACACACACACACACACACACACACACACACACACACACACACACACACACACACACACACACACACACACACACACACACACACACACACACACACACACACACACACACACACACACACACACACACACACACACACACACACACACACACACACACACACACACACACACACACACACACACACACACACACACACACACACACACACACACACACACACACACACACACACACACACACACACACACACACACACACACACACACACACACACACACACACACACACACACACACACACACACACACACACACACACACACACACACACACACACACACACACACACACACACACACACACACACACACACACACACACACACACACACACAAACACACACACACGCACACACGCACACACGCACACACCCATCCTACTTGATTTCAACATCTTGTTGAGCAAAAGAGAGCTAGTAGTTTAGAATAACATGGTAGCTAATTCTGGTTCATTTCTGAGAGCTGGTGGTACTTAAGTCGTTGAGTTCTTACTTTATTATAATCAGAATTCAGATGCACTAATTAAATACTCAGTACAAGGAAACATCATTATTTTGGGTCAACTGTGGTTAACAGAAGTTGAGGGGCACCTGAAAGCCAGGTGTTTATCTCAACTCTGTTATCACTAATTATCACTAATTAGCATCTATAAAGTAATAGGAATAAGTTGTTGGATGAGGGCTCTCTGACATGCAGCCACCTGTAATATTACAATTAATACCGGCCACAGATGTCAGATTATCTTGCCTTTATTAGAAAACTTCTCTCGAGTCACATATTACTTTAGTTTGCAAGAAATCAGATTTTATTAATTCATAAATTTCGTGACCATATTTTTATCAAGTCATCTACTGTCTTTTAGTACAGAGCTTTACTACACCAAATTCCAAAGCCAGCTCGAATTTGCTGCAAAATTAAACGTTCGTCAGTTTAGATGCTCAACTTTAACAAAGCATAAATATTGAACATGGCTAACTTTTTTTTCAGGCCCAGCAGAATTTGAACTAGCTACTACACTGTTATTTTCGCCGAACATTTGCACTGTGATGATATGATAAAAACAGTAGAACACTAAGCAGGGGTAGCGTTATTCCAGTAATCTGCCCTCCTTAGATATCAACAGGGGCTAAAGAATTTGCGCTCTATATATCGTCAGACAATGTATATATCACCATGTGGCTTTAAGAAAATCTTGTTTTGAGTAGAAGGAAGAATAAATCACTGAGAGTTCAACCTTAGGGAAATAAATTCGCTTTGTACTAGAAGTTCCCGCCACAATTAATTTTGATCTGTAAACAGTACCATTTTTACATTTTACAAGGAAAACAGAAACCATCAACTCTAACTCCAATAATGTAAGAGAACATTGTGTTGACTCAGTGTGTTGAGTATATTGATAATTAAACAAAAGGAACCATAAGACAAGGTACTGACGTAGGTCGTTGTCATGGCAACACGTGACTATTGTATTAACACATACGGTCCGTGAACAAAGAAAGTGAACAGATATCGTATATCTGTATCTCTCTTTGATCTTTCATTTCATGTTTAGGCCTATTTTCATGTCTTGTGACGAGTTGATCAGTATTCAATCATAAGCTATCTTTCCAGAAGTTAGCAGTTTCGATTTAAATTCTAAAAGAAACTTGTGAGGATGACGTTTACCTGCCAAAACAGGACAAAGTATTTCTTCTCGAACAGATGCATTTGATCCAGGGTCTCCGTCTTGAACAGCTGTTTCTGAAATGGTTCCTGTTAATGGTCCCTGAAATGGTTCCTGTTATTAGTGAACCGTTACGCTTTTGCGTACTTTACAGCGTGGTCATTAATCTTAAATTTACGCGCCCTTAAAATTATAGCTTACTAGACGTATGCATGATATATTTGTTATTTAAAACACTTTAAGGATCAACTCGAATTTTCTAGACAATTTTTAAAGCTAATTTTGTTAAACTATAACAATATGCAGTATTCTTACAACGTCTAATATTCAGCGACAATTACTATGGCTAGACATTTTTTTATATTTTTTTAAATATTTATTTATTTGTTTTCTTTTTAAATATGCAACCTACTAAAACCAATGGAGCCCTCCCCTGGGTCATTCCTCTCGCATTTGCGAGAGTCGTCCCAAAGGTGTAAAAGGCTAGAAATTGATATTTATTTATCATAAGAAGATGTGGATAGCATGGTTCATTTTAGCTGCTGCCATCGTCGGATCAGCACCAGGTATTGTCAAGTTTTATAATATTCATTCTGTTTTTGGAATGTGTAGGTCTTCATAGTTCATTTAAAGTGTAACTCATTTCATCAGGAATTTGATTGAGCTACTACTATCAAACTATTTTCAGCTACTGGAATGATAAGATGGCCAAATGATCAGAACACTCTGAATCGTGCAAAGACAACAAATGTTGACAATCTCCTTACAGGGTCCCAGCTTAACATCAGGTAAAAATATCTACTCTAGTACTATCTTGCCTTTTAACCGAATACATGGTGATATTCGATTTCTAAATGTCAGAAAATTAAAGGGATTAGATGGTCACTTTTGAGCACTGAAGATTGTAACCATACTTTCTTAGGGCACAATTTAACAGCGCTAATGAGGCACTGATAAAGTTCATGACTGAAGCTGGCATGACAGCTTTCTCCTTAGCTGTAGCTACAGATGGTGCCACTGTTACTTACGGAAACGACAGAACCAAGGTTTATACGTTATACCTGATTTGAAACTTTTACAAAATAGCAAATATACAAATGTACAGCAAGTCGAACAAACATATAAAATGGGCCGAAATGTATAAATGCTATAAAGCGTGGGTCAGTGAAACAAGTACAGAGGACAACTTTCAAAACAGGAGTTTTATGGCCGCCCAAAGTCTCAATAACATCACCTCCACCTAGTAATAAAATTATGAAATATGAAAAGTGTGAAACAATCAAATAATAAAATATTCAAAATATATAGTTGTCTCTTAAATACAGATAACGTCTGAAAATTCTTAAAATAATCATCACTCCTTCATATACTGATCAGTGTCCGAGAGTGTAACTCATGATGACTTCTTATCACGGCTACATACCTTCCCGTACCGGATGTAGTGGTCGAGATGAGTCTGTTCCGCCCTCTTCTTCTTCAGGTCAGTGACCAGATGCTTCCTTGTTGCTCGTTCTTCGCGGGATCTGTCTGGACATATCCATACATCTTTGTGATTCTCCCTCAGTCTCCCTGTTTTCATCAGAATCTGATGAACCGCTGTTGAGCTTGGGACGGTGATCTTGACTGGTCGGATAGCCGTACTACCTGGCCTCTTCCAACCGACTCTAGTCGCTTCGAAGTGAGGTTTCTCCCCGATCTCCTCCAAAACTGCGGTAACTAGCGCTGGAAGCTGTTCTTCCTCCTCTTCTTTCAGCCCAAACACGATCAGGTTCTTGCTCCTGTCCTCCTCTGCAGCCACACTCTTCATCACCTTCTTCAGGATTTTACTGTTGCAGACCGTACCACTTGCACTGTTCTGTTGAACAGCTGCACTATAGTTCTGAATCCCTGACTCCACCGTTGTTTGGACTGTCTCCTCAACAGACGTCTTAAGCAACTGTAGTTGTTCGTCCTTCTGCATCAGCAGCTGGCCCTGCAGTCTGATCACCTTTTCTTTGTCTGCTAGTGCTTCCGTCTTGAAGCACTCGATGATCTCCTTCAAGAGATACATCTGACTACTCTGCCGACGAACAAGGTCCACTGCATCCACAATCCAGCCAGACAGAGTCTGTTTATCCTTAGTCTTGATCTTTTCACGACTATCGTAGTCAATTTCACGGTAGTCTATATGCAGGTCTTTTTCTAACTGATCGGACCAGCGTGCAACACAGCCTTCCACATCTTCCTGTTGATCATAGTTGAACTCCTTAATCAACTCCTGGGATCGGGTCAAAGTTGGGTCATCCCCCATAGTGTACTTGTATAGTAATGTACAAGTACACACGCAAAGGTAAACTACGCGGTAGCAGCAAACTGAACTTATTGCAAATTTACAAAAGATAAGAGAGCTCGATATTTGCAACACAAGCTACACTGATTACACACATGATATCATATACAAACAAAAAATATATTTGTTGATCAAATTTGATCGATTGAATTTATGTTCCAAAGTTAACCTTGGTAACTTAATTACATCTTACCAACAGCTCACATCCACAATTCATTAAATTCAGTTTACAAAAAATCTGAGATCACCGCTAAAAGAGGGTGAGATTTACGACTACCAAGTAGACATTACAAATGAGGGGTACTCTACAACTTTCCGGGGAGAAGAGTTGCAGGTCACTCTCTACGCTAAGTCCGGTACATTTAACTTTTAGTTTTACAATCTAGATAAACCCGTCCAATTTCAGGGTCCATAGGTTCTATTATAGTATGATGAATAAATTTTATCAAAATGTTGATAATTCAACAATATTATCACGAAAGGTGCGTTTAGCCTCGCCGTTGTAACTGGTGTAAATCAAGGAAATTACTTTTCATTTTGCGATATCATCGGGCTGCAAATTCACATGATTGCTATAATGGGGTTAATCAAAGTCAAATCAAGTACGTCGAGGTTGTTTAAAACGAATTTAAAAGATCTCGCATTGTACTGGTAACTACTGGTAGCTACTGGTAACTACTGGTAGCTACTGGTAACTACTGGTAACTACTGGTAACTACTGGTAACTACTGGCAACTACTGGTAACTACTGGTAACTACTGGTAACTACTGGTAACTACTGGCAACTCTCCTAGACTGGCAGTGTATACACGTGGATACAGACTTTCCAGGTTACGATATACACGAGGGGTACTCATCTGGACTCGAGGACTGCTATAACAGGTACCATGATATTGATGTATAGATACCTAGGCACTTTGTAGGTACTTTATAGATTATGCTACATTGTGCAGCTAGCAGGGCATTTCAATTTATACACGGATATTATATAAATATATCGTAAATTATCAATTCAGTGAATTAAGTATAGTAGTTCCTGCAAGTTGATAATCCTAGAAATTAAAATCAGGTACTAAACATAGTTTAATAAATGTTATTGACTTTTCTTCCTGCCAGGTGTCTGAATATGAAGAATTGTGAAGCTTTCCTGCTCCTTTACAAAGGAAGTATTGGCAATAAAGAAGTCAACTGGTGCTGGTGTAAGAGCAAGAAGTATGGTAGAGGAGCAAGGAGTTATGTTAAACTCAAAGCAGCTAACTTGGATTGTTTCATTGGTTGGTACTATTGCAAATTTTAGTTCAATATCAAATAAAGACATTTCCCGGAACTGATTTTTATGATTTTTTACATTTAAAACATTGCCCACTTATATGATATTATGTTTTCTGATGTTTGGCAGTATATTCTGTAAATATGTCTCTTTATTTTAACTTTGTAATAAAATATTATCCATTAGATAACACAGATGTAAAGAAGTTGGAGGGATCTGGGGGCGTTTTTAACGAACTTACACTGGGTACACCACTACTACTAGGTATTGTTTAGCAGATTAGAGTTTTAGGGTAATCATCTACAACACAGTACACACCAGTATTATTCACAAGATTGTATATGCACTATATTATGACATCACATGATATAAGGTATATTTAATATTCTAAGATATTTAAAGGTATATTTAATCTATACTATAATTTAAACTTGACGAAATTTCCCCGGCAACGGGGACATAGAAGAAAAAACACCGAAAATCGACCTCAAAATGACCCTCTGGTGATGCCAAACCCAGCTCGCAAATGGAGTTGAAACCTCGCCATTTTTAGCAGGGTTGTAGAAAAAGGATAGGAATAGGCTATAGCATTCTTAGAATTTTGATTTAGGCTTTAGATTTTTTATAATTAACGTCGGAAGTGAGGTAAAATAACCGTTAGAATAATGTCGTTATTTTAGCAAAGGTTTACTGCGCTGTTGCGTAGCAACGTTAAAATGCACGTGCGCGAGCAATAACATCTTAACTACGCGCGTTGTTATGCTGTATGCTACGTCATAATTTCAAAACTAGCTCACATTTACGCTCACGCTATGACTTATATTCATAACTTTGGTTGTGATTGGTATTTTTTGATGCGGTAAAAAGTATCGTTTTGGGAATCCGAAAACTAACAACGCTGTCGCCATTGTTAAATAAATTCCATTATGTCTACTGTATAACAGAGCTGTATGATGAAGAGAAATTAAAACATAACTGATTTTTAAAATTTCCTCGAACAAAGCTTTCGACTAGCGGGTTTCTAGTATCCTATAATATGAAGACCCCCTTAAGTTGTTAGACCGATGGCCCAGGTTTTAATCTCAGATACATCACAAGGAAATTATATCCACCAGCGGGCTAAATTTGCGCCAGCGAGCCCGCTAGTTAAAGGGCCTGATATTTCTCAGCCCGCTGTTACAGCCCGCTGATATAGCCCGCATGAAATTTTACCAGTAACGATATAGCCCGGAGACAATCAAGGATTATGAATGAAAGGGAAGGGGTACAGTAAATCGGGGTTTATGTTAAAATCTTACTATCTTACTATATATATAAAGCGAGACGATATTTATATATGTTTATCCGCGGCATCAACTTTGACGCGACTTTCCGCAAAACCGTAAAAGATATACAACTGAAACTTTTTCTGCCATACTGATCCGGATATTACACATATTATACTGGATAGCCTCAACTCAGATATCTTATGGGTGATAATCCACTTATCCAGTTATTCTTCAAGTGCTCTCTGAGCTGACAAAATATAGATTCTTCAACTATATTAGTCCCAATTGGGACGCCCACATGATATTATGTCAACTATAATCACAAATCAGGCGTTTATTTGGCATAGACAGAGTCGACTAGGGTGACTACACAATATTTAGATAACGACACAATATTTAGATAACTATTCCACAACTCACTTTGGGCTATGGTTTAGGTCTCGTAATTTATTGATTTACAGTTTTACAAAGCTATTAATCTAATCTGATTTTAAAGTAATCGGACCCTATACGCTATTAAAAAATAAAACATGTGTTGATTAGTTTTTATTAGAGAATAACGCATAATTGCGTCATACTTTAGTATAAAATAAACCGGAAATAAAATTTCACAGATTATATGACTTTCTTTGAACACAAGGTAACATTGTAAATGCAACCTACATATAACCAAATTTCATTTTGAAGGGTAGTCTGGTCTCATTGCATCACGAATAAATCTTTCGCCTTTTACTAAAGATTTCCGTGCAGTGGGGCAACATTACAGACATTTATATTTTTCTGTAGTCCTCTCAGAGGACACACCTTTAACAAGAGAATAAATTTCCATAACCGATCCAATCGGATTACGACTTATTTTTGAATTGACAAGATCTGATTTATTGATCTTCTCTGGTGAATTAGTAAAATGCGCCCCTTTTGGGGAATCTTTACGTTTTGAACAGACACATTCATATTCCTCCACTGAAAATGAGATAGATCCCAAATAAATTACGTAAATAATTAATCGGTTCGAATATCCATCCCTCATCTCAAATTCTGTTGAAATATAAGATATTTAGAACTGAAATTGGCATAACTTTGGTTAGATCAAGAATCAAGACGTTGCAAAATACTCTCGACCGCGGAGCACTACGATTTTCACGCACCCAGTTACATAGTTGGGCACAACGCGACAGTCGGGGAACATTTGTTTCAGGTTGAAGGTGTGTCCTCTGAGAGGACTACAGAAAAATATAAATGTCTGTAATGTTGCCCCACTGCACGGAAATCTTTAGTAAAAGGCGAAAGATTTATTCGTGATGCAATGAGACCAGACTACCCTTCAAAATGAAATATGGTTTTATGTGGGTTGCATTTACAATGTTACCTTGTGTTCAAAGAAAGTCACATAATCTGTGAAATTTTATTTCCGGTTTATTTTATACTAAAGTATGACGCGATTATACGTTATTCTGGAATAAAAACTAAATAACACATGTTTTATTTTTTAATAGCGTATAGGGTCCGATTACATTAAAATCAGATTAATAGCTTTCTAAAACTGTAAATAAATAAATTACGAGACCTACATCAAAGCCGGAGGTGTGGAATAATTATCTAAATATTATATGCTTTTTAATTACGCACGAAAAAACATTCAAATGACGAACAGGCTGTTTTGAAACAACATTCCCACGACTTTCGGGAAACAGAGTTTAAATTTTGGGGCCCAAAGTAGCCTGAAAAGTTTTCGAGCACGAAAATTTATGTAAATTTCAGTTCTAAATATCTTATATTTTAACAGAATTTGAGACGAGGGATGTAAATTCGAACCGAGAAATTATTTACGTAATATAGATACGTATGTGATCTATCTTTTTTTTCAGTGAAGGAATGTTAATGTGTCAGTTCGAAAAGTTAAAATTCCCCAAAAGGGGCGCATTTCACTAATCAATCAGAGAAAATCAACAAATCAAATCTTGTTAATTTCTTTCAAATCGTAACTGTACGTGATCGATTATACACATTTATGACAATTTGGTAATCTAGCTAGGCACACTTGGGGCACACTTGGGGCACAAAATTGTATTCCCTGGGGCACAGTTGGGGCAGATGCAGTTGGGGCACAGTTGAGGCAAAAAAATGACCTGAAGCAGAGTTTTAGTAAACTAAACACACTTGGGGCACACTTGGAGCACAACTTGGGGCACACTTGGGGCATATACAGTTGGGGACCAATCGGGGCACACTTGGGGCACAAATGACTAAGGTTAACAATCTTCTGGTGTAATAATAAGTAACAACGTTTCTAGAGATAGCCCTCTGTGAGTTCATGTGGCGAAAGCGTCATAACCTCACCCGATCGGACTCATCTGAGCGAAGAGCCTTTAATAGCGAAATCCCTAAGCTTATGAGAAGAGTATTATCCTGAATAGTTGAATGTATAATTTTATTAATGTATATGTATTGGTTGTATTGGTATTCAGGAATTAGGTTATTTTTAATTAAGTTAAAAATTACGTATACGTTGTTACTTATTATTACACCAGAAGATTTTTTGCCTTAGTCATTTGTGCCCCAAGTGTGCCCCGATTGGTCCCCAGCTGTGCACCAACTGCATCTGCCCCAAGTAATAAAATTTTGTGCCCCAAGTGTGCCTAGATAGATTACCAAATTGCCAAATTTATTCTCTTGATAAAGGTGTGTCCTCTGAGAGGACTACAGAAAAATATAAATGTCTGTAATGTTGCCCCACTGCACGGAAATCTTTAGTAAAAGGCGAAAGATTTATTCGTGATGCAATGAGACCAGACTACCCTTCTATATGAAATATGGTTTTATGTGGGTAGCATTTACAATGTTACCTTGTGTTCAAAGAAAGTCACATAATCTGTGAAATTTTATTTCCGGTTTATTTTATACTAAAGTATGACGCAATTATGCGTTATTCTCTAATAAAAACTAATCAACACATGTTTTATTTTTTAATAGCGTATAGGGTCCCATTACTTTAAAATCAGATTAATAGCTTTGTAAAACTGTAAATCAATAAATTACGATACCCTTATCAAATTCCAAGGTGAGCTGCGGAATCGCCATTTACAAGACCAAAAGTGTTGGGCATTAATCTTTAACGCTCGCATTACTAAATAAAAATTCATTGATTTATTTTTAGATACAAATATCCATACAAAACGGGTCACTGAATTTAACAATAAAAATAATGAACTAAAAAGCTAATTTATTTGGGGATCTTAGGTCTGATTATAAGTCTGAAGAAACGTGGATACTAACTGAGTTTGCACAATTCTAGAAATAACCAAGGAAAAAACAAATGTTACTAATACTGAAATTTGATAAGAGTTGTGTACGTCTTGTACTTCACACGAGTTCATTTCATTTGTTTTGAACGCCATATTTAACTAAATCTAATTCAGCAAGTTCAGCGCAAATATTCTCCTGAGGCTTGACACTGGTAACATTAGCAATAGGAACAGTGGTCTCATAAAACATGGACTTCGCCGGGAACACGCCCCACCCATCATCAAACTTCTTGTCTTTTGCCAATTTTTTGACCATATCAGTATAAAGCAGCTCGAATCTGGTGTCCCGCTCCTGGGGGAAGAACCAGTCTGCGTCATGCCCAAAGAAAGCAGCTGCATCGTACGCATGATACGCTGGGAAAATAGAGGAATGGTGTTTGACATAGAGCCTGTAAATGTCTCTGTTAGTACTGAGTGCCATAGCCTCGGATACATCGTTAACAGGGCAAGTAGCTCTCATGTCAGCTGTCAGGAAACTCCAGACTCTGGTAGCTGCTCTACCCGGGTAAAGTTTGTAAGAGAAGTCCAGCATGTCTGCTTTATCGGTTATATTCTTGAAAAGTAGCTCCATGGTGTCGTTAGCTTCTTTACTGTTCTTGAAGCTGGGGATGTTCATGAAGTTCTCTTCCTCCATGGTTGACATTATAATAGGAAGAGGTTTGTTAGGAGTGAAGGTAGCATCCTTGAGGTTCCTAGCAGAAACAGTAACTACAACCGGGTCTACCATAACCAGGCCCACATACTCAGCCTGCTCTGTAAACTGCATGGGGAAAAGGAAGTACGCGTCTCCAGCGTCAGTCTCAAAATATTTAGTTGAGAACTTGTGCGCTTCCATATCCATGAGGCACTGCTTGCGTTCTGCTAAAGTAGCCTGAGGACACATCTGATCGACTAAGTGTCTCTGAAACTTATCCCCATCAACATGACTAAACCTCATCTCAGGGGCAGGGCTCTGTGATATGCCCGCATGAAACTTGTTATTAGCAAGAGGCGAGCAAGCAAGTGCGACCACCGCTGTAGCACCTCCACTCTCCCCAATAACTGTAACTGAGTCAGGGTTACCACCAAACCCGGCTATGTTGTCCTGTATCCAGTCTAGGGTTGCTATCATGTCTCTGATACCGTTGTTAGCGTACACTCCCGCTGCCTCGTCCCACAGTTCCTCAACAGAACTGAAACCAAGAAACCCAAGTCTGAAGTGTATGTTCACTGTGACTGCGTCCACCGCTTTCGTCACTTCATTGCTGAAACTGTAGCCCTGATTAGTTCCCTTACCTCCAGCTAGACCACCACCGTGTATCCAAACCATCACATCCTTACTACCCTCCAGATCAGGAGACCTCACAGTAAGATACAAACAATCCTCGCTCCCCTGTCCTCTACTGCTAGCCTGGATACACTCAACCTGGGTACTGTCTGTTGCGTTGAATATCTCGGAGGGGTTGGATACAATGTGTCTCTCAGGGGGTCTGAAGCGGAGAGCTCCGACAGGAGGTGTAGCGTACGGTATGTTGTGGAACTCGTGGATCCTTCTCTTACCATCAGGCAAGACTGTTGTTTTACCAACTATTATCCCCCCTGTTTTAGTTGCAACTCTGGCTTTTTGCCCACTGATATCCTTGTAGACTTCTTCTTTAACCTCATCGGAAGATTTTCCCTCTTTCAATGCCACAAAAACAAGGACAAGTGCCACGGCTACACATGTTAAGAAAGTGAAAAAAGCAACTCCAATAAGACATATTCTCTTGTTTCGTCCCGCTGGTTTGTGAAATGTTGCCTGTACTGTTGTCTCCGCTGGTTGTACAATTTCTTCTTTATCCATATTCAACTCAGGTGAACTTTACATTCTAGTAGAGTTGAGAAGAACAGCTGTAGTCTCTCTCTCTCCCTGCTTAGAATAAATCATATATTTTTAGTTTTTAACGGTTTCTTGTACATGAAAAGATATGTACAATCTATATAAGGTGTATAATACGAACGTTAATGGAAAACAAGCTGTGGCTCTAGAACAAAGAGGATGAAATAATCTCGAAAAAGTTCCATAAATATAATACATACAGTCAAACAGTCTGTATACCGGGCCTAATATATATACATGTGCGTAATTAAATAGCAAACTATCGTTTAGATCAATTAACTAATGTGTAATTATAATTAATGAAGCGACATGTAAGCCAAGTAGCTCAGATACACGATTAACAGTCTTAATAACCATTTAAAGTGTATGTTAATCTTAATATTAATACAAACTATTCGGTACAAGCTAACAAAAATACAAGAAAAGAACGTGCGTACTTTGATAGTCTCGTAAATCGCTTCTTAATGGATGAGTTGGATGTGTTCCTATAAACTATTGCATGTTGAGTCTTTTTAGTTTCAGCTGCATACAATCATAGGTGCAGATTTCGTTTTGAGGTGAACTTTTAAGTTCCCGAGAAATTTCTTAAGTTTGCTTTTTTTTCCTCCTCGGGCACATTCGTAACCTACGGGCCAGGTAAACCTAAACTACATATTATATTGACCGTTATGTACGTCGGTATCTGTTGAGGAGCCAAATCATCTGAAAAGCCCTAAACCTATAATTTGCTCAGGCACGTAGCGCGGCCCCCAGCGGGGTCCAGGTAAGGGGCGGACCACATTGGCGGGGGCTAGGGGGGCGCAGCCCCCCGGAAAAATTTTGCGAAATAGGGTGTTTAGGCTAAATTGAAAGTTTAATGAATTTACAAAAATGTATGGGTTGGCATAATCATTGCCTACAATCCTGACTTGAGTAATTTACCCCTTTGAGACTTTATTTTGGGTTGAAAATTGAGTTTATCGAGAGGAAGTGAAAAATCTCTGGTTCAAATTTGGATTTGAAACCATGTTTAATTTTTTCTGTTGAGGTCAATTTTTTGCGCAGAAAGCGTTCGATTTTAGGGGAAAAATTTATGTTTGCTTTTAATTTTTATGGTGCCGACGGCACCTGAAATCGACGAAATCTGCAGGGGTGCATACAATCAGCCCACAAGCTTATATTTAAATACATTCCACAGTCGAGGAAGTTAGAGCGCATTCTCAGAGTAACAAATGTTTAAAACTGTTAGTTGACGAGCTCACAAATTGACCGCTAATGATATAATGATGTAATGAGCTTGAAGCTAGGTGCGGTTAAATAACGACAACAGTGTAAAAACAGATCTAAAAGAATCAGTACGTGCGAGCAACAGTGCTAAAGTGACAACTAGGAAGTCATATTATCTGTTGTGTTAGAGCCAAAAAGCTGGACGTGACTACTGACAAAATCATGTTACACCTGGACAACAAATAGCTACTAATGATCAATTACTATCAAATTAAATCACACGATTGTGCCAACCGATTATAAATTCAAAGTATTGAAATAAAAAATAAGATTTAAGTATTAGTACACTGGTCAACACGCTAAACTAACACGCTAACACAATAATAACGAATAAGAAGACACTAAACACACAGCTAGCAGTACTTAGTGTAAACAGTTATGTAGTTCTATGTGCTACTATTACAAACCGTGTTGAGTATCGACTAAAGATAAATATTCAGTGTACAGTGTTCAGAGCAAGATACTCAGGTTTGCTCACATGCAGAGAGCAACAGCAGACAGATAGAGATACACACGGACAGACATACACAAAGACATACAGAACTGAGAGAAGCAAACAAACATAACAATGAACGTATAACAGCATCTCATTACACGGTGTGACGGTGTGTACATACTTACACAATGAATACAGAACTAGGAAGGGGACTCCGTCACAAACATGACAGTACATACCACAGTGCCAATCATTGTTTTTGGCTATCTGCCAACAAGTTTCATACTATCAAGTGGGCATAAGTTTTGTACAGATTAACAAATAGAGAATTATAGTCACTCTCAGGAGTTGATCCATTGGTTTAAAAAAAGGATCAGTTTCTACTAATATCTTTTCTGGTCGAAGAATGAAGATAAAAACCTGCTGTTTTTATGTTAATGTTTTGGACGCAGAAACGTAAATCAACAATTGAATTTTTGACCTCGATTCTCCTTTAAATTTTAACCGAATTTTGTCGATCAATAGAGACTTTGAATTACCAGACGTAGACTGGACAAGTAATGTAATATTTTCATGTTGTAAAAGTTTAATATAAACTTATCATGAATCCCTGTGAAGAAAAATTCCATTCTAAAATGTAATATGCCGAATGTTTTCCTGCCTACATTTCACAGACGTAAGGTATAAATATTTAAAGTTTGGCCCTGAACTCACACCTAAAATATACCAAGTATTTAGTCCTTAACAGGACGACGGCCATCAAACCATTACTCCTCAAGTATCAAAATCACTATTAAATCACTATAGCAAACAGAATTTTAAACTTAACAAAGCTATTACAGTAAAACCTCGATTTACCGCGCCCCTATTTACCGCAAACCCCGACTTACCTTATCACTGATGGTGGCATTAGCCTGAGCCTTTATCTTGTACCTCTGACACAGCTCCATATCCCGGTTAATAAGCACCCCAGCACCAGTGCTGTAATCGTGCACTATGTTGGTGTAGTGCACGTGTTGGTCGGTACTAGCGTGGTACCCTACACTGATCAGACCATCGTACACATACTCAGATATCTGGGTGGGGGTTTAGTTGTTATGCTAACTTTTACATACACTTGACACAACTTGGTTACAGTTAATACGAAATTGATAATATGCCAAGTTCAGACGTCATGTTGAAGAGCTGAAGTTTTAAAATCCTGAATTGATAAAATAGGTTCTGTAGTAACAAGAAATAATAATTTAACACGAAATGCCAACGTGTCAAATGATCATTCAACAAATTGTAGCAACCTTAATGAGACTGAGAGATTCTTGTTTCTTGTAGTACTCGCTAAGTATCCGGACTTCCATGTAGTAGAACTTCCCAAGTTGCGGCACTTCAACCTGAACCAGGATATTTTAATGAATAGTTTCAGTTAAATATTTGGTGTGTAAAGTGAAACTTTACTAAGCTTCTGTTAGTCAGCTCATATCCGTCCATTTCCAGTGCTTTTCTAGATAACTCAATTAACCAGACAGTTTTGTTAACCTCTAAAAGCCAGAGTTAAAAAAGCCTATGTTCAACTGTACTAATCTTATTGGCTGTACTTTTATAATTTAATAATTGGCTGCATAGTATGTAGAAAATGTTAACACCTCACTGTTTGGAGCAACTCGAAAACTTTGTAAACTAATTGTTGAGTGGTAAAGCAATTACCTAATCAGCTAAGCGAAAAGCAACAAATATAAATATACCTGTTTATCAGATTTACAGAAAACATCGTGGGGAGGAAGGGTGATGACAGAGGGGTCGGTCAGGTCAGCGTCACTTATTTCAACTAATTCACCATATCTCATCATCACGAGCCAATCAGAGCTCTTGTTTTCTAGTGAGCGGGAGATGACAACTCTATCTATCTGCTGCACTGCAATAAAAGGAATGATAATGAAAACCGAAATAACCTTTAATGATCAAGTTTAATCATCTAATTTTATAATTAATAGCATTGTATAGTGTATGCGTATGAGTTCTTTATTCAATTCTTTGTTGTAAAAATATCATAATCTTGCTGTTAAATTTAAATATTCTGCACTTACATTGATTGTCTATGGTTGCTGTGATGGCATATGGGAAAGGTAGAGTGCTGTTAGCCTTTCGCACAAAAACTGTTTTTTGAGCTCCATTTTCAGAAATACTCTCATCAGAGTCTATTAGGGATCGATTCTGAAATGAAGTACCTGATTACAAAATAGCTTGATGTTTAGTATAATTGAAAAGTGATCTGAGATAAGCAATTAAAACTAATCGCCACAAGTCGTGTTACTTCTAAAAACAATGCTTGCATACGTAATAACTGGGATGGCCACACTCACAGTCAACTAAGGAAATAATTGAAATATAACAAATGGAGTATAAATTAAATCTTAAGATGCCTGTGAACAACTATTAAGTAAGTCCTAATGAAAAAAATACCTGAAACGCATAAAATGCATCATATATTGCTTCAATGCCAGGACTATTTTCTTCCACAAAATGAAAAGGTCGGTAGATTGTAGGTAATTGTTCAAGACTACAATTAGTAAAATCATATCTAATTGAGTGGTTATTAGTTCCATCATAAATTAAACCACTGATATATTGTCCAGAATTGAACACAGTCCTTCCAATTTCATCATCTCCAATCAAACAATAGTGCTGTTCAATTGAGAAGGTTTGGTTTTGATTATTGTTGATTCTTCCACTGATTCTGGTTTTGAAGCAATTGGGAATGCCTGGAAAGTTGATAGCAGCTATTGCAAATGACAGCCAAATGTAAAGTGATGATAAACTGAGGTAGCAGTTGAGCCGAAACATTACAGCAGGTTTTTAGTAGTCTCTGTGTTAATTGTAGTCTGTGTGAGCTTTTAGAACTTTCTCCATATACTGTAACAGTAAAGATTAGTAGGTATTTAAAACTAAAATAGATTATGAAAACTAAAAGACTACTAAACTTCCATTCACAGGATAGCCAGTTAGGAAAACAAATTTAGGAAAACAAATTTAAATTTTGGTATTTATTAATAACAATCAAAACATATCATATCATAAAAATAAAGCCACGCGTTGGTTGACTGCCTCAGTAAGGTGAATAATTTAAGCTTGAAGGTGCCCTGCGCATTTACAGAACCTTATGCGGCAATCACATATTCATGAGGACCTGTGAGCGCCAAAATTAATTTAAAGTTTCTAAAAATCATACATCACTACGAGTTACTCATGCTTTTGGATTATTAGAGTGCGGATTGTCAGGTATTTCATTCATTCATACTTAATCGGTTTAAAGCTGTATATTTAGAACTCACTATTGTTTAAACTACGAAAGCAGAACGTAGATAATGGACAATATACCAACGACAATACCAAGGACCCGAGTGCCGCATTGACTTTTCCGGATCCGTTTTTACCGAAGGCTTATCCACCAGTTACTCATGCTGCATGTATAGTCTGATAATATTTTGTCTTACCTCTAGCAAGCATTCTGTAAATTGAAGTGTCGTATTTATTATAGAAGAGCCAGCCAACCTCCGCATTATAATCTTTTGTGTGCCAAGTTCGTTTATAAAATCTAATCATATAATAAGATTGATCCAATAGTCTAAGATGAACGGTATATCATAGCTCATCGTTATTAAAATCCGAATGGATGAATTAATCAAGTAATGTTCCCTTTCAACACAACTAAACAACAAACAAATGCTTGCTCACCAGTGGTGACGCAATCGTAGGGGCATGTAGTTGGTTCAGATAACTCTCACCCCGACGACGGCGTCGAGAAATTATCAAATTATGCATTTGCGCCATACTGGACACATTTTATATTTAATATTTTGTGGTTTGTAGAAATTAGTGTCATCTAAAGTATAGCTTAACTGGCGAGCAAGCATCGTCCCACTCGGCGGGGACGAAAATACCGAGTCCAATCACAGAAAGTTAACCAAAAGATAAAAACAAGAGCTCGGATATCAACAAAAATCACATGCTCCAGACGACGGGGGAAGAGAGGAAAGGAAGTAAGCTGCTGGGCTCAACAAATTTTGATAATTGTAAACAAATTTGTTCTTGTGCCCTATAATAATTTGGTATTGAGGTATGACCCTGTACTGTGCGTGATAGTGAGAATGAAAGTGAATGTGAATCTATAATGCGAACGAAATGAGTTGTGGCCAGACGATTCTTCAATTTCAAAATAATAAAGTCAAAGGACTCTGTTTTAAAATACAAGCTCATTCTTATCAAAGTTTAATTCTGTCCATTCTAATTCTTCGTACCTTGACTGTATCTTGAGTAGCTCACTCTTCAGTGTTACTTTAACTAAGTTCGTTGACTTAGTAAAGCTTATCAAACTGTCAATTTTTCGACAGTCGTTCCACATTTTTGTTGATTGATAAATGAAAGAGGAGGATGGGTTTGGGGTGATGAACTGGTCTGAACGTCTTTGTGATGGTGATCTGTGGAGTAAAGATAGGAGTGAGATTGGAGATTCTAATCTGACAATTTTGAACAGTTCTAATAGACATGTGTATTTGTACAGGTTGTGGACGGTAAGAAGGCCGTTCTTGTTAAACAACGGCTTTGTATGCTCTTTTTCAAAGAATTCCCTTCCTAGGATTTGTTCATCTATACAACGTGTTCTGGCACATGTTCTAAATTTATCTAGATATGCTTCAAGGTCACCAAATAGTATTCTGATACATTTTTTCTGAGTGATGAAGATAGGTTGAAGCATATTATTACTCGACCCACCCCATACCGATATTCCAAATCTTAGGTGTGACTCAAATAACGTGTGGTACAATTCTTTATGGTGTTTTTTCGGGATAACGTGTCGTATTCTACTGAGTCTTCCGATCTCACACCTAAGTTTCGAGTTGAGGGCTCTTATTTGAACATCCCATTTTAGCTTTTCGTCAATAATAACACCTAAAAACTTGGTCTCTTTAACTTGCTTTATTACCGTATTATTCAGAGTTAGTATATATTCTGATTCGTTATCTGCCTCATTATCAGTAGCTGTACGTGACGGATTGAAGTGAATGTAGCAGTTACCTGGCAACATTCGCTCATGATGCTTCTCCAAGCTTACACAAGTGTAAGAGAGGAGTAAGATAGTCATGCATTTCGGCACGAGGAGTCCATCACAACTTGAAAAACAACAATATACAAATCAATTGATAAGTTGAATTAAACAGTAACCATTTTAACAAGAAATGTGGCCGCTTTTCTTTTGTGGATGGCCGCTCAATTTCCCGATCCGTGATGGCGTATTTTATCATATTCCATACCACACCAGTCTTTACTGTTTATAAGCGTGCAGATATGGCGGAGTGATAGACCGAGCGCCGCCCAGTTAATATAATTCCATATTGAATTTGAAAATCATGTATATTTCTATGTAACCATATGTTTATTGTTTATGCAACCTGACACGGATCTGTGCAAAATAGTAATACTGTAACTAACTCAAAATAATAATAACATGTTATCAATTAGTCCCTAGCGGGATGCGTACCTGTTGAAATTAACAATTTACTTGAACATCAGCACTGTGCGCCAACAATTGTTTAATTCAGATTATCGCGCGAAATAACTTTGCGCAGGCAGAAACGTGGGCAATAACTGAGGGCGAGGGCACGTACGCTCGCTCGCAGGCACGCACGCACGGTCGCAAAGCTACCATATACAAAAAAACCTCGTTCGCTAACCCTTGTCCTTGACTTTTTTGTGCCCTCGGCACTTTGAGTCATGGATCGGGAAAAAATTGAGTAGAAATTATTATTTCTACTCAATGTACAGGCTCTTAATTTAAGTCTTAATCAGCTATTTTTAAAGCACTACCACTTTCCAAACCTCTTTTCCTTCCAAGAGCAACGACCGTTGTTCTCAATAAAAGAAATTTTCCTCTTTTCCTGATTAATAAATGTCATCACCTCACTATATCTTTAACCAAACTTGATCCTAGACAGTTGGACAGCTAACTTGTAACTAAAAAAAATACCTTCTACATACATGCGTTCGTTATTCATTATAACATTGATAATTTTTCGTGTTTCAAGTAAATTGATGTTTCTGCTTCGAAGCTCTAAAAACTACATTAAGTTTGCAGAGTTGCTTTGGTTGCAGCACTGCTCTACTCGGATCGTACTCTTAGATACACTCAAGGCCTGATCAAATTGTTATGTATGTAATGACCAGTTTAAATAGTGATTTGGCCTTTTAGTGTTTATAATTTTACTTGCACTTGTTAAAGCAATTACGCGCAGTTCATCCAAGAATTTTCGTTGCAATAAAATTATTTAATTTGCCATTGTTTCATTTAGCTTGCTAGTCTATTGAGTATTAATCGCTATTTTGAAGAAATTTAGACGAGTAACAATATTCGTCAAATTTAAATTCAGCCTTCACTTAACCATGTGCTTTCGAGCCGCTGCGGGCGCGCAGTACTGCAAGCGCAAAGGCGCTGTATAGAGCAGCAGTGAGCAGCAGTGAGCAGCAGTGAACAGCAGTAAGCGGCTCTTACTAAATCGCTCGCCCAAAAATTTCACGTGACTTTGGTTTTTTTGGTTTTGCAGCCGTACAAAACGGTTTTACATAAACCCTAATCCCAACCCTAACCCTAACCATAACCCCGAAGCTATCCATAATCTTAACCACAACCCTAACCCTAACCCGAGCCCTAAATAATCGAATTCACGGTTATTTGCCCATAACTCTCCAGGGAAGCATTTTAACCCTACGTCATGGGGGTGATTCGGAATCAGCGTCCAAAAATACACCGATCTAGATCATTGTCATGCCTAAAGGACCTTTTCACAAGAATTTTCTTAAAATTTGGGCGATTGATATAGTAGGAGCGGCAGTAAGCAGCAGTGAGCAGCAGTGAGCAGCAGTGAGCAGCAGTGAGCAGCAGTGAGCAGCAGTGGGCAGCAGTTTCTTTGCATTATAGTCCTCATGTGTCAGCCTGTTATTCCACTGCGAAGCAAACAAACGATCTAGTCTGCGATGCGAAGCAAAAACAAAGAATGATAGTTCGTGCGGCTTGTCAAAGCATATAAGGCCCGTATAACCCTAAAATGGTGTCAAGACTCAAAAGACTAAAATAATTATTACCTATTTAATTTGCGTTCGCGCGTTTTTGACACCACTTGGGGGTCCACATTTTGAGCTTTGAAACTTCTATTTCTTGAGCTTGGCCAATTTTTTATTTTTTCATGCTAATTTGGAGGCCATTAAAACATTTGACCCAGTCAAAAAAGTTTCAATTTCAGTTGTATATTTTTTACGGTTTTTGTGGAAAGTCGCGTTAAAGTTGATGCCGTGGTGTCAATAAAATGGTTGCTCTATCCAGAGCCCTTGCGCTTACAGTAGCGCGCGCCCGCCTCACGGCGCGCCTGAAGTGGCGCGAAAGCACATGGTTAGGTGAAGTAAAATGGTACGAAGCCCCCCATATATATCGTCTCGCTTTATTGTTTATACATAGTGAGATAATAAGATTTATTTAAATAAACTCATTTAGTTAAAAATTAAAGGTGTTGCTATAAATGCAAAATGCAAAATAATATATTTACAACTTTGTTTTTTATTTAAATTAATAACATTTTTTAAATTAATGTTATTACGTTACGCGCGCGCCTTACATGTTACATAACATGAACATTGAATATGGTTCATAATTTTATACCATTATCACATAATTAAACTGTATTAACTATACTTATTCAAAATTCAATTTTCTTATTTAATGAGACCATCAAATAAAACTAAAGTTTGACGTGGCTTGGTCAAGAAAAATAAAAAAGACATTAGCTTAGTTTCATTTTTGTCACCATATGCTATAATATGTTGATACATGTTTCGTATCCAATATCAGAGATATTGGCTTCGCGCGCGAAAAGTGGCATGCAACGTATGTCAAATAATATGTAGACACATAAAAATCGTGAATCTCGTAGGAGTATCCTTTATAGTACTACCTTACTGCCTCAATCCAGTGAGCTGCATGATTTAGCTACTTCTGACCCAACCCAGAGAAATATATGTACCAGAATGTTGATCTTTGATTCTTGGCTACTTAATAAATGCCCTGAAATACGAATGTGTCCGAGTATCCACCTCTACTGAACCTAATGGTTATATCTGCCACATACCTTGGTCGGGAGTCAGTAATTGTGTGTTACACACTTGTGTGTAATACAGCAACTGATAAGGCATGTAATCTGTAGTACAAGTAGTGAATTGTTGCGATTGATTTGTGGCGCGATAGCTTAATGGTTATAGCATCCTAGTGCTAATCGGGAGGTCGTGGGTTCAATTCCCGCTCTCGGCACATCTCACCCTTGCTTTTCACGAAAACATACTACCTTACTGCCTTAATCCAGTGAGCTGCATGATTTAGACTTCTGACCCAACCCAGAGAAATCCTTTATAGTATGTATTTAAAAGGAACATTAGTAGAGCATTGATTCCATGAGCAACAGTGGAGTGAACCAAATATTTCTTAAATTATGAAAGCATAATTCGATTTTCCATCATTATTACATACACTCAACTCCTGCTGAAAACTTTGTTTTGGTATTGGGCTGCTATGTATATGCTCGATTCTTGCCCTGTGGCCTCATCCAAGGATACAGACCTATACTAAGCTTAGGCCTCAACTTCGAAATTACAATCGAAATTCAAAGATTGAAGTCCGTTTCAATCTTCCTTGAAATTGTACTGACAATTTTCCTTACTGACTGATAGTTTGTTTCTGTCCTCTTCGTATAGAATGTAAACGACTGTATTATGGTTGTGATCATACAGGGCCTTTTTGCTCAATCCCTGAGTGCCCGATCGAAATAATTCTTTCTGATTTGACTTGATATCATTACTCATAATTTGAAGAATCCGTCAATTAAAAGGATGACGATGTTCAATTTTTCTCGAACAAAGGATCATTTACGCATGTTTTAGATATTTCTAATGATTGGATAGAGCCAAATTCTGGTGCTTCTTGTTTAATCATTGAAATTACAGTTGCCTGAAAAGATTGAAGTTTTGTCTTTCTTAGCTAGACAGAGATCTCACGCACAATGGGTTCATTCATTATGCGCTTAGTCAATAAAAACACTGTGATTGTTATAAAAAGGAGATGATGAAGCAAGTATTCAGGAACATAGGCATGACACAAAGAGGAATGGTCGGTGGGGATTGGGACCCACTTAAATCACCTTAACACAGTGCCCCTCAGTAATCCATCCTGTCACTCAAATTATTTGTTATATAGTAGTGTTGAAAGTATCAAAACTCATTATGTGAGATCAGGTGATTGGGCTGACATTAGATCTGTACTACTATCATGCTATTTGTTACTAAAATGCTCATTGTAGCCTATAACAATTAGATTTTCATCATCATCATGTACTATGGGAATCATGCAGGAAGCCCAATTAGGGCTTCCTGAGCTGTATGCTAAGGGAGGGTTACGGTGTAAAACATAGTAACGATTAACAAAACTAGGAAAACTTGTGATTGTGCACTTAATGTGAATCATTGCTCCTGCTGCAGGCTTTTATTAGTTGGCGTCACTGTGGCAGACACTAGGTGCATGCCTGGAAAAACTGCTTTTTACTCGGAGTGGGACAATTTGCTGTTTTATCTATTACAACTTATAGAATTGATCTTATTTAAAATGTTTTTATTTCCAAATCATGAGCGTGCGGTTTTAAAATCCATCCGTTATTGGCATTGCAGTGTTCTCGGCCTGTACTGCACGAACGACCGAAATTTCCCTATAAATTATTCTGCTTCTAAAATTTTGGATCTAGTAATTAATAAATGTGACATGCAATTGTAAGATAACTACATCGATGACTCATTTTAGCTATAATTGTGTCCCATCATTCCCTATTTAGATTGACGCATAATCATCATTTTTAGTTATCATGTTTTTTAAATCAATTGGTTTATTCTACTATCAATTTGCTAGGTTATAGAAAGTAAACCTCGAATTTGCTGGAAAAGTTCCAGCTGAAAGATGGCTACCAATGGCCACGCTGAGATGAATGGCAGTGGAGAAAATGGAGATGGACCCTACGTCCCTCCTGTAAGTTGAAATTAATCAAATGCTTTCCGACTCGACTAAATAGTTATACCAATCCTACATTGCTGAATTGGTAATCATGAATCCTATTTCGTTACTTAACATTTAAAAAAGATGAATCATGTTATAATATTTGAATTAAGTGGTTACTTTTTTGCTTTTTCAGGAGGAGATTATCAAGCCGAGAACTTGCCTTTCGGGTTTGACTCAAGAAATGTGGCAGGAAACTCATTACAGTGCAATGTATCGTTTCTTCTGTGATGAAAATTGTCGGGTTTTAGTATCCTACATTGATAAGAACATGGGACTTGTTTGTGATAACAACGTACCATCATCACAGGTTATTAAAAAATTATCCGTACTTCAATAAACCTGTTTTCTCTTTCCTTTCTTATTCCAAATTTTCAACTCAGATTAACTTTCTGTCTTACTCTTATCTTGTTTCTGTTAGATGATATTAGACATTGTGTCAAAATGTAAGTATCATTAATTGTGAATTTTGCAGCCCGGACAAGTTTCATACTTCATCAAACTTGAAGCGGTAAAGTTGTCGAAATCCAATTTTCACAAGTCAGTAACCTATGGGACTTGCAACAGTGATTATATGCACGCTCTGCTCGGCACCATGCACTCAATATATGCTCCTGTCTTCTTCAAAAACACCACATGGCCAGAGAGTAAGTTAGAGTTGAACGAATACGCAATTACAGATTTACACGTTCCCTACAATGTTTCTCTTTTGTAAGACTAATAATGTTTGTTCAATGTTGTTATTTTGAGCAAGCTGGAATTAACATTCGTTATCATTCAGGTGTGAGAAATGACTTTGCTGCACAACTGCACAAGTTCATGGCATGTTTGACAGACACAGCCTACAAGATGGAAGGGAAGACGGTGCTCTACATTCCTGAGGAGGACATCACCTCATCTTTGGAGAAGTCTGCCAAAAACAAGGAACTGGTCGCAAGATTGGAAAGTAAGCTAATCGATAATTTTCCATTTTATTAGAAAAATAATGGTCTGAGACTTGTGTCGGTTCGATTGTGTGAAATTCAATCCTCACCTGAAATAAATTTCAGCAACATTTATCCATAGATTGGAAAGTAAGCTTTCTTGTGGTGGATCATTATTTTCATGTTTTATTGAACTACTCATTGACGCCTGAGTCAAATGTTCTCAATATCTTAAATGTTAAATTCTAGCTTTGCCACTTACTCACAATCTATTTCAGCATCAGTTATCCACTGGACTCGTCAGATTAAGGAGGTTCTAAGTGCACAAGATGCGTTAGAGATGAGCGAGAATAGTGGACCTTTAGAAGAGATTGCTTTCTGGAGGAGCAGGTGCACTGATCTGTCTGGTATTAGTAAACAACTCGACCAAGACGGAGTCCAGAACATCAAAGAGATTTTATCTTTATCCAAGTGAGTTTATATAAAATAAAATTTATGAATAACAAGCTTTAATTGCATTCCTTAAACACGTCATTCAAAGAGAGATCGAAATTCATTTCATTCGTTTTTCTTTTTAAAAAGTTACCGTGAATTTTAAGCAAATACTCCTCCGCCTACAGATCGTCCTACATCGCACCGTTCTCCAAGCTTGCCAAGCAGATCCAGGACAACACAGCCCAAGCACAAAGCAACCTGAAGTACCTGTCAGCTCTGAAGGAGCCTTGCGAGGAGCTGGCTCAGTCAGAGCCAGCTGTCATCCCTCCAATGTTATCAAAGATTCTCAACGTCATAAGGTATTAATACCAGTTATCCCTACGAGTTCAACATAATAATGTTTTAAGTTATCTAATTAACTCTAGTATGATAATTTCATAGTGTTTGTTTCCGTAATACTGTATTATTTAAGGTTAACAAAGCATTTTTTATGAACAAATATTTTCAGGATGATCTGGACAAACTCTGATCACTATCGTAGTAGAGAACGACTTACTGCGTTACTTCGGAAGTTCTCTAATGAGATTATCATGAGGTGCTGCACCAAGATATCTCTAGATGATATCTTCACAGGTAACATGGCCTGATAATGTGGCATCGCTTTATTTTCTGAAAGATAACGCATCAAATATTGGATTTGATGGTTTTCTTTATCATATTTTTGATGTTTATAATTATTGTGAGAAATGTTTATCCTAAAGTAAACGAATATCAGGCGAGGTTGAGAAGAGTATAGAAGGATTGGACCAGAGTATTCAGTGTTGTGAAGCTTGGAAGGATGCTTACAATGACGCTGCTGCTACACACAACAGGTTCAGCGAGATCAAGTGGTTGCTCGACCGCAGCAGCATCTTCGCTCAGATTGATGCTTTCGTGCAACGATGCAAAGATCTGAAAGAGGTAAGAAAGTGGGGAAATCATTACTGAATCGAAAATCCGATGTTGTGAGGTGCCTTGCAGCTGAAAATTAAGAACATGAAATTTCATCTACCAATTTATTAAGAATTTTATTGCTTGTATCATACATGATTTGTAAAAATTTACACTTATCAGGTATGTGAAGGACAATCTCAGTTCGGTCGGTACTCCCAAGGCAAGAAGAGACCTCTGCCAATATTCGCTGGTCTGCGTGGTCCCGAGATTGCAAGGAGTCTCAGAGAAATCGAGGACGCCTTCGAGAAAAACTTGAACATTTTGAGAAAGGTGAAAAGTACGATTCTTGATGTGAAGTCTACTGCGTGGCATGATGCCTACAACAAGTTAGTTACTCACTCTATTAAACCTCGTTAATAAAACTGTTTCGTAACTGTTAATGAGGTCGAAATAAACCCATGGAAGTGTTCTTTTTATCAAGTGAAACATTGTTATGCAATCAATGGTTATAAATAGTTCCACCCATCTTAATTTAGCTCACCAACATAATCAATAATCTCAGGTTCCGAATGGGAGTTAAAGATCTAGAAGTAATGATGCAGAATGTAATCTCCTCAGCGTTTGAGACTGTAACTACAGTCGAGCTTGGTGTTCAAGTCCTTGATGTCTTCCAACACTTGTCGTCAAGAGAGGTAAACTTTTATATTCGTTTTAAGTTGTGTATTAGATTTTGTTCTGAAAGGTGAACAGGATAATTTAATTTATTGTCCTTTCATGCGATCATGTAGTATAATTTGAAAAGTACCTAAATGCTGATTTCATATTTTCTGAAGGCAATAAGACGGACGATCGACAAGAAAACAGTGGATGTGTACCAGAAGTTTAACGAAGAACTGAACCTCGTCAAGAAAGAGTTCAATACCAAAACTCCAAACCTCACTCCAACACAACCCAAGTTTGCCGGCGCAGCAGCTTGGGCTCGTGCGCTGAAACGCCGGATTGACCGCCCCATGGACGTGATAAACAAAGCGTTTTATCTACCACGTATCGGGGCTGGAGAGGAGATCAGGAATCAGTATCAGCAGCTCAGTCAGGCTCTAGAGGAGTTTGTTGGGAAGACGTTCCAGGAATGGGCTCTTAGCATCGACAAGGTTGGATATAATGGTTTTAGTGTATTATTGTTTAATTTATTATCTAACGTCTGAAGTGTTGCTCAAACATAATATCATGATAATATCATGATAATATCATGATATAGTAAGTTTTATGAGAAAATTATCCCTTGCCTTAAATAATAAATATCGATGATTCCAATGATACTGTATTTTATATTGTTTCTCTCTGTCTCTGTCTATGAAATACTCACGCTGAGAACCAAGTTTTACACCCAGGATTTAGGACACCTATTAGACGCACCCCTTATGTCCAGATGTCATGACAAGAACACTATGCTCGATGTCAACTTCGACAGGTAATAATCAGTCAATAATCATCAGTTAATTATAATTAAGTAGTTTTGTCGATTTACTGCAGAGAATAAAATTTAATCTTCAAGGAATTTTTCGTGCATTATTTAATGTTGTGGGTTAATCTGACGCACAAACTGCATTCCGTTATAATTTTTTGCTTAATTTATTTTGATTGGATTAACATCGTTATTATAACTGTCGGCTGTCCGATAAAATAAATATTGTAACAGCACAAACTATGATTACAAAAGTTACCGTTAATAATCAATGCATGATAAATATACAAAATAACGTGTCTATCAGAGCGGTTCTAGTGGACACTCTCTTGCTTGATAAGTCGATCAGCAGGTAACTCGTAGTAACCAGCTAGCTTACATGTAACCAGCTGTCTTACTACTGCTACTAATACTTGCTGCAGCTATTCCTGTAGCTTCGTCTTCCACGCACAACGGAATAGTTTAACAAAAATCATGTGTTTTATCTAAAGCTAAGACTTAAAGTCTTTCTCTTGTCGTGAAAATGGTTTTAAACTATGGGAGCAAAAGGAACAATGCCGGGGGTTACCTCATACTTAAAATAAATAGTATACCGTATTTAATAAGTTGATAAACTCATCAAAAAACAACAAAGTACGCTGAAGTGAAAGTTAAAATCAAACTTAAGTCGTCTAAAATATACGATTAAAAGCTATACTTGACAACCTTATAACCTGACCAGAACGCTGCTAAACCGTATATCCTGACCAGAACGCTGCTAAACCTTATAACCTGACCAGGACGCTGCTAAACCTTATATCCTGACCAGGACGCTGCTAAACCTTATATCCTGACCAGGACGCTGCTAAACCTTATAACCTGACCAGGACGCTGCTAAACCTTATAACCTGAAAAGGACGCTGCTAAACCTTATAACCTGACCAGGACGCTGCTGAACCTTATAACCTGACCAGGACGCTGCTAAACCTTATAACCTGACCAGGACGCTGCTAAACCTTATAACCTGACCAGGACGCTGCTAAACCTTATAACCTGACCAGGACGCTACTAAACCTTATAACCTGACCAGGACGCTACTAAACCTTATAACCTGACCAGAACGCTGCTAAACCTTATAACCTGACCAGGACGCTACTAAACCTTATAACCTGACCAGGACGCTTCTAAACCTTATAACCTGACCAGGACGCTACTAAAGCTTATAACCTGACCAGGACGCTACTAAACCTTATAACCTGACCAGGACGCTACTAAACCTTATAACCTGACCAGGACGCTGCTAAACCTTATAACCTGACCAGGACGCTGCTAAACCTTATAACCTGACCAGGACGCTACTAAACCTTATAACCTGACCAGGACGCTACTAAACCTTATAACCTGACCAGGACGCTACTAAACCTTATAACCTGACCAGGACGCTACTAAACCTTATAACCTGACCAGGACGCTACTAAACCTTATATCCTGACCAGGACGCTACTAAACCTTATAACCTGACCAGGACGCTACTAAACCTTATAACCTGACCAGGACGCTACTAAACCTTATAACCTGACCAGGACGCTACTAAACCTTATAACCTGACCAGGACGCTACTAAACCTTATATCCTGACCAGGACGCTACTAAACCTTATAACCTGACCAGGACGCTACTAAACCTTATAACCTGACCAGGACGCTACTAAACCTTATAACCTGACCAGGACGCTACTAAACCTTATAACCTGACCAGGACGCTGCTAAACCTTATAACCTGACCAGGACGCTACTAAACCTTATAACCTGACCAGGACGCTACTAAACCTTATAACCTGACCAGGACGCTGCTAAACCTTATAACCTGACCAGGACGCTGCTAAACCTTATAACCTGACCAGGACGCTGCTAAACCTTATAACCTGACCAGGACGCTACTAAACCTTATAACCTGACCAGGACGCTACTAAACCTTATAACCTGACCAGGACGCTACTAAACCTTATAACCTGACCAGGACGCTGCTAAACCTTATAACCTGACCAGGACGCTGCTAAACCTTATAACCTGACCAGGACGCTGCTAAACCTTATAACCTGACCAGGACGCTACTAAACCTTATAACCTGACCAGGACGCTGCTAAACCTTATAACCTGACCAGGACGCTACTAAACCTTATAACCTGACCAGGACGCTGCTAAACCTTATAACCTGACCAGGACGCTACTAAACCTTATAACCTGACCAGGACGCTACTAAACCTTATAACCTGACCAGGACGCTGCTAAACCTTATAACCTGACCAGGACGCTACTAAACCTTATAACCTGACCAGAACGCTGCTAAACCTTATAACCTGACCAGGACGCTACTAAACCTTATAACCTGACCAGGACGGTACTAAACCTTATAACCTGACCAGGACGCTACTAAACCTTATAACCTGACCAGGACGCTACTAAACCTTATAACCTGACCAGGACGCTACTAAACCTTATAACCTGACCAGGACGCTACTAAACCTTATAACCTGACCAGGACGCTACTAAACCTTATAACCTGACCAGGACGCTACTAAACCTTATAACCTGACCAGGACGCTGCTAAACCTTATAACCTGACCAGGACGCTACTAAACCTTATAACCTGACCAGAACGCTGCTAAACCTTATAACCTGACCAGGACGCTACTAAACCTTATAACCTGACCAGGACGCTACTAAACCTTATAACCTGACCAGGACGCTACTAAACCTTATAACCTGACCAGGACGCTACTAAACCTTATAACCTGACCAGGACGCTACTAAACCTTATAACCTGACCAGGACGCTACTAAACCTTATAACCTGACCAGGACGCTGCTAAACCTTATAACCTGACCAGGACGCTACTAAAGCTTATAACCTGACCAGGACGCTGCTAAACCTTATAACCTGACCAGGACGCTGCTAAAGCTTATAACCTGACCAGGACGCTACTAAACCTTATAACCTGACCAGGACGCTACTAAACCTTATAACCTGACCAGGACGCTGCTAAACCTTATAACCTGACCAGGACGCTACTAAACCTTATAACCTGACCAGGACGCTACTAAACCTTATAACCTGACCAGGACGCTGCTAAACCTTATAACCTGACCAGGACGCTACTAAACCTTATAACCTGACCAGGACGCTGCTAAACCTTATAACCTGACCAGGACGCTACTAAACCTTATAACCTGACCAGGACGCTACTAAACCTTATAACCTGACCAGGACGCTACTAAACCTTATAACCTGACCAGGACGCTACTAAACCTTATAACCTGACCAGGACGCTACTAAACCTTATAACCTGACCAGGACGCTGCTAAACCTTATAACCTGACCAGGACGCTGCTAAACCTTATAACCTGACCAGGACGCTGCTGAACCTTATAACCTGACCAGGACGCTGCTAAACCTTATAACCTGACCAGGACGCTGCTAAACCTTATAACCTGACCAGGACGCTGCTAAACCTTATAACCTGACCAGGACGCTACTAAACCTTATAACCTGACCAGGACGCTACTAAACCTTATAACCTGACCAGGACGCTGCTAAACCTTATAACCTGACCAGGACGCTGCTAAACCTTATACTTACTTTACTTTGGTTACTTTGGTTGTGTTTATCCTCGTAGCAGGAAGGGTCATCAGATTTCTGACCACCTCGATGGCGAGTAGTCTACCAGGGAATTAGACCAGCTGCAGCTATAACCGGAAGTCGGAGGGTTGTCCGGTATCAAAGCAATAAACTTGGACAAACTAACTTTAAACGACTCAAACGTAGCTTCAGCTTTAATATTATCAGGCACTTTGTTCCACAGTTTTGGTCCTCTTACAGCAAATGAGCTGTCATAGAGTGTCTGGTTGCTCGAGGAACTCAACCTAGACAGGGAAGGGATGATTGCTCGGGTACCATGTCTGGATGTTTTTGTGAACCTTATATTGCTGCAATTGGGGACAACATTGTGAAGGATCTTCCACATCATCAGAATAGTGTACCGTTCCCTTCTGCGCTGCAGTGACATTAGCTTTAGATGTGAAAGCCTCTCCCAGTAGTTCATATTTTCCAGACCGCATATACGATCGGTGAATGTTCGCTGGACCCCCTCCAAAAGCTGGATCTCAGTCACCTTAACAGGGTCCCACAGCGGACAACAGTACTCTAGTAGGCTTCTGACCAAAGACTTATATAGGGTAGTCATTACGGTCCTATCACGAGTTTTGAAGACACTAAACACCCATGACAGTGTGCTTCTAGCTTTCTTGACCATATTACCGATCTGTTTGGACCAGTTCAGATCGCTTGATACCATAACTCCGAGGTCTCTAACGTTCTCAACGGGATGTAGTATTTCCTCGCTGGAGACCTTGTAAAGTAGAGTTTCCACGTAAAAAGGAAGTTCAGAAAAGGTACTTTTTCTATTGTGGAGATGATTCAGGAGCTCAAACTTCTGTTCGTGGAGCTTCATGTTGTTGCAGCGTGACCAGTCGAGAATACCGTACAGATCAGCCTGAAGCAGCAGACAGTCCTCAAAGCAATCGATACGTTTGGAGACCCTAGTATCGTCAGCAAAGAAGCTTACCTTAGAAGAGGTAACAGCTAGCTCTAGATCGTTAATAAACAAAATGAACAATAGTGGTCCTAACACACTTCCCTGAGGGACACCACTTAGAACCCTGGCACTGTCCGAATGAACACCGTTTAGGACTACAACCTGTTCACGGTCAGAGAGAAATGACTGGATCCAGCTTAGAAGTTTGCCGTGAAATCCGTATCTCTTTAACTTTAACAAGAGAAGGTCCAAGTCAACTTTGTCAAACGCCTTGGCGAAGTCGAGGTATATGGAGTCTGTGTCTTTCCCCTGAGTAAACCCTTCAAAGATGTCATCAAAGTGATCGAGCATTTGGGTCAAGCAGCTTCTGTTCGATCTGAAACCATGTTGTTTGTCAGATAACAAATTGTTGGTTTCGAGATGCTGAACCATGTGTTTCCTAACCACTCTTTCATAGACTTTGACTACATGTGAGGTCAGAGTAACCGGTCTGTAGTTAGCAGCATCACACCTGCTACCTTTCTTGAAAAGCGGTGTGACATATCCAGTCTTGTAGAAAGTTGGGACTATGCCTGTATACATGGACTCAGACCAGAGGAGATGAATCGGAACACTCAAGCTTGAAGCACATCTTTTGAGGAGAATAGCAGGAATACCATCGGGTCCGGGTGCAGAGTCCAGCTTAATCTCAGATATAGCTTCCACGATGTGGTTAGGTGTGAGTACCAGTTCTGTATCTCTGCTAGTGAGAGGTGGTACTGTAAATGTAGGTAGTGACTTATCAGGGCAGTTGGGGTCACTAAAGACAGAACAGAACTGTTGCTGCAGTATATTAGCTAACTCTTTCCGTTCAGTTACCAGTTTCTTATCACGGTTTAGAAGAGTTGAAATATTGTGCTTAACTTTAGAAAAAGATTTAGCGTATGAGTAAAAGTATTTAGGATTGACTTTAATTTTATCCACTGCTCTCTTTTCACCTTTATCAAGATGGTGGACTATAGCTTCCTTGATCTCATAGCAAATTAATCCAATTTCGTCTTCAAGTTTCTTGATTCGAGCTAGATCATTGGCACACTTTGCAGCAGAGAGACGGGTTTTAAGTCGTGACTTCTTCCTTCTCAGCGAATTATAAAGCTTCTGCTGGCCAGTTGGTGGTCGTTTCCGAGGAACATTTTCCAGGCATATATTAAGCACTGTCCGTGTAAACTCTGCGGGAAATTCTTCAAAAGTGCTTGCGTCTCTCAAGTCCTTCCAATTCACTCTGTTTAGGATCTCAGTAATCGGTTCGAAGTCTGCCCGATTAAAGTCTAGGGCTCGGAAGCTCATTTCGTCAAGATATGAAGCCTGAGCCTTCTCCATCAGACCAGGGTTAAAGGATAGCAGTACATTAACCATGTCATGATCAGATATTTCTGTTGCTTCACAAGTTACATCAGATACTAGCCGATCATTGTTACACAAGACGAGGTCTAGTGTACTGTTTCCCCTGGTTGGAACAGTAACCACCTGACTCAGCAGATGGGTTGACATGAAGTTTAGCAGGTATTGGGCGGAGAGATTTGAATCAGAGGTCCCACCGCTCATGATGTTTAGTGTTTCCCAGTCAATCTGGGGAAAGTTGAAATCGCCTGTTATAAAGACGTCGTAGCCACTAGGTGCAAGGTTCTCAATAGCGAATGTAAATCTATCTATTAGTTTTGAGAAACTACTTGAGCTTGCGTCAGGTGGCCTATAAGCAACTGCTATGCAAAGTTTAGCAGAAGGGTAGACATTAAAGATTCCCTGGCAAATGCTGTCGTCGTAAGTCTCCGACACCGAGACTGGGATGGACGACAGTGAGTAAAGTATTACTCCTCCGCCAACTCTCTTACTGCGATCACTTCGACAAAGTGAGTATCCGGGTAACTGAAGCTGGGCGTCACTGATATGTGACTTAAGCCAAGATTCTGTGATAGCAATAAAGGGGTAGAGCTGTCCAGACTGTCGTTTATCGTCTACATGACCAACAAGGTCATTAAGCTTCCATCTGCAGGTACTGTGGGCAGATGGATTTAAACTCCTAGCATTTAATAATAAGAGTGAGGAGAGAAAGGAATCTGGTGGTGTGGTAGCCTGGGCACACCTAGACTCATCATTGGGGGAGCTGATTGAACTGGGTAGATCATGGATGCTCCCATTGGCTGTGTGACAGTTTGGGATGGGGATGGGGTACCTTGATCCATCTTTTTCTCCAATGCTTCCAACTTGGCCGCCATCCCAGTGATCAAGTTTCGTAGCTCTAAAAAATCACTCGTGTTGGCATTGGCATCACTATTCTGTTTGCTGTACCTCTGATTCGTGTTAAGAGTGTTACTCTTAGGACGCTCTCCCCTCTCAGGACGCTCCTTTGTACTCTTTCTGGTCGACCGGGGGTGAAACTTTAAACAGTCCTTTTTAGAACACGAACCATTCTCAAGTGCAGTTCTACAGATATCAGGGTGAAAGAATGTACAGTTTTTACCTTCTTTACAACCACTCCTTCCCGTGAAACCAGATGCTCGGTACTGATTGCAGACCCTTGGATGAGTAGAAGGGCAAGAGTTCCCGTTGATCTTCTTTTTTCCACTGATTCCGTGTGGACAACTCCAGTTTAGGAACTCTTGACAAACAGTTGTGGCTGGTTGTGAAGAGTCTGTAGCTGCAGCTGTCGTTGCAGTGGCTGAACTAGGCGATAACACAGGAGATGGAATTTGGGTCGAAGATATCAAACTAGAAGGATTAAGACTGGAAACATCTGCTGAACTGTCCAAGGACTGGCTGTCAGCAGAAGAAACATTTCCTGATAGTGAAGCAGATGTGTGGCGTGATCTCTGTTTCCTAGGTTCTATAGGATCAATTAGCCCATGACATGTGTTACAGAGCCACACAAAACCTGTCGGCGTGTTCATAGCTGACAGGGTCTGATGTAGCTCTTTGTTTCTTTCACAACAATGTGAACCTTTGAAACATTTAAAGCAATTGAAAAAAGGCATGACCTCAGGATCATGATCAATCACGTAGTTATCACCGCACTCTCCACACTTTCCAGGCATCAGAGCCATAAAACCAAGATAAAGGCGATTGGCAAGAGATGACTTAGTGAAAATCTTAAAATCGTCCTTGTCAGCAAGAGCAATTCCTAGAAATTCAGCACAACTTTCAAGTATTCCAACCGTAAATTGATTAAGTCGCTGAAGGTTAACTGAACGAGACTGTAAACATTCAAAAGCAGAAATAACAGGTCTGATAGACGAGTTAGCTTTTTCTATCAGTTTCCCGATAATAATCTTGGTACTTTCACTGTCATTTTTCTGGGGATTCCCTGCCATGGTGTAATGTATACCCGATGTATTGTACAATAAATGTACAATGGCACACGTTCACTTATCGCAATTTAGCAACAAATAACTGATAAGCGAGCACTTAAAATTACAACCAAACAAAAACGATTTTCGAACAAAAAACCTGACCAGGACGCTACTAAACCTTATAACCTGACCAGGACGCTACTAAACCTTATAACCTGACCAGGACGCTACTAAACCTTATATCCTGACCAGGGCGCTACTAAACCTTATATCCTGACCAGGACGCTACTAAACCTTATAACCTGACCAGGACGCTGCTAAACCTTATAACCTGACCAGGACGCTGCTAAACCTTATAACCTGACCAGGACGCTACTAAACCTTATAACCTGACCAGGACGCTACTAAACCTTATATCCTGACCAGGACGCTACTAAACCTTATATCCTGACCAGGACGCTACTAAACCTTATAACCTGACCAGGACGCTGCTAAACCTTATAACCTGACCAGGACGCTGCTAAACCTTATAACCTGACCAGGACGCTACTAAACCTTATATCCTGACCAGGACGCTACTAAACCTTATATCCTGACCAGGACGCTACTAAACCTTATAACCTGACCAGGACGCTACTAAACCTTATATCCTGACCAGGACGCTACTAAACCTTATATCCTGACCAGGACGCTACTAAACCTTATAACCTGACCAGGACGCTACTAAACCTTATAACCTGACCAGGACGCTGCTAAACCTTATAACCTGACCAGGACGCTACTAAACCTTATATCCTGACCAGGACGCTACTAAACCTTATATCCTGACCAGGACGCTACTAAACCTTATAACCTGACCAGAACGCTGCTAAACCTTATAACCTGACCAGAACGCTGCTAAACCTTATAACCTGACAAGGACGCTACTAAACCTTATAACCTGACCAGGACGCTGCTAAACCTTATAACCTGACCAGGACGCTGCTAAACCTTATAACCTGACCAGGACGCTGCTAAACCTTATAACCTGACCAGGACGCTGCTAAACCTTATAACCTGACCAGGACGCTACTAAACCTTATAACCTGACCAGGACGCTGCTAAACCTTATAACCTGACCAGGACGCTGCTAAACCTTATAACCTGACCAGGACTCTACTAAACCTTATAACCTGACCAGGACGCTACTAAACCTTATAACCTGACCAGGACGCTGCTAAACCTTATAACCTGACCAGGACGCTACTAAACCTTATAACCTGACCAGAACGCTGCTAAACCTTATAACCTGACCAGGACGCTGCTAAACCTTATAACCTGACCAGGACGCTACTAAACCTTATAACCTGACCAGGACGCTGCTAAACCTTATAACCTGACCAGGACGCTGCTAAACCTTATAACCTGACCAGGACGCTGCTAAACCTTATAACCTGACCAGGACGCTACTAAACCTTATAACCTGACCAGGACGCTGCTAAACCTTATAACCTGACCAGGACGCTACTAAACCTTATAACCTGACCAGGACGCTGCTAAACCTTATAACCTGACCAGGACGCTACTAAACCTTATAACCTGACCAGGACGCTGCTAAACCTTATAACCTGACCAGGACGCTGCTAAACCTTATAACCTGACCAGGACGCTACTAAACCTTATAACCTGACCAGGACGCTGCTAAACCTTATAACCTGACCAGGACGCTACTAAACCTTATAACCTGACCAGGACGCTACTAAACCTTATAACCTGACCAGGACGCTACTAAACCTTATAACCTGACCAGGACGCTACTAAAGCTTATAACCTGACCAGGACGCTACTAAAGCTTATAACCTGACCAGGACGCTACTAAAGCTTATAACCTGACCAGGACGCTACTAAACCTTATAACCTGACCAGGACGCTACTAAACCTTATAACCTGACCAGGACGCTACTAAAGCTGTTCCGTGAGATATACTACTGGGAACGCCTCAAGTTTGAGATCCCCCACTACGCTGCTGAGGTGTACGCCAAGGAGGAGGATCTCAGAACGCTGAGAGAGAATGTGTTGTTGGTTGTTAGGGATTATAACAGGATTCTAGCTGCTCTGAATACCGAGGAGAGGGGTCTCTTTAAGGTCAGCTCAGAGATCAAGATATTATCGTTTGAGAGAGAGAATAGTGATATTTCCAAATGAATCATACAAAGCGTATTTGGTTGAAAGTTATGCAAAATGTTAAACAATTTGGCAACTCATTTGAGACATGTCTGATAACACTGCCTAACCACAATTCCTGCAGGAGCGTATCAAGTTCCTAGACAAGAAGATACACCCAGGTCTAACGAAGTTGACCTGGGCTAGCAAGGGTCCCACCACAGACTACTTCATGAACGAGTGCAGGGGACATGCCAGCAAGGTGCAGGCTATAGTGGACAGTTACAAACACGCTAACAGGTCCATACAGGCCCTCTGTAAGAAGATCAGTGAGTCTCTTCTCGTCAGCATTGATAGCAAGCGTATCTACGAGAGTAACGAGGTAAGTGGGTGTTATCCGGTGTTTTAATGGTTTTAGTAACGGTGTTAGTAACGATGTTAGTAACGGTGTTAGTAACGGTGTTAGTAACGATGTTAGTAACGCGAACGGTGTTAGTAACGGTGTTAGTAACGGTGTTAATGTGGAATTATGGAGGATCTACACTATCACGGTATCTAAAACAAAATTTTTTTTAAACAAATGATATTATAACCAGTTCCCAGTCTCACCCACTACTAAATTTACTACTTGTGTACAAGTTCACTATTGTAATGTTCCGTACCTCTTTAGTTCGAAGTAGAACAACAGAAACACCGAGCTACAATGCAGAGTAAGCTTGTTCACCTGCACGAGGAGATCATTGCTATCATGAAGAACACTTATGAGGTCTTCAAGAACGACGGAACTGATGTAAGTAACTGGTCTTAATATGTTTAGCTTGAAGTTTAAATATGGATGATGATTATAATAAATTATTAAATTTCAATATAGACTATAGAGTTTGCATTGAACATATATATGAATACGGGCCAACTTATTTTCGATTTGATTTCGGAGTACTAAAGCTAGTCCAGAATCCTAGGTTTTATGGTCTATAAATGAATGTTAATGAAATGTATTAAACAGGTACAGCTTCACTGGCACCGTTACACCGAGAAGACCGATAAGATGGTGGAAGAGGCGTTCAGACTGAATATCAAGCGATCTCTACAAGAGTTATCACGTGCTATACATGGGGACGGTAAAACTGCTCCCAACCCTCTTTTCAAAGTTAAAGTAGTGCTTCACGAGAAAGATAGGGTAATACATTGTTTTTGAGATTTCATACATTGTATTGTTGATTTAAATCGAAAAAGTTACCCCAAGGAGAAAAATTCTTATCTGAATTAGAATATACCTATACAATTCTCCGATGCTAACCATTAAATAGACTCTAGCCATTCTTAACTATCTTAATAAAATTATATTATCAGGTTGACTTCAACCCGACAACTAAGAAACTAGCGGACATGATGAACGTGTGTGCTAAGGATCTGACAACGTGTATCTCAATTATTCCTCGTCTTCCCGAGATACTATCCAAGAAGAGAGGACACAAGGAAACCATGGTAAGAGCAATTATTCAGATTATTGTGGAGAAATTATTAAGTAATTATGGAATAGTAACTGTTTAATCTCGATAAAAATCGTATCGTTTAAATCTAACAATTTATTATACTTAACACCAGTTAGAAAAACTGGAAATCTATAGATTATTTCAAAATATTAACACTCTCAGAAATCGATTGCTATGCTTTCAAAGCAAGAGGTAAGAAGTGATGAGTGAATGAAAAAAAAGTGATCATCATACATTGATTACTAACAGCCGATATTTGCATGTTCTTTTTGCTGAAAACTAGGGTCGGCTGTGGAAAAAGTGTCGTAAAACCTGTGCAGCTCCATTAATTTTCATTTAGGTCTATCAAACGACATTCTTAAGCACCTCATTTTGGTAGTTCATGCAGCTTATGCCTTCTTTTTGCTATGCTAGTTTGAAGTATTGGACAGTTTTTCAGATAAACTGCAAGCTGTTTTAGCTATATACTGCAAGTTGTTGCGCTAAACTGCAAGTTGTTTTAGCTATCTACTGCAAGCTGTTGCGCTAGATATTGTATAACCCAAGCCAGTTAATATTATTGACCATTTCCTGACCGTCACTCCTCACAAAGCGATTCAAAATTGATCACATATTTTGTTGCATTATCACTACATTACAAGCACATTACAAGCACTCTACATTACAAACACATTACAAGTACTCTACATTACAAGCACATTACAAGCACTCTACATTACAAGCACATTACAAGCACTCTACATTACACAAACAAAACAAAAAAACACACTCCCTAAATCTCTCCTCCCAGCCGATATACACCGTGATCACAGCAGACGACGAGACCAAGAAACTGAAAACACAGATCCAGCAGTGTATGGTTACCAACGCAGGACACTTAGTAAGCTATCTGCACACATGGGATAACTGTAGAGAGTTGTGGGATATCAACAAGGACGCCTTTATCCGCAGATACGAGAGAGCTAAACCTCTTATGAGCAAGTTTGATGCTGATATCTCCAGGTCAGTGGGTGCTGTTAATTTGTTGATGTTTGTATAATTGGGTTATTCATCCTGTTATTAATCCAGGGAGTTATGTTTTTCCTATACAATTCAAACTAACACTTTCGCCCATATTCACGACGTGAGTAAATACAGGATAATTGGGAGAGCTCTATCTTATTAGATGACGTGATCAAGATGTCTCCCAGGTACTCAGAAGTAGCCAATAATATCCAGAAAGAGGAGACAGTACAGACTATACAGTTTGTACTGCTTGATTGTCAACCTCTCAAGTTCGCTTTACTTCAGGTACAATCTCACTCACTTTTCATGTTTCATTTTACGAGGAGATGAAAAATAAGTTTCATTTAAAATCGTCCATAGCTTAGTTTGTTTGTCAATCTGTTGGAATATAATATGTATTATTAAAGTTAAATGTTTCAGCACTGTAATGAGTGGCAGAACAAGTTTACCACACTTCTTAGTGAGATGGCAACTAATAAACTGGACGATCTCACTATATTCCTCCAGAACAACTGCACCGAGTAACTAAACTGATAAATTCTTCAGATTGTTTCTATTTTTCGTTTTAATATCAATAATTAATGAGAGAAAATGCACCAATACGTTTAGAAAAGCCCACAATTGAATAGTAAAATTTCAGCCTGAGCAAGCCTCCAGAGTCACTAGAAGAACTGGGAAACAGTTTATCTCTGTTAGAGAAGCTGAAGACAGGTCAGGATGAGATAGAAGGTCGCTTTCCTCCCTTGTACGAACAGTTTAACATTCTCAGAAAACATGAGGTTCAGGTTGATGAGAAGGTTAGTAAGGGTTCTTAATTTTAAGACTTGTGAAACTTTGCAAGCAGTTTATAGTTTTGACAAAAAAAAGCTAGATTTAGAACTATTGGACCTAGATTCCTAACAAGTTATGTGCTCATTTGAAGATCTGCATTCTCACTAGTCATGAATATCGTTTATTCTGAAAGTTTATCTGCATCATCTCCCCTCTACCAGGTCCAAGAGAAATTAGACGAGCTAGGAAACGAATGGCAAACCTTTGCTAACTGTCTCCACGACAGCGACATCATGTTGAAGAAACACAAAGACAAGTTCAAGGCTGGACTCCTTCACTCCGCGGAGGAGTACAAGAAGAGTGTGGCTCTGTTACTGGACGAGTTCAATAGCAAGGGACCCTTCAACAGTGACAAGGAAACTAGCCAGGCTGTTGAGATCATTCACACTATCCGAGCCTCATCAGGAACTCTTAAAGAACAGGAAGCTACGATCAGAAAGGGTCTGAACATTTTCAAGATAGATCAGGCGCCCAACAAGGATGTTGTTGCTCTGGACCTCGCTCTGGAGCATCTGGAGGCCATATGGGAGATCAACAGGTATGAACAAATAATGGCTGAATGGCTTTTAATTTCGAAAAAAGTTCTTTTATTTTCCGAAATGCAAAATAAATAATTCTGAATATCTTCTGGAATCTAGTTCGTTCACAATTGGTGTTACTCCATGGTCTTCTGTTACGAGCCTTACTTCTCAGTGAGTGGACGGAGCTGTATAACGGCTGGAAGCTGGGCAAGTTCAAGGACCTCGTCACAGATGATATGGAGCTGGTCGCTCAGAAGATACTCAAGAGAATCGTCAAGATAGCTCGGGAAATTAAGGTGAAGCAAATTCTGGATTGATGATTTATTCTCTTCAACTCTTTTCATCTAAAAATTGCCTTCTTCCTTGATTTAGAATGTTACCAAAAACTAATACTAACCTCCCAGCCCCCTAACTTACAGGATAAGAAGTGGGAGGTTGCAGAGAACGTGCGAGGACGAGTGGAGCAGTTTAAACGAACCATGCCGCTCATTCAGGACCTGAAGAACCCGGCCCTCCGACCTCGACATTGGGTACAACTCAAGGCAGAGGTGGGCAAGGAGTTTGATCACGAGGGATCTGACTTCACTCTGGAGAAGATCATAGATCTGGGTCTGGATCAGTATAGTACGAGTATTGGAGATATATCAGGAGCTGCTAGTAAGGAGTTGTCCATTGAGCAGGCTATCAAGACTATCAGTTCTACCTGGGAGGCGATGGAGCTTGATATCAGCCCTTATAAGGATAGAGGTATATGATCTTTCGCATGTTTTTCCTTTAAACTTTGTCTACTTTAGCTTGAAACTTTCTTGCATGTTTTCTCTAAATGAAAACGTGATCTCTTTCGCTGTACTTTTAAAAAGATCAAGAATTCAATTTTAATCCAGCTAGAGTTGATTTTGATTCTTATTAAGATATTCATTGAGGCATGAGAAAAAAGCTTGTCATGATTTAGCATGGAAATCAGAAAGAAAACACCGTATTTGATCTGTCAATCTAGCCTCCATAGGTCACCACCGACTGAAGGCAACTGACGAGTTGTTCCAGATGCTTGAAGATAACCAGGTTTCACTGGCCACCATGAAAGCTTCAAGATACGTCAAAGCTTTTGAAGTCGAGGTATGAGTTTTACTTTACAGCTCTAAAAGATTCGCTATTTCCTATCTAATATAGATAAGAAACTCTTATTTTAAAATTTTGTCGTTAAAACAAGTTCAAACTTTCCATTTAAACACTACAACTTGTGTCAGGTCGACCAGTGGGAGAGAACGTTATCCCGGATACTGGAGGTGATAGAGCTCATACTAACAGTCCAGAGACAGTGGATGTATCTGGAGAATATCTTCCTGGGAGAGGATATCAGGAAACAGGTTAGTCTTAGATATTGTTGGGTTGAAAGGGAATGTTCCACAGCTATAATGTCATTGATCACTGGTATTTTCACTTTGAGCCTCAAAAATTCTCCTACAATTAAAATTTCAATGTAAACTAAACATCAAATTTCGATCAGCTGCCTCGTGAAAGTGCAGAGTTTGACGATGTTAACCACAACTGGAAGACAATAATGGATAGTTTGTCTAAAGATAGCAACGCCCTTAGGGGAACTCACCAAGCTAGTGAGTTTGAAATTAAGATTTATTTCGTTTTAGGTTTTTCTAATAATTGCAGTTATTTGCAAGACCCATTTAACAGCCCATCTTTCAACGAATCTATTAAAATCACATAATCTTCCATTACGGTTTTTATCGGCCAATATTGACTCAATTATTGGTTGACCTTGAAAAGTTAAAGGTTTTTCCCTAACACAGTACTTTACCTCAGACATGTTGGAACGATTGAACGACATGAACAACAAGCTAGAAGATATCCAGAAGTCTCTAGATATGTATCTGGAAACAAAACGGCAGATATTCCCTAGGTTCTACTTCTTGTCTAACGACGACTTGCTTGAGATCCTCGGCCAGGTAACGTAATGTTGTAGTGTCACTAGGACACTGCACTAGACACTTCACACTAGTAGTGTCTTCAAATGACAAATATTTATCTGTTAGTAAAGCTTTTGGGAACCTTGGATAAATTTAGATTGTCATGGTTTTATTAAATGTTTGATTTATTAATTACTATTAATGACTCAAAATAACCTCATTAGAGAGGGTTAAAACGCTGTAACGCAAACTTTAGATTAACCAATCTGTTGGTTAATTGCTGAGCGAGCAAAATACAATAAAATGCTGACAATATCACTCCTTTCAGTCCCGTAACCCAACTGCGGTCCAGCCTCATCTCAAAAAGTGCTTTGACAACATTGTACAGCTACAGATGGAAAAGGTACTTATCTTCAGACACTAATTTTACTGAACATATTTGTCTTTATTCGCCATCTTCAATCCCTCGCTTCAATTTATAACAGTGTCTAAATTGAACAACAAAATTTAATATGACTTGAGCATTTGCATTTTGAACAATTATAGAAGTATAACCATTATTGAATAATTATATAGCAATGATTACTGAGAGATCTCTTTGTTCAGATCGGTATTGACAGTAAGGGAGGTAAGATGGAAGCAGTGGCGATGTTCTCAGCAGATGGTGAGAAAGTTGAGTTCAACACCCAAGTCACACTGGAGGGACCAGTTGAGGTCAGTGTCACGTGACTTCTACATAATTTCATTTTTATTGCCAACACAAAATATTGCTATCTCTAAATACCGTTATCCTGACATATTTTTCATTTATAAATATTTCGGTTAGTTAGAAAAATTAGAAACGACGTCCGGCAATGCTGTCTTTTATTACTGAACAGCCAGATAGTGGTCAATGTTTCATTGATTAATGAATATTTGGTATGCATAATCACCATTCGATGCGATATTCATGATCAAGATTGACCACACGCAAAGAATTTTAGCGTAGGTGGCAACATCGTGGCACTCAGCCAAGTCACGTGGCCTTTGATATCTTCATTCGGACTAAAAGATTCTTAAAATAGTGATTGATTGAATTTTGAGCGGATTGATGGAGTATCAAGATCAAAAGAAATGCTAGCTGCTTTTTCTATGTGACACGCTTCATTCATACAATGTCAAAACAAACAACACATGATGTTTACCGTAACGATACCAGAAGATTAATCTCTAATTCATGAATTTAAACTAATTGATCACCAGGCGTGGTTGTGTGATATTGAAGACACAATGAGAGTTACACTGAGACAGCAGCTGAAACTGTGTAGAGTAGCCCTGAAGAAGGCTGGAACCAAGAGAGACAAGTGGACTAAAGAGTGGCCAGGTCAACTTCTCATAACCACCAGTCAGATGCAGTGGACACAGGTTCATTTAATTAGTTTATGTTTTTATGTTTTTGTTGTCATTCGCCTACTAACTCAGTAGATAGGTTGCAATTTTTTGATTCGTTTTAACTTTTAACTAAAGACTATCAATTAAACAATAATCAAGCATAATATTATTAGTGATCCAAGAGTTTAACAATCTTAATAGAAGGCTGATCAGACAATCTCACCAAACTCCTCCTCCTCAGGATTGTACTAAAGCGTTGAGCATGATCAAGGACCGTGGTGACAAGAAGAGTTTGAAAAGTATGAAGAAGAAACAGATCTCAATGTTGACCAAGTTCTCAGACGCCATCAGAGGCAACCTGACTCCCATACAGCGAGCTAAGATTGTAGCTCTGGTTACTATCGAGGTTCACGCTAGGGATGTTATCGATAAGCTGATTAAGAGTAACTGTAATGATGTCATGGGATTCGAGTGGCTCATGCAGCTCAGATTCTACTGGGAAAAGGTTAGCTTGTAACTGATGGTAAAAACCGCAGATCAAATGAACTGAATCATGTATAATATTATCCAACTTTTTGTTCACAAAAATCTCACTCAACCTAAAATGCACCCTTAAAGTAACAAAAAGTGTGTCTGCAATTTTGACAAAACTTTCTCCCCATTAACTACATCTCTACAGACGTGCCCCTTACAACCTCTCTTCAGGAGATAGACGACTGTACAGTACAGCAGACTAACACCCAGTTCCGGTACGGGTACGAGTACCTGGGTAATAGTGGCCGTCTGGTTATCACCCCTCTTACTGACAGGTGTTACATGACACTCACTACTGCTTTACATCTTCACAGGGGGGGCTCTCCTAAGGGTCCTGCTGGAACAGGTACTGTCATACCATGTTGTAGGATAGGTTTTTATTTTAAGATTTTAGTTTGCTTTGTACAGCGAAATTTCACTCTATTATTATGTATGCCATAATTTATTGTTGTTCTGAGGACTGTGCGCTGCGTTTTATTTCAATAAAAATCAAATTTTCATCAAGCTACCACGTGAATCACTCTGCTAAATTTGCGTCATAACAGGTAAAACTGAGACAGTAAAGGATCTGGGCAAAGCTCTGGGAGACTATGTCATTGTGGTCAACTGTTCTGAGGGTCTAGATTTCAAGAGTATGGGTAGAATGTTCAGTGGCTTAGCTCAGACTGGAGCTTGGGGCTGCTTTGATGAGTTCAACAGGTTTAAACTAAAATTAAAAACTAACTGAAACATATAATTTTATTAACTACGATAATTATATAGCTGCATGGTGCACAATTGATTTAGAACAAGTCACAGATTTGAAATCTTGAACATGTAATATCAAATCTTGCTGTATCAATTAAATATTATCATATCTTTTAACCACGTCCATCTCAGAATTAACATTGAAGTGTTGTCTGTGGTGGCTCAGCAGATCTTGTCTATACTATCCGCACTTGCTGCTGGTTATGCCAGATTTGTCTTTGAGTGCAGAGAAATCAATTTGGTGAGTACTTTTGTTACATTTTGATTTAGTCATGATCATGTTTTATCATCTAAATCTTCATCTAATTGGATAATACGTATACTCCGTTCTCCATACTCTTTGATTTAATTATTATAACAATTAACATGCAAATGGAAACTGATCACTGTTTATACATAAGATAAAACCTCCCCTCAGGTATGGTCGTGTGGTATCTTCATCACAATGAACCCCGGGTACGCTGGTCGTACGGAGCTTCCTGACAACTTGAAGAGTATGTTCAGACCAATCTCCATGGTGGTACCCGACTCTTGCCTCATTTCTGAGATTATCTTGTTTGGCGAGGGCTTCAACAACACCAAGGTACGATAAAGTGATCATTTTATTGTTCATTTTGTTTAAAATGCTGTTCCACACGCGCTAGTTTATAATGTGATCACTCAATACGTCTTGTTGACTTGACTAAAGTTTTGAACACTTGAAATTTCTAACCATGTCAAACCGCCGCCTGTACCTGGTGAATTACCGTTCCACAAACTAATCCTGCACTACTGTATGGCTTGAAGCGGTAGTCAGAGCAATCTCTGGTTCCAATATAGCTTCCACCCTCCAAGAGGAGCATGGCTTGCAAATCATATTCTTAACTTTACCGAGAGTTTGTTTGACATAATTGTTCATTTCCTCATTCCTGGTCATGTAAACTATCGGATTACTGGCTGAATTGATGGACATGATTATGTAGGTCAACATCTGCAGCATTCCCTCGTCTTTATCTCCTTCTTTATTTTCTTCTTTAGCTTCCTCTTGGTGCTCTGATACTATTCGTTCTGTCAGGATAAGCACCCAGGACAGATTGAAGGTAACAAAGATTAGAGATAATATCAGAACCATCTTTGTTGCTTTCTTGTTCCCGTCAGACCCTTTTGCAGCCCCTTCTGGCCTTATTTTCTTGAGAGCTCTGATCGAGATAACTGAGCAACCTATTACAAATAATATCATGACACTCACAACAACGAAAGAAACTTTCTCTGTCATTGAGATTTTACCATTTTCTTCATCTTCTTTGCCTTTTTCTTTCATGTAGGGATCGAGCATGACAAACTTTCCTGTGACAATGAAGGCTGCTACTATTGCAGCTGAAATGTAAACTTTTGATCTGCTTATCTGGTAGAGGGGCAAGTTGATAGCGATACACCTGAGAGCACAGAGAAAACAGGTAGCCAGTCCAGAAAGTTCGACCAACATGGCAAAGAAATTAAAATACATAAAATGCTTGTCATGATCTTTGTCGGAGCCGTTGTCGTCTTTCTTTCTGTCAGAATAAAGAACCAGTACCATTGCGCATACTGAATATAGACACAGTGTGATGTCCACAGAATTGAGGAAAACCAAGAATCTGTCGCCAATATTCCTATTCTTTCGTCTGAGGAAAAAAGATATCGACATAGTGTTGGTGATCGTTCCTATGCAAGCAATTGTGAGAGATATTGGCAGTCCAAATTCTATGCTGGCGTCTTTTCTGACACTTTCATCCAAGCGAGCATCATCATCATACTCTGGAACCATTGATGTATTGAAAATAGTGGCCTTCAACTTCTAGACCTATGCTAGCAAGAAATCTCAAATACTACAATCAATAATGATGACCTAAAACCGAGCTGAAAATGAATGTCGCATTGTAGAATTGAGAGTAATTAAAACTCCAGAATTAATCAAAACGTGGTAATTATCCTCGACTCGATCTCCACGTGCAAGTATGGCGCCGGATAAGTCCGGGAAGCCAGCTGCACAGAATTATAAGGTAAGAAATTACCTATTATCTACCTATCTTACACCTGCACGCTTGAGAGTCTACAGGTATATAGTCTCTTTTTGGGTTCAAGCTTCAGGAGTGCAAAATGAACATGGCTTGCAAATCATATTCTTAACTTTATTGAGGGATTGTTTGACATATTTGTTCATTTCCTCATTCCTGGTCATGTAAACAATCGGATTGCTGGCTGAATTTATTGAAATAATGATATAAGTCATGATGCCCATCAAGCTCATCGTTTCTGTTTCTTCCTTATCTGACGTAAAATATATCAGCATTGACACCCAGGACAGATTGAACGTAACAAATAGGAGACCCAATATCAGAACCATCTTTGTGGCCTTCTTGTTCGTGTCAAATCTCTCTCCCGCCCTTTCTGGCCTCGTCATACTTAAAGCTTTAATAGAATAGACAAGAACAATTATTACCATTAAGCTAACATTAATGAGAGCCAAAAACAAAGGTATCGATTTTTCAAGGCCGTTTTGAAATATGTCCTTGTAGTAATCTGTCACAGCGGGAATGAACATGACCCACTTTCCTGTTATAATGAAGGATGCTACTAACACAGCTGAAATGTAAACTTTAGTGTTGCTCATTTGGTAGAGGGGCCAGTTGATGGCGATACATCTGAGAACACAAAGAAAGCAGGTAGCTAGTCCAGAAAGTTCGATCAACATTTGAAAGAAGATGAAAAACGACATCTGATGATTTTCTTCCTTATTGTAAGGTTGGGACATGGCTGTCACGCCGATTACTGAAGAAATGCATATGATGATGTCCAAAAAGTTGAGAAGAATCAAAAATTTGTCTCCAAGGTTTCTGTTTTTCCGTCTCAAGAAGAAGTTTATTGATACAGCGTTTATGATTATCCCAAGGCTTGCAATAGTAACTGAAACTGGCATCCCCAATTTGTTGCTCGCTTCTCCTCCCTCTCCTTCATCACCAGTAAAAATAGCGGTATCAGAATTCATTGATAAGAGATTTTGTCCGAGATCCAAACTAGCAAGAAATCTCAAACTTTTTAATCAGAAATAACATGAGATTGAACTTCAGGTTTATTACCGTTAGCAATTTTCCACGTGCAACTCATCACTGGCGGTAGACAGCAGCTGCAGAGAATTATTATTGTCTCCAGCTACGATCTGGTAGCCAGATGCCATGACGTCATGGTGTGGCTAAGTTGTAAAATAATCTGTTAAAGCTATGGAAGCTTTTACTGTCTTTAACAAAACTATTTCATTTAACCCTACATAGAAAACAAAATAAATCAGCACCTGCTACTTCATTTTCCAGTATAGGACAAGGAAATACATATACATATCATATATTATACAGTTATACCCATTTAAGACATTAAACCTGACATGACTTAACTAAAACATATTTACTCCAACCAGTTATTAGCAAAGAAGGTGTTCACACTCTACTCGCTGGCAGTCCAACAGCTATCCCAACAAGAGCACTACGACTTTGGGCTCCGTGCTCTGGTGTCTGTGTTGAAATACGCGGGCCGCAAGAAGCGCTTACTGCCGGAGTATCCCGACGAGGAAATTCTCTTGCTAGCAATGAAGGACATGAACGTTGCTAAACTTACATCCGGTCAGTTTCTTGCTAGGTTTTTTGCTTCAAGGTTATTATTTGCGGTGGGAATTTCGTCATTTCAAGGACCCTGTCATGTATGTGAGTAAACTAACATGTCATAGAGTAATTAAATTAACCGTTCCTAATTTCAGATGACACCCCACTATTCAACGGAATAATTCAAGATTTGTTCCCTGGTGTCGAAACCCCGATCCTCAACTACGGTGACCTCCAGACCGCTATAGAGTCTCAGATCGTTGCTGATGGACTGCAGAAAGTGCCGGTTATCATTACCAAGATCATTCAGTTGTATGAGACCAAGAACTCTCGGCACTCTGTCATGATTGTCGGAGATACAGGTGAGGAAACAGAAATTGAGAAGATAGCACTCTACATGTACAGTCTTGAGTCTACAAGTGTAAAGCTCACTTCTGGAGGGATACTTCTCGTTATATATTATGGCAGTTTGTGGCTGTAGAAACATTCTCAGAACGCGCTAATATAAGTCGGAGTAGCTTAGTACATAGTTTTGTTTGTCTTGAGACGCGCAGTGCGCGCAATCACCGTTTCCATAGAAACAACGATTCTTTATATGAAAAGCACAACTCTTTTTGCGCGAACTTTAATTTCTAGCTAAATTCTCGGATTAAGTTGCCTAGCAACATGGATTAACCTTGAATTCGGGATCCAACACACTTGAGTTTCTATGGAGTAGGAACCGAAGCCAAATGACACCGAAGCCAAATCGAATTTCAAGGAACTTAAATAGTAACTCATCGTACAACTAGCTAAGCTGTAAACTAAGCCAATATTGGAAACCCCTTGATATTGGAAACTAACAACCAAACAAATATTGGAAACGCTAAACTTGTCACTTATTTCAGGTTCTGGTAAATCTGTTGTGTGGAAAGTATTAAAGCATGCACTGTCCAACATGTGGAAAGCTGATGCTAGCCAGCCTAAGAATGGTGTTAAGGAATATCCTATCAACCCCAAAGCTCTATCTCTCGGTGAACTTTACGGAGAGTTTGATCTCAAGTAAGCCATAATATATTTATTTTCTCGGAAGTGGGGCATGTTGTTATTCTAAGTAACAGAGTTGAGAAATATCCTGAGATACCTGGTTTTATTATTTAAGCTACCTGGGTTACTGATAATTATTCTAACCAACAACTCCCTCAGCACCAACGAATGGACTGACGGTGTCTTATCAGCTGTGATGAGGAAGACATGCTCTGAAGGCACACCAGACGAGAAGTGGATTCTGTTCGACGGACCTGTTGACACCCTCTGGATTGAGAGCATGAACTCTGTCATGGACGACAACAAGGTTCTGACCCTCATCAACGGAGAACGTATTAGTATGCCTCAACAGGTATCTTTACTGTTCGAAGTAGGAGACTTGTCTGTAGCGTCCCCTGCCACCGTATCTCGGTGTGGTATGGTCTACATGGATAGCTCTGATTTGGGATGGCAGCCATATGTGGACAGTTGGCTTGAAAAACAGAAGGATCCCACCACTAGATCTAATTTGAGGAGAATGTTCGAGAAGTACATTGTTCCTGTTCTAGATTTCCGTAAGAAGATGTGCACAGAGATTGTTCCCACGAGCACTCTGAACAGCGTTAAAAACCTTTGTGTTCTGTACGACTGTCTGGCTACTGTCGAGAACGGTGTAAGTACTTACGAAATGTACGGATCTTCAATGTTGAAGTATTGCAAAATATTATTTTATGGCATGGAATTTTCCATTTCTTAATTTCTACTTTGTTCTATTTCTAAGCGACTACTTCATGTTCAGGTGAACCCGAAGGACGAAGAGAATCACCAGAAAATGGTTGAGTTGTGGTTCTTGTTCAGTATGATATGGTCAGTCTGCTGTACTGTTACTGGAAACAGCAGAAAGGTAAGCCAGTCCCGAGCTGTTAACTTGTTAAGGACTCGTTAAAATATTAGAACAAGATTTTGCTCGTTTAAAATTTGCAAGAGAAGTTTTTTTCGGTTGTCAAAACACAGATCAAAATGTGATATTTTATGATGTGTAATACATCTATGATCTATCATCAGATTCATCAGACTTATTATATAACTTTATAATAATTAATAATTATTAATTGAATGAACAACCTCAGATAATGGACAACTTCATCCGAGAGTTGGAAGGACAGTTCCCGAGTAAGGATACTGTGTACGAGTATTACATTGACGTCAAGCAAAAGTTCTGGGTTCTCTGGGAGGACAAACTTCGCAGTGGGTACGTGGTTTTATTATATTAGAATATTCAATATTATATTTTATCTAAAATACATGATCAGGAGAATAATTTGAGATTATAATGAAGAATTAGAATCCTTTTAAAGAATTGTTCTCTGAGGTAAAAGCTATTTACCGTGCCATATTAACAATCTTCATACACCTAGGGAGGAGATACACGCCTACAGCTTACTACAAGATGTTATGTCCCAACAGTACACAGTGTTACATTCATCACAAGCTTCAAATGTGGAGCCCCTTATGCTGTGGGCGTGGTACGGTAAAACTTCGTGTCAAGCTGTGAATAGCCCAAGCCACCTAACATACAAATCGTAGTCACTAAGAACTACAAAATGTTCATATCATAATAGTTTAAGAGACAAGAGTTCGTTGATAGAAAAAGACTTCTACTTTGCGACTTCAACATGCTCAAAATGATTTCTCCCAGATCGACATGGAGTGCTAACGGAGAACAATGATTGAGTTTAGGTATGTATCTGTTGACGAAAAGCGAATGGTAGGACAAGGGAATGCGTGAACGTGGGTCCAAAGGTGAATGAGATTGTTCTCAAGGTTCACCTTATGTTATAACGGAGGCTCAGTTGAGGATGTTCGACTCAGAGTAAACCAAATACACTTTGAAGACTGAACCTTAGCAACATATCACATACCATAGGTGTAAAATCCCGTTGTAAATTTAAATGTTCCCACCTATACATTATTACTTGATACTAAAAAACGTTTGATAGTTCTAACTCACATCTCATGTTATGTAGGTTAGAACTCTAAATAACATCTTCAGTCTTCGCAATTTTTTTAACGTTGGTGGCTTTGGTAATATCTCAAATTCTAAATTGGGTTCTGACCATCTTGAACGTTATAATGATAGCAACAAGCTGATATTTGGTGAGTTTAAAGGAAGTAGCTACTAGGTGTCCGATGCTATCAGTGACTTCACGATTCAACCAATATAAAATATAACAATTTGACAGGATAATCATACACAACGTCATCGACCATGACCTTGTCCTTTCAGTGATAATGGACAAAATTTCAGAAGTAGTATTATACGGTTCCTATAAACATGTTGCTTGTATATGCCACACAAGTTTTAGCTAGCTGGCGCACAACATATCTCAGTTCAAAGTGTAGATAATGTTCTGACTAGAACTAGATTCAAATCTAGATTTGTACTTGCTGGTAAATAATAAGTCCGTACTGTCTCCCTATTTACGATACTCAATATCACGGAGTCTGTTGGTAAAATGTTCTCGGGGTTTGATACCCGTTTCTAGTCATAAGACGGTCTAAAAATGCTGTATGAATGTTCTCTCTCCTGAGGTCCTGACGAGATCTTGTCCGCTTCTTTATACAGGTTGATCACGGTGTTCGTCTTCACAGATTCTGGGTGACATGAATTCTTGTGAAGTGTGATGTCTTTCTGCTGTGGCTTACGGTACAAGCGGCTCGTCACAGTTCCATCAGGTTCCACTCTAAGCTCTGTGTTAAGGAATGGGATGAACTCTTGGTCGTTCTCCGGAAACTCTACCTCCCACTTGAGTTTCTTGTCAGGGTCCTGGTCTGCGATACTCTGAACAAGTGCTAGAGCTTCTTCTCTTGTTACAGCTGTGCTGGTGGCGTCGTCAATGTACCGCTTGTAGAAGTCAGATAAGTAGACCGACAAGTAATGTAAGTCAGTGTAAACCGAGCTTCTCTCAAACTTGTACACTCTGATCACTGCGCAAAATGGTCCCGGTCTCAATCCCATGAAAAGGCCATCCTGCTGTATCCACAGAGTCCCATTATACACAAAGTATGAACTAGTCAGGATGTGTAATAGGATCTCGTGAACATCAGTCAGGTTCAGTCCCATTTGGAACGGCGAAATCATTTCTTGCAGCTGGAGAAAAGTTGAAAATCGCAGAACAGAAACTAAATTTCTTTAAACGATGTAAACGACGACAAGTTTTTCCAGTCTTCATTTTGAACAGTTTTTCACATCAACAGTCATTATTTCCCATCTGTCAATCTAGGAATATACAACATCATCTGAACAGACTCAGAACAGTAGCATTAAATCAACATATTTCTTATCAGTATCAGATTATCGCAGACAGTAAACTTCATATTGCACAGTTCAAGAACACTCTATACAATACAGTTGAACAACACGTTTTTCATAGAATTATAGCCATATCAGAAAGAAACCAGATTTCTATTAAAGAACAGTATAAGATGAACCTACAGAACAAGTTTACTTGGCTACTCAGTAAATATTATCCACCACCGCCCCCTACTCCACCAACAGTTATTCAACCTGCAGCAGATCGCGTGACTACACTCAACTGTGATTCAGTTTCAGATAACCAGAAATCTGTTCTTGCACTTGGGCCTAATTTTGCAGTAACACCACATGTTAATCAGGAGTTCAAGGACAAAGTTTCCATGGACATTGCACAATGCGTGTTTAAGATCAGACATAAGCAAGCATTTGAACAACAACCAGTAGAACAGTCTATGGATGCAGAAGAACAGCCTACTAATACTCCAGAACATCATGAAGAAGCAGAAGAAGCAGAAGAGCCTACCTCGAAGAAGATCAAGAGGATTTGTCCCTTCCCCACACCCTTCACCCGAACCCCTGACCCCGCTTGCCCTGAACTTGAGGATAAACTCGCATGTTTCAACCGTTTTGTCCTGAACTTAGTGAATAACCATCAGTCAAAAGACAACCTTACTCGCTCACAGAAACAAGGCTTATATTCACTAAGAACGGATAGAACTATACATGTCTCAGTTTCAGACAAGTGTGGAGAGTTCGTAGTTACCACCAAGGATATTCATAGAACGCTGACGGAGAAACACCTAGAGGAAACTGCAGTTTACCTGCAGATACTCCCAACTAGGAAGGTACGAGGTCAGACAGTGACAGTTACGGAACCCACCGCCATCCAGAATTCACAACTCATAAAAAGAATGACCACTCAACTGGTAGATAGCTCCAATCAATTGTGGAAGAAAGTATGGACACAGCGAGGGCTCGATGATGATTATTTCAGACAAATCAGAGTTCCGGATCATGTTTCTCTTCCAGTCTTATATGTACTTATCAAGACTCACAAGAATTCTCCAGAATGTTTCAGAAACACCATCCCTCTGGAACAGGTGAAAGTACGACCCATTATCAGCTGTGTTGACTCACCCACAGAGAGATTGAGCTGGCTGGTGACAACCATCCTCAAACCATTACTGAAGGAAATACCCAGTCACCTTGGTAATCTCTTTGAACATCTGGAAACTCTTCGTGCAATTCCGAAAGAACAGCTAGCTGGCAGGAGAATCTTCTCGGCGGACATTTCAGCACTTTATACCAACATAAATGTCCAAGGTTGTATTGATGACGTTATAGAACTGGCCACTGAGCACCGGGAAAAACTTGATCTCATGGGACTGAACCTGACTGATGTTCACGAGATCCTATTACACATCCTGACTAGTTCATACTTTGTGTATAATGGGACTCTGTGGATACAGCAGGATGGCCTTTTCATGGGATTGAGACCGGGACCATTTTGCGCAGTGATCAGAGTGTACAAGTTTGAGAGAAGCTCGGTTTACACTGACTTACATTACTTGTCGGTCTACTTATCTGACTTCTACAAGCGGTACATTGACGACGCCACCAGCACAGCTGTAACAAGAGAAGAAGCTCTAGCACTTGTTCAGAGTATCGCAGACCAGGACCCTGACAAGAAACTCAAGTGGGAGGTAGAGTTTCCGGAGAACGACCAAGAGTTCATCCCATTCCTTAACACAGAGCTTAGAGTGGAACCTGATGGAACTGTGACGAGCCGCTTGTACCGTAAGCCACAGCAGAAAGACATCACACTTCACAAGAATTCATGTCACCCAGAATCTGTGAAGACGAACACCGTGATCAACCTGTATAAAGAAGCGGACAAGATCTCGTCAGGACCTCAGGAGAGAGAACATTCATACAGCATTTTAGACCGTCTTATGACTAGAAACGGGTATCAAACACCCAGAAATTATTCCAACAGACGTCGTAGTAGTATTAGTAATAGAAATAGGGAGGATAACAGAACAGTGCTTAAGTTAGATTTTATCTCAGACAGTATCAGTAACAGAATTAGGAATCATATTAAACAGAACAATTTACCTATTAAAGTTATATTTTCCCCAGCTAGAAAACTAAGAAATATTGTGTGCAATAACAGACCGTATGATAAGAGAACCTGTATTATTAACTCCTGTAAAATTTGTCCTTTATTAATAACTGAAGATAAAGATTGTGAGGTGAAGAACGTTGTGTATAAGATTACCTGTAAAATCTGTAATAATATTTATATTGGTGAGACGTGCAGGAGGGCACATGATAGGCTCGGAGAGCACCTAAGATATGCTAAATTTCCTTTAACTCCTTCTAACACTAGTCAAGCTTTTGCTATTCATTATAACAGTTTACATAGGGGGTCAGAACCCAATTTAGAATTTGAGATTTTAAAAACAGAAAGCAACACAGCTAGAAGAAAGATTGCAGAAGCAATGCTTATTTTGAAGTTCAAACCTAACATTAACAAGAGAGATGAGTTAGAAACTATCAAACGTTTTTTAGTAACAAGTACATAATAAACAGGGTGTAACATATTTTATATTTTACAGACAGGGGATTGTCTACACATATGTAGTGATATTTAGTGATATTTATAGGTTTTGTTTACTTTCTGAGTACAGGGACCACATCTCACACACGCACACTTCCGCCTCCTATTCAACACACTAACCCTTATAACATCAATCAAACCATATTAGGCTCCCACGTTTCACACTTCTCATTGGTCAGTACGATTCCCGCCATTTTCACTCCACACTAGATACATACCTACACACTTCACATCATGCACCTGTTCACCGTTGTAGCACTCCATGCTTCTGTATCATGTGTAGTATATTTAGTAGTAGTTTTAGGAATGTACAGTATTTACTATAAAAGTTTGTCGTCGTATAAATTAGTTTTGTTATGAATTTTGTTATGACTTTTTTGTATCGAATTTTTGGATAAAGTGGATTGAATAAATTAATGTACACAAATTTTGCCTCAGATATATGTTTTTTACGTTTTGAATTTTTAACACTTGTTTTTAGATCATGAATACGATGTAGTTACATTGAAACGTCGAGTAATCTCCTTTCCCTAATAAGAGCATTTTTACTTGTCGCAACAACCGGGATAAAGATAATTTTTACCCAGAATACAGAATATTAAATATTATATTTTATCTAAAATACATGATCAGGAAAATAATTTTAGATTATATGAGAATTAGATATACTCTTTAAAAGAATTGTCTCCTGCTATAAAAAGCTATGTTACCTGCCATATTAACATATTTCATACACCTCAGGTGGAGATACAACCCTACAGCGCCCTTCTACAAGATAGTTGTCCCAACAGTTGACACAGTTCGTTACGAGTTCATCACCCAAGCTCTCATATCTGGTGGAGCCCCAGTTATGCTGGTTGGGCCTGTTGGTACCGGTAAAACTTCCGTCGCTCAAGCTGTGCTAGCCAAGGCCAGCACTAAACAATACGGAAAACTGGTAGTCAACATGTCCGCACAGACCACTAGCAACAATGTTCAGGATATCATTGAGAGTAGGGTTGAGAAGAGGACAAAGGGAGTGTACGTTCCGATAGGAGGAAAACGACTTTTAGCTGTTCTGGACGACTTCAACATGCCTGCAAAGGATGAGTTCTTCTCCCAGCCTCCTCTGGAGCTGCTGAGACAATGGATAGATTACTCCTTCTGGTATGACAGACAGAAGCAGATGGCTAAGGAAGTAAGGGACATGCAGCTGATAGCAGCTATGGGTCCACCAGGAGGTGGCAGACAGAGCATCTCCCCCCGTCTCCTCAGCAGGTTCCACCTCATCAACATGGCCTTCCCCAACGAGGCTCAGATTCAGAGGATATTCGGAACCATGATAAACCAGAAGTTACAGGACTTTGAGGAGGACGTGAAACCTGTAGGCAACATGATCACACAGGCCACAATAGAGCTGTATAACACCATTGTGAGCACCATGTTACCAACTCCCACCAAAATACATTACCTCTTCAACTTGAGAGATATCTCAAAGATATACCAGGGATTGTTGAGAGCTCATAAAGACTACCACGACACCAAACAAAGCATGATTAGACTCTGGATACACGAGTCCTTCAGGGTCTTCTCTGACAGATTTTTGGATATGAACGATATGGAGGCTTTCAGAGGTATACTTGGTGACAAACTTGGAGCTATCTTCGATACATCTTTCAACGCTATATGTCCCAACAAGGTCTCACCGATATTTGGTGATTTCTTAAGGGGAGAGCCAGGTGGAATCTACGAGGACATTACCGATATTAACCAACTTAAACAATACATGGAGACCACATTGGAGGATTACAACATGGAACCAGGAGTCATCGCCATGGACCTTGTCCTGTTCAGGGATGCTATGGAGCATATTTGCAGAATAGTGAGGGTTATCGGGCAGCCCAGAGGAAACATGTTGCTTGTGGGAGTAGGTGGCAGCGGACGACAGAGTTTAGCCAAGGTCGCATCATACATATCTCAGTTCAAAGTGTTCCAGATCGAAGTGTCTAGACACTACCGAACCCAGGAGTTCAGAGAAGATCTGAGGAGTTTGTACTGGATGGCTGGTGTAGAGAATAGTCCCACTGTCTTCCTCTTTAACGATACTCAAGTAGTCACGGAGGACTTTATGGAGGATATCAACAACGTGCTCTCTTCCGGCGAGGTTCCCAACTTGTACGCTCCGGATGAGTTCGACGAGGTGAAAGAGGCACTGCTGGAGGATGCTAAGAAAGATGGTATCTCGGATAGTACAGATACAATGTTTGCTTACTTTATTGAACGAGTGAGGAATAACCTCCACGTTGTTCTTTGTATGAGTCCTGTTGGAGATCCCTTCAGAAACCGTATCAGACAGTACCCTGCATTTGTAAACTGCACAACTATTGATTGGTTTACTGAGTGGCCGAAGGACGCTCTCCTCGAGGTCGCAGAACGGTATCTCGAGAAGATCGATCTTGAACCCTCCTTGACGGAGCCGGCCAAAAAAGAAGCTTTGATGAAGAGTTGTGCATCGATGTTCGTCGTGTGCCACCAGAGTGTCGTTGAAAACTCCAAGAAGATGCTGCTCGAGATGAAGCGACACAATTATGTTACACCGACTAACTACCTCGAACTTGTAACAGGGTATATCTCCATGCTTTCTGACAAGAGGAACGAGCTTGATAGTGCTGCAAAGAAACTCAGAAATGGTCTGTTCAAGATCGACGATACCCGAGCCAAGGTAGAAATAATGAGTGTGGAACTGGAGGAGTCTAAGACAAAAGTACTGCAGTTCCAAAAGGAATGTGAGGAGTATTTAGTGGTTATCGTGCAGCAGAAGCGAGAGGCTGACGAGCAACAGAAAGCTGTTATCGTCCGTAGTGTTAAGATAGGTGAGGAAGAGGTGAAGTGTCGTCAAATTGCTGATGCTGCTGAAGCAGACTTGGAGGAGGCTCTGCCTTTCTTGGAAGCTGCTGTTCTTGCCTTGAACTCTCTGAACAAGAAGGATCTCACGGAAATCAGGAGTTACAACAAGGCCCCTGGTTTGGTGCAGGACGTCATGGAGGCTGTCATGGTTCTCCGAGGTTCTGATCCGTCCTGGCCTGAAGCCAAGAAACAACTTGGTGATCCTAACTTCATTCAACAACTTATCAACTATGATAAGGACAACATGTCTGACAGAATCCTTAAGAAGATCGCATCATATGTTAACAAACCAGACTTTGTACCAGACGCAGTCGGCAGGGTCTCTATTGCTGCTAAGTCACTGTGTATGTGGGTAAGAGCCATGGAGGTATACGGTCGAATATACCGTGTAATTGAACCTAAAAGACGAAAACTTGCGGAGGCTTCGTCTCAGCTGAAGGAGAAACAAGATTCGCTCCAAGAGGCAAGAGATAAACTTCAGGAAGTCACCGAACGAATGGAGAACTTGAAGAAACAGTACGACGAAAAACTGAGGATGAAAGAAGAGCTGAGGAAGTCTTCAGAGCTCACTCAGTTGCGTCTGGAACGTGCTGGAAAGCTTCTGTCTGGTCTAGCTGGTGAGAAGATTCGTTGGGAGGAAAGTGCTGGTATACTTGAAACAAATCTGGGATTCCTTGTCGGCGACTGTCTTGTGGCTTCTGCTTTCTGCTCTTACATGGGACCTTTCCTCTCGGATTATCGAGAGAACCTTGTCAACAAGGTCTGGTTACCTGAGGTCAGAAAACTATTTATTCCCTGCAACCCTGAGTTCACAGTTTCTAGCTTCTTAGCCAAGGCTACTGACGTTCGTGATTGGAACATCAAGGGACTTCCTTCTGACAATTTCTCAACTGAAAACGGTATCATCGTGACAAGAGGGTTGAGGTGGCCCCTCATGGTTGATCCTCAATGTCAGGCTATAAAGTGGATTAAAAACATGGAGAAGGGTAAACTTAAAACGATTGATCTGCAGCAGTACGATTTCTTGAGGACTCTGGAAAATTCCATCCAGTTCGGAACACCAGTTCTTCTCCAGAATGTACAGGAGACTCTGGATCCTTCCCTTGCACCTATCCTGGACAAGGCAGTTATCAAGCAGGGTGGCAGATTGCTCATCAAGCTCGGAGATAAAGAAGTTGATTATAACCCAGACTTCAAGTTCTACATCACAACGAGACTCAGTAATCCTCACTACACCCCAGAAATTGCAACTAAGACTACTATAGTAAACTTTGCCGTTAAGGAAGTTGGTTTAGAAGCTCAGCTTCTTGGTATAGTGGTAAGAAGAGAGAGGATCGATCTTGAAGAACAGAAAGACAGTTTGGTGAGGAAGATTGCCGCAGATCAGCGCAAACTTGTGGAGCTTGAAGATGAGATTTTGAGACTGCTGAACGCTGCAGAGGGCTCCCTGCTTGATGATGAGGTGCTGGTAGAAACACTCCAGACCTCTAAGGTAACATCACAGGAGATATCAGAGCAGCTGGAGGTCTCAGAAGAGACGGAGTACAAGATTGATCTGGCTCGTGAGGGTTACCGACCTTGTGCCCAACGTGCCTCTATTCTGTTCTTCGTGCTGAATGATATGGGTCGCATAGACCCCATGTACCAGTTCTCACTGGACGCCTACAACCAGCTGTTCAACCAGTCTATCGATAAATCCACCCACCACAGCAAGCTGGAGGACCGTATCCTGGCTCTGAACGACTACCACACATACGCTTTGTTCAAGTTTACTTGCAGAGCTCTGTTTGAGCGTCACAAGCTGCTGTTCTCATTCCAGACCTGTGCCAAGATCATGGAGGCTGCTGGAAAGTTAGACATGGAAGAGTACACTTACTTCCTGAAGGGTGGAGTTGTCATGGACAGAGAAACCCAGATGGACAACCCTTGCAAGTGGCTGGATGATGCTTCCTGGGATAATATAACCGAGCTCGATAAGCTCACTAATTTCCACGGTATTGCCAACTCGTTTGAGCAGTACGCCAGGGATTGGCATCTGTGGTACACTTCCGCTGCACCTGAAGATGCAATGTTGCCCGGAGAATGGGGCAACTCCTGCAATGAGCTCCAAAAGATGCTCATCGTAAGATCTTTGAGAAAGGACCGAGTAGCGTTCTGTGCTACATCCTTCATCATCAACAATCTTGGAGCTAAGTTTGTAGAACCCCCTGTTCTTGACATGACTTCGGTTGTGGAAGACTCAAGCTGCAAGACTCCTCTGATCTTTGTTCTCTCAGCTGGTGTTGATCCTACCAGTGGTTTGGTTCAGCTAGCTGATGAAGTTGGCATGAAGAACAGGTTCAGTGCTTTGTCCCTCGGTCAAGGTCAGGCTCCACTAGCCACCAAGTTGATTAAGGAGGGTGTCAAAGAAGGAAACTGGGTGTATCTTGCCAATTGTCATTTGTCTCTCAGCTGGATGCCTCATCTTGACAAACTGGTGGAACAGCTGCAGTCAGAGGAACCCCACCCAGACTTCAGGTTGTGGCTCAGTAGTAACCCAACTAAAGGATTCCCCATCTCAATCCTGCAGGCTGGTCTGAAGATGACCACTGAACCTCCAAAGGGTCTGAGGGCCAACATGAAACGTCTTTACGGGTTGGTATCTGAACGAACCTTTAGCAGATGCAAGAAGCCTGAGAAGTACAAAAAGTTGCTATTCACCCTCTGCTTCTTCCACTCTGTACTCATTGAGAGGAGAAAGTTCCTCCAGCTCGGATGGAATATTCCTTACGATTTCAACGATTCTGACTTCGAGGTTGGTCTTCATTGTATTATTTATTCTTAATTTTTAACTGCCTTTATACATTTCTAATCCCTAATTATTTGCAACACAAATTATCGATTATCGATTATCTGCTTAGCAACACTTTCTGAAAATACACTACTAATACTAGTTAGTTCACACAACACATCTTTCTAGGTATCAGAGAACCTGCTGAACATGTACCTCGACGAGTACGAAGAGACTCCGTGGGATGCTCTCAAGTACCTGATCGCTGGTGTCAACTACGGTGGTCATGTGACGGATGAAATGGACAGACGTCTCCTTCACACTTACATCAACGACTTCTTCAATGAGAATGTGTTGTCTGTTCCGTTCTATAAACTTAGTACTCTGAACGATACATACTACGTGCCCAAGGATGGTAAGAAAAATTAAAACCTCTACAAGCTAGCACCAGCGGTTATACTGTGTCCTTAACTATCGTTATATGGCTACAAAAATCCATGATGATTCTGTGTTTGCACTTAAATCCATACCTGCTTACCTCAACCCCCGCAGGACCGTATCAGCACTACAAGGATTACATCTCCCTGTTGCCCGGCGTGGACCACCCAGCTGCATTTGGGCAGCACCCTAACGCTGACATCACCTCCCAGATACGGGAGACTCACATGTTGTTCGAGACTCTTCTCTCACTCCAACCTCAGGTTTCTAATATGAAGGGAGAGAGTACAGAGGACAAGGTCCTTGGTCTCGCTCAGGATGTTAAGGAGCATTTACCAGAGCTCATCGACTACGAGAACACATTGAGGTGAATATTACTTTATTAGATAATAATTATAATTATATTATAATACAAATTAGTATTATTGTTTCAAATTACTTGAAGCTGCATATAAAGATTTTTATGCACTTTTTTATAGTTATCATTGTGTGTTTTAGTCTTACTATAAATCATTGTTAAATTTATTTTATTGTCAGTTTTTTGAGGTCTAAAACCATATTTTGTCAGTATTCTGGCAGAAGAACGCCACACACCTATGGGAGTTGTCTTGTTGCAGGAAATTCTCCGTTACAATCATCTTGTAACACAAATATCTAACTCTCTAGTAGATCTGGAGAAAGGAATTAAAGGTTTGTATTAATCAATTGATTTACAAAAAATCGTCTTGCTTTGCTATACAGCCCACAATTCAATTAACGGTAGTAGTCTGTAAATTTGTATATAATCGGTACTGGTTACCGAATATCAGTAGCCTATAAAATCTGATGAGTGATGAATAATGACAACTCAATATGACCCATGCTTACTAATTACCAGTGACTAATAGTAATCTGACCACTTCAATATCTAACCTCCCCTCTCCCCAGGTCTGGTGGTAATGTCAGAGGATCTAGAGGAGATATTCAGGTGTATTAACGAGGCAAGGGTTCCTAAGATGTGGTCCAAAACTTACCCCTCACAGAAACCCCTGGGAGCTTGGACACGTGATCTTGTTAATAGAGTAGATCAGGTGAGATAAGAATATAATTTCTATTTGTTCTCTTTTTCCTATCGATTATAATTATAATAGTCCTGTAAATAAATTTCATAGACAAACTACAGATTTGTTCTCAGTGAAAGGATCTCGTAGTAATGAAAACATAGTATATATCTATATATTCTGAGGAATTTAATTCTCCCTTTGAATCAATCAAGCTAGATGATTTGTTGTAAATACTGAGATCAAACTATCAATTTACAGGCTATCGTCAAACATGTTGCAAGGCGACATCTTCAGTGACATAAGCCTCAAATTATTTGTTATATAGTAGTGTTGAAAGTATATATTCTGATTCGTGTCCCTGAGGAGACTTAACCTTTATCAACCCAACTCCTCTACGTTTAACTTGTAGCTAACAAGTCAAATCAACTAACTGCAGCTAACCACTCCATTAATTTCAGTTCTTCAAGTGGGCACACACCGGTACAAAACCACTCATATTCTGTCTCTCATACTTCACCTTCCCTACCGGGTTCCTGACGGCAGTTCTGCAGGCTTCTGCTCGTGCTAACAGTATCTCTGTCGACACTCTCTCTTGGGAGTTCATCGTTCAGGTAGTCATTTTTGTTTGTTTGTTCAATATTTGTATATAATTAATTATCGATATTAATATTATGTTCATTTCCTAGCAGCTTCATTTGTTACGCAAAAGATGGAATACCATATCACCACTATCTCCTTACTAAATTATAGTGAGATGAAGGAGTTTCATTTCAACAAATAATCAAATTAACCCCAGATATTGGACGATGTGAACATTACCGGACAACCGAAGGACGGTGTCTACATAAAGGGGATGTACCTAGAGGGTGCAGGTTGGGACAAGAAGAATTGTTGTTTGGTAGAGGCTAATGCTATGCAGCTGGTTTGCGAGATGCCAACCATCCACTTCAAACCTGCTGAACTCAAGAAGAAAACTGGTATGTGTGGATTATTTGGAGAATATTTCAATTTGAAGTATTTTGGATTTTTAAGAGATTCAAAGTTCAACTTCAATGATTGAGGTTTTTTTCCTGTTTGGAAATCAACGTCCAAAATCATAACACTTTTTAACCTATTTGAATCCCGAACAGTTTGACAATGTTATTTATATCCCTAACCCAAATCTCCCACAGGACGTGGTATCTACGCCTGCCCGTGTTACTACTATCCTGATAGAGCGGGGACAGCAGAGCGAGCCTCGTTTGTGGTCAGCGTGGATCTGAAGAGTGGGTCCACTGGCACTACTCCTGATCACTGGATCAAGAGGGGTACTGCGCTACTCTTATCTCTTGATATGTAAGATAAGAGGGGTACTGCTCTACTCTTATTTCCTGATATGTAAAAAACCATGTTTAGATACTTATAGAGTGGATAAAACTCTGGATTAACTGGAGATTGGAAATATTATTCCAAACTTTTTAAATATCGATTGATAGTGTGTACACTGTACTGTGTTACTATTTTTGAGAGCAACCATAATTTGGAGCTTTATTGCATTGATTTTAGCAGCATTGAGTATTATTTCGATAGCTTAATTTAATTACAGTAGTAGAAATCCTAGCAAAAATTTAGTGTAAAGGATCTCTTAGCATGCTTCAGTTGCGCAAGAATTTAAGTCAAACTGCCCTTTCCCAAAATTTAAAAGATCAGTTTTCATGTATATAGCACATACATATTGTTATGATATTATTAATGTTTGTAATATTTTATATAGCTATAATTAGCTTTTTTACTCATAAAATCAATTAGTGTATAGTTATATTATTTTGAGTAATTTATTAACTAGAAACATGTAAATTGTAAATATACTTTAAGCATGAGGAGTATAATGTAAAATAAATAATTCTGGAAACCATGTGCACAAATACACTGGCACACCATTGCACTGTTGTTCTCGTTTTACACTTTTTGTAGACGTGGTCTAATCAGCGCTGTGGTGGGCCAGGATAAACGTGAGCTTGGCGTTTCAAGGCTAGCCACGCTTGATGAACTTACATTTAAAGGGTCTTTCTAGCGATTTTAGTTGGTCGATTTAAGGCATCGATGGTACCTAGATTTCGGTCAAAACTATATATTTATAGCCTACTAGTGTTTAACTGTAGTTGTGTTTCTCTATATTAGTCGTTATTATTTTTAGAAAACGCTTGTTTTTATTTTATTAGTATCACGATTCTTAGTTATAAAAGTAGATATCACCGCCCAAGGAAAATGCAAGCAATTGAACTTAGATTCCCCTTAGATTCATGATCAAACTTGATAATGATATACACACAGTACACACACACCCATAAATTCCGTACACTGATGTATTTACCATCCTTCATTCGGTATTAAAAACGGCAGTAAAACATCCACGTATTCTGTTAGAAAAACAAAACCTAAACTCTAAATAATTTAAATAGTCATATTCATTATCTATCATGCATCACAAGATTGAGCCAATTATCCATTTGAGTGGCTGGAAGATTACACACACAAGTCTCCTCTCCCGCTGGATAGTGGTATTTCATTAACGGACACTCCGTCCTGTTGGCCGTTATCCGACAATCAAAAATCTTATCAAACCGACGAACATCTTTAAGCCAATGGTAGAAATACTTCGTAAACTCGAAACTATTCCCTACCATGAAGGTCTGTAAAATCCTTACATTAGTGCGCGGAAGTATTTCAGCAATCTTGTATCGCTTCTTCACTTTAGACACTAAATATCCAACGTACCCATCTTCAAAAGGTATGGGCACTTGTGTTACATTCTCCTCTAACAACGTTATCTTCTCAACCAGGTCACGTGAGATGATGTAACCTCCTCCCAGGCAGTATTTAAATGTTTTCTTGTAAGGGGTAGTCATCAGCTTTTTGTTGCAGTACCCAGTGTAAAGGTTGTTTCTTTGCTTAGCCGCTAGTCCTCTGAAAAGGTGTGGTAGGTCTATCAGGGTGTCGTGATCCACCTTCACAAAATAACTGTAGTTGAACAGCTCTACACTTTTCTTCATCCCCCTTAAAAGTTTCTCCGGGAGACTTTCTAAAGATTCTTCAATATCCATCATGTACATATCTTCATTTTCAGACTCTTCTTTAAATAATTCTTCCGAATATTCCCCATTTTTCATTTTTCCCACTAAAAACATGAGTTTGAAAGTCAGGTATTGCTTCTTTATGTTTTTAAATTCGTTGGCATTCCATTGAGACATGTTCAGCCATTTAGTTCGTAGATTATGACGCTGACGGGAGGATTTCGGTAAGGAAGGTATGAAGATGACAATGAAATAGTAGTTGTTTCCTCTGTTGACAATTTCTCCAAGAATCGAGGCCGAAAAGCTTTCAGTTTCTTTCGCCTCGTTTGTTTGATATTTGTTATTTTTTAGATCTTCAATAATCACTGGTCGTATGGTGTCCAGTATGCTGGTTAACAAGTACATGGTAGAAACCAGCACTACTACGAAAAAGAAGTTTTTGGCATCGATAAGTCTCATGACAGATTTTCTGAAGCAGAAGAGTAACATATCAACCAAATTACAGTATACCCACGATATGAAAAGAAAATATGGTAAAGTGAACTAAAAGTAAAACTAAAAGTGGTTCCAGCCGCGAGCTGTGACACAGTGAAGGTTACACATACAATTACATGACGCATGTTATTCATGCTCTCATGTTGCTAGTGTAATTTGTACATAGTATAACCTCGCCACATGCAAAGTGTACACTTCATCATTATAAACTTAATATTACTTTATCACCTTACTGAAGTGTCAGATCTTAAAAGGACCATGATCAATTGCAGGTTAGTGGAATGTATCACGCGCAGAAATTTCAACCCTGGAGTTTGGTGTGGATTCGGTACAATCTGATTATTTGAATCTGTCAAACGGACACAGTCACAAAACGAGGTGCCAACCTATTCATTAAATTGTATTATCAGTGGGACATGGTATAGTGCCCATTCTAATGTGCGCATGTGCTAGTACTTGTAGTTATAATTATTGTTGCTTCAAAAGTTGTATATAAATATAGCTATTGCAAGTCGTTAGCACTTATTTCAAAGTTTCTATAACCCTCCACTCTTCAGCTTCTCAGCCCAAAATCCCGCATACCCGTTTTTTTTTTCAATAACTCAAAAAGAAACCAATTTAGGAGTAATATTGATTCATAACTTGTTTATAAATGTGTTTATTGCGGTTAGGTATGACACGTCCAGAAGTGTTTAAAATGTTTTTATCAAAAGTTAGCAAAATTAGGTTTGAGCATGGCCAAAATCATTTTTTAGCGAATACCTAACTCCAAAATTAAGCATTTTTGGTAAATTTAGCTCTATATTATTACTATTTGTATATAAATGTGACCATTTTGATCATTCAGAGTCAGTACGATGTTCATACTTTCATACAAGTATATAAGGGGTCGTTCACATATTACGTAATCAGCCGAGGGGGGTTTCCAAATGATTACGCTAGTGTAATTTTGATACAATAGCTATGTGTAAAACTGATTACGGAGGGGGGGGGGGGGGGTAAAAATTGTCCAAAAAGTGATTACGTAATATGTGAACGACTCCTAAAAGAAGTTTAAATATAAGGGCGATTTCCGAGTCTCAATTTTTGAATTTTGGGCTCCGAAGTTTTCGGTTCTATAAACCTTTGAGAGTTCGCAAAAATTGTCAGCCCTCTACTATGAAATGGAGATGATTGTCCCTTACTGACCAGACTATATAATATGTTCTGGTGATATCAACTGCTGGTATGCTACAATGGTATAAATTGAAATAATTGATAATGGCTGGAACCACCCCTCAGAGCCAATGACTGACATGTTTGAATTTTCATTCCACTCTCAAACTCAAAATCTAAGACTAAATTGACGATGACTTGCATTTGAAATGTCGTGAACAAAAATCGGTCTGGGGGTTGAAATTTACTGGGATGAGACAGGTGCGTGGCTGATGAGCCTTCCAATTGGGGATATTAGGACTGCAGAACATTGGGTGACCATAACAACTAATAACAACTAACAGTAACAGCTTAATTACAATTACCTAACCTGAGACAGCTGCAATTATCATTACGTCTGAGCGTTGTAAACATTGCTCACTTCTTGTCGGCTGAGGACGGTGTTCGTCCCGCAGGTCCATGATAAACTGATACTCTGACAGAATTTGTCTGGTATAAATTTTAACAGTTTAACAGGCCTGAAATCAGACTTTTTTGTACGGACCTCTATGCTATAAAATGCACCACAAGAATTACACTATTCGCAAGAGTAACAAGCTACAATCTTTATTAATATTACATTTACATCATAGTTATTTCAGATCGTCAAAAAACACCTCCATCAATTCCAATTAACGTATGAATTGACGTCTGCAGTCGTTCTTTACCTCAAACTTCTCAGCCATGGCTTTGTTCGCTGTCGACATCTTCCCTTGCCGCTTACAGTTCCGTAATGGTTGCTAGATCTACCTCCATATTTTAACTGTTAATTCTACGAATGTTAGCTAGTTTCAAGCTAACCTCGGCTAATGTGCCATGCTCCAAGAACGTACTTCGGTTAACATGCAGCATGCATCATTACAGTACTACTGAAACGTCTGAATATCACATTGTAAACAGCAACGAAGTAGTGACGACACACTACATTCACATATAACAATGCCATCAGATGTTCAATTTTTGCGATTCCCACGTTCAATTGCATTGCTTGTTCAAGCGGTATAAATTCATTCTTTGACCACCGAGAAATGCTGTTCTTAATTATCATATTATGCTGGATAAGTGCTTAAGTGGTATTTTTATAACCATATTCCACTGTAAACCGACATTTTGTACCCCCAAAGCCCCAACAGCTGTGAATAATATTAATGGGAGTATATCTTTACACTAGTGGCTTTATATTGTTTGTTTGTTTGTGGGGCACCCACTCTACTTTAATACCTAAGTAAAAAGGCTCTGTCCACCTAATGCTCTATTTGGCTGACGTCTAATAGTAATAAAAAAGGCTATGTCCATTGTCCACCTTATTGCTTATGGGTTAACGTCTAATGGGGTCCCTCTGGTACAGTGATTTAGTAGCTTTATATTGATAGTTGCTCACTATTTTGATACGTCCTGCATGATTTTAACGGTAGATTGTTTATGATACAGATAATATGCTGATATGAGGCAAAAGTGTCCGCGGATCATTTAGATCGATTGGTACCGACGGATCAATCGATAATTTGGATCGCGTGGGCGGAACCTACGTCATGATGTATCATAAATGCATCATCTTATGGTCGATGGCTTTTAGGATTGATTGGATATTGTTTTATAATGATATCATTTTCCAATTTTAGGAGGGTGTCTGTGTTTTAAATAATTACATTCATGCCCGTGATTGTGATTCAAACTTCGGTTCAGATTAGATTTAGTGATAATACAATTAAACACGGATTGGCCATGTTAATGGGAGATAACTTTTAAAATAATTGCAGGAAACCATGTGCTATGCAGTGTTTAATACGTCAGTCACTGCCCACTACTTTAACTGTAATATGACTTGATACTTTTAAATCCTTATTCCTTTTACCATCACTAATTTTGTTCATTTAGTCATTAAAGGGCGCTGGTAATACGTTATATTGTTTTCCTGGCCTGATTTCCTGACGTCACAACCGATTATGACGAAAGTTCCCGAAATGATGAAATAGCACTTAAGCTACAACTTTAATCGAGTATATAAATGACCATTTTCCTGTAAAGTACTAGTTTGGAAAATGATCCCCAGCTCCGCGTAGCCAGTATTCTAACAACTTGCAACTGCATTAATTCTACCTGATTTGATTTTTTTAATTTCGGAAACTTGGCTCAACTCCATACGAGTACGACAATATTGAATTAGAGTTAAAGTTTTCTCGCTCATACACATTTCATTTGTCTTTCCGTAGTTTAGCTGTTAACATTGTTCTCTATTTCGCGAGGCTTTTTCTTGTTGTTCCTTTTTTCAATGCCATTCCTTAACGTTCACAGAAGGGTGAAAGTTCCAGAAATGTCGATGGAAGGATCTACTAGGATAGCTGTTTTTAACAAATACTCTCCTTCTATCACCAAGTTGTGGAAGCAGAAGGACAGGCTCAATAGATACAGTTCTAAGGTGATCTATGGCTGTTTTTATTTGCTAATTATACTTACTATTTATTACAAAAAATAGAATAAAAATCTTCATCACTTCAAATTATTTTGTTCGCTGTTCGGCCATAGAAATTATAAATCAAATATACATTTGCAGGGGACGCAAATAAAACTAGATCAGGAGAAAGAGACAGCAATGAGGGCATTAAACAGGACCCAGAATTTGTTAATGAAAGACAGAGGACAACAGTCTCGTCCAGTCTCCAGAGCCTCTACTCTGTGGAGCTCTCAGGAACTCAGCTGCAGGACCAGGTCTTCTAAAAGGAGACCTCTTTCAGCTAGAGTTAAATCTGATGCAGTACCTGGAGAGGTTGGTTGTGTGTTCCTTATACAGTTGATAAATATTAGGGATTCAGAGCTGTGCGTGTGTTTTGTTCGTTTTGGACGATGATAATTAAATTTTTAATCTTTCGCATAAAATTTTAATCCAGACTCATGAACCAACGCCCTCAAATAAGCAAAGAAACACGGCCAACATATTGTAACTCTCAGGAGATGGGTTTGATAGAAACGTTTGGCACATTGTCCGTGAGAAGAGAGGCCACGTTCTGTAGATCACTGAATCAGATCTGTAATGCTACTGAGAGAGAGAAACAGTCCTGGGACCATCAAGTTATCAGGTATAATACGTTTTAAGATTGTGTCAGTTATTTAAATGAGGTGGCATATCATGGCATATCATCCTACGTAATAGTAAATCACCCCCAGAAGCGGAACTCTCAAGTTGAACTAAGATCCCGAATCTTTATTTCTAATAATAATCTGCTTGAATAATAAACTTGAATCTGAGTCTTACTCCCCATCCATACTGATACATTAATCCCTCTCTCCTCTCAGACAACAGCAAGTATCTTTACTGGATGATAGGAGTATGGAGCTCATAGCCCCAACTAGGAGAAAAAAGGTATGCTAAGGACAGAGGAACAGTTTGAGTTAATAGCTGAGTCAATATTCCTTCGTTAGTACTGTAGTTATATATCAGAAAGTAGTGATTAAATCTTGAAACTATTCATTTTGGCTGCCCCACTTAATTGTTCCTTGTTCAGCAAATTACGTTCACTAATTCTCAACATCCCTTTAGACTACTGACAAGTTGGCGAGAAATCAGAAATGCAAATCAGAATTGTTAGCCGAAAGAGGTCCAGCGCCCAACCCACTATTATCGAGCAGATCACTCATTATGACGTCATCAATCTTTCTTACGTCATCACAGTCCTTCCAGTCCGAGGTTGGTAGCACCTAATTCAGCGAGCTTTATTTTAGCTTAGTAGGATAAAATAGAAAAATTAAACTTGCTGATGCTAGAGATACAACCATATTTGACTTAATGTAATTAGAGTTTTTCATTCTTGAACCATACTTTGTAATATTTTCACTTTTCACTCTCAGGTCCCTCGGTACGTCCGACTACGTGGAGAGCACAAGTCAAAACACGGTACAACGTGTAAATCATCTTCAAACGATCAGCTCACTCAATCGTCTGCAATTAAAATCGTTAAACCATCACCTCCAGAAAAGACACCACCATCTCCAGAGAAGCTGCTTCAGTCCCCGGAATCGTACAATCCTGATGAATACATAACAACCAGCCAAGAAGACTTGTGTGGTGATCTCTACATCCAACATTGTCCCTCAAGAAGACTCTCCAAGACATTCTCATCACCTGATATCAGGAGACTCAACTCTCCGTGATTTTATTAAAATGGTACCGGCCATGAAGCCTGGAATACTCAAACTATTAATGTAATATGCTTGATGTTTTCGATTTATCGTTCTCTGAAAGTTCGCAAGTTTTCAATTATTTTAAATCGTTTACGAAAGCTATTGACGATTGAACAATTTTCTCCTAAAAAGAAGCGTATAATATTGATGCTATTTTACAAGCTTACTGAAATTTACGTCCTGTTCATTTCGTGAGGAACTTTTTTGATGATTTCTAAGTGCAAATTTCATAGCATTACTACATGAACATAAGAATTTATAGAAGTTTGAGCTGGCTGCAGAAATCGTACTCAAATAAGCGTAGTTTTCAATTCTATCAAAAGCGAATGATAAAGAAGAGTCGGAACCGAAACTTCAGTTCTTCTTTTGAAGTTGATTTCACAAATTCTGAAAATGGACAATTTATCCGTAAACTTTTGTCCAATATTTTACTTTTGAGTTACATATTGGGTTACAGTTAAAAAATGTAATATTTGTTGATTTTACATCAAAGATTTATTATATATTATTATTATATATTTAAATGTTCCTGTATTAAAAATATCATGAAGATTCACTTGGAACCTGACTTAATGGACAAACTTTTAAACTTTTAAGCTATCTTATGTGAAAAGATGACGAAAAATACATTAACGAAGTTTAATGTGGGTTAACTACATGCGTACGAGAGCCCATCACGCAAAAATAGAAAGCTTGTTTATTTGATCACACTTTCACGCATCTTATCATCTGTACTGGGTCAACGATCCAGTACATCTGTACGTTGTTATTTTCACTTGTTCGGCTTGCTATTGCAAAAGGGGCTTCAAGATGTTTAAACTTTTGTTTGTTTACTTCCACAACTTGGAACAAATGATCTAAACAAAACACATCTACTATAAAAGTAATTCCATTTTGTGCTGTAAACAACAATAGACAGTAGGAAGAGCTAAAACAGACACACACCTATGTTTAGCTCCATTAAATTTAGTAACTTCAATAATAAACTTTTGTTGTAACTGTGATATTGTGCATTGTTTGCTTTGTACGTGTTGGTATTTGAACTTTGATGATTGAAATGATGTCAGGAAATAAAACAGTGCTTATTATTTACTAAAGCTAACTTAGCTAAAACTTTTAGTTTGCTTTTCTTTAACGTCCAAGATCTTTTATTAGAGTTCGTCTTGAGCTCATTGAACGCGACAATTTAATCTTAAACTTTAAACCTTTGGTGTAGTATCGACGAAAGTAATTTGTAGTTTATATTTGCATCACAAGAAGCCTATGTATGGGGTCGGGAGCCGGAGCTAAAGATAGACTCCAGGGAGCTTTCTTCATCACCCTCTTTAAAGATTACCTGTCAGGTAGGGATAATTTCAGTTTCGGGGGTAGTTCCAGAACGTCTCCTCGTTTTAGCAAACCTTTATAATAGCGTCGTAAGATTAATTACATCTCATAATAACGCTAATTCTTATGAGAATATTAATCTGTAAATATAGCCATAGAATAGTTGCAAGAGCCCTGAGACAATATAGACATGGGAGTGACGGTCTTAGAAATGAGCGTGCGCACATTATGCATACTACGCCACCTCGATTAAGGAACTAGGGGTTTCAAAAATAAATAAAAGGGGAGAGGCGATAAAATAAAATTATTGGCATAGTTTTTCTAATTATAGCAGTAATAAGGTGATACCCTTCTAATGTGGGAGATGACCCAGGAGGAGAACTGGTCCACATTTATTACATCATGTTTCCTCAATGTTGTGCTATATTGTGCTAATCTGAGACTGTCAGGTGCTATACCAAAGTACAAGACTATCGATGGATCGATAGAAAGACTGAACAGGAGAACACTGACAACTATATTCATCCTACTTTGTGAGCTACTCTTGATTTCACTCATGTAGTGTTTATAGAATTGTTAATATTTTTTAGTTCAAATAATTAAGCTAGTTTCAGTTGTGTAATTCGAAGAGTTCTAATTTTGAGTACATCCGCGAAGTTAGTCACTATCGTTGTAAATTTAATTTACTTTCTGGGACATCAGCCAATCACCGATCACGCTCATTACGTACATAGACCGAAAGGATAGGTTCAGAAATGGATGAATATTACGCCTGAGGCTCTTAACTGCAGAAGAACTAATTTATGAACATGTTATCCGTATCGAGTCAATCACGGTCGGTTGGGTTAATGTTTCAGTGCTTGTTGTGGAATATTCATGATTTCATATTTTATTTTATCAGGTGTGGTGGCAACACAAGACGGCATACTTGGAGCTAAGATCCACTGCAACGGTTTCGAAACATTCAAAAAGAAACGTTTTGTTAAGGTTCTTGTAATTGTAGTATCAATATTTTTAATAATAACAAAGATTTCATTTAAGTCTATTATATATCTACTTGCTAAATAGGCAACCCTCGACCATAATTAGAGCCGTAGATTATCAAAAAACTCCTTAGCACGAAAAGTTTCATTCTTATTCGTTAACATTTAATATTGATAGTAGTAAGAAAATACACTTTTTTACCCACACTATCAGGATTACTGTTGGACACAAGGTCTGTTCACTAACAGGTTTGCTTATCACAAACCTCCAGATCAGCTACCAGGACCGGGGGTCGTCCCTTGTATCAGGTATAATATATTCACATATTTCGCTAAATCATAAGCAACTTATTCAATATTCACTGTTGAATACTATTACTCACTTTAAATACCACTATTAGTATTATAATATGTAGAATCCTTGGAAGCACATCTATTAATGCTTTTCAAACTGTCAGCATCATGTAAAATCACATTACCACCAGGACGGAGGATGGGTATAGCTGCTCGGAGGAGGAGAAGAAGAATCAGCAGGTGTACCATCTGTGGTACCAGTGGGTTCCCATGTACTTCGCTCTGTCTGCTGCTGCATTCTATGTACCCCACATTCGTTAGTTACCTGTTAGTTACCTGTCAGTTACCTGTCAGTTACCTGTTTGTAATAGTTACCTGGTTTATTTGAGATATCACTTCAAACACCAGAAAATAGTGCTGTCCGGCAGAAGTCGTTGTCGGATAAAATTCGTGTTACCCCTGGTTTATACCCGACCTTTGAGTTTCGGAGACTGGTTGTTGCTTGTGTGCAGCCTGGCGGTGATCTGATTTATGCGGCAGTAGTTTAGTAGTTAGAATGTTTATTAATCTTTAGTTTCCAGCGAATATTTGCTGATCTAGAACACATGTTATCTACTATCGTGTGTACTGATATGATTATGAGAGACACAGTTCTTTTACTCAGTTATACTAATTTGTATCAGTAACAAAGATAACAGTCGTCGGGAAACTGTCAACGTTTGTGGACGAGTTACAGAGCCCAGAGGAACTACTGGGTGATAACGGATCTGCTATAAAACTGGGCAGCATGATGGCTAGATGGGCTAAACTTAACTTATACGGCAGGTAACATCAGCGGGATTAGATGATATTAACCTTCGTTCTCATTACCACCGCTATCTTATAGCTTTATGGTGTTGGGGATGTTTTTAAAATATTACTCAGTAACGACAAATTAAGATTAATCAGTAACAAAAAATATTGGTGAAATTGTAAAGTGCGATTATTTTCAGGCATGGGAATAGTCTCTTTTCTCAGTATAGAGTACCGATGATGGAGCTTATCTCAAAAACAGCTTTTCTTGCTATGTCTATCTTTCACTTCTGGATAACAGGTTTGAAGTCTACCATTTACTTATCGTACAAAGAGCTGCACAGAGAACTTTCTCATTAAATCAGTGAAATTTATTGATAGACGGCTATTGGCTTTACTCTAAAGCTCTAATATGATTTTTTTTAAAGAAATCTTTCCTATGTGTCGTAGATTATTTAAATATTCCATGCATTTGTAGTGATAATTAAAATGATTCTAATTAAATAAAGTAATGTTTCACAAACGATATCTTCACAGCTAAAATGTTTCCGATCGGAAACTACTACAAACTTGGGATGCTGTGGCATATACCCAGTACTGATAACTACACACACATTGGGGACGTTCTCTTTCCCAAACTGGCGGGATGCAGCATTAAGAAATACTCACTGACTGGTAAATAAAATCTCTAGCAATTATTTGATGCTTTTTTAGAAGCTTATTAATATGTTGCTTAAATGAAAGTATTAGATTCGAACTTAGATAGATAGTTATAGGTCGATTATTATGTTATGATGAAGACCGGTCATCATTGGGATTTAACACAGTACCAGATTACTTCACGGTACACACTACCAACATTTCTTTCTCAAAAGTTCACCTAATCAACTCCTTCCCAGGTCTGAACGAGGAGTCAGGAATGTGTACTTTAGCTCCTAATGTAGTGTTCCAATACCTGTTCCTTATTACCTGGTGGTGTGTTGTTATCGTAGCTGGTCAGTTACCTTATCGTTAGGGTGATCTGGTTTTACTTTATGTTTATAACGGTTCCTACTAAAATCTGAAATTTCTATGTTTCTAGCAAACGATAATTAATGATTTTACAAATGATGATTTTCAGCGTTGAACGCAGTGAACCTCATCAAAAGTGTGATAGTAATAACAGCCAATGAGTGTGGGTATAAGATGTATCGGTACAACCTTGAAGTAACCTATGATAGAACACACGGTGATCATGATATCAATGATGCGTTCCGTGGTAAGATACACAATGTGTAACTACTATAGTATGAGTATCTGATCTAGATATTATGGTGTTCCACAGGGTTTTTATTTTAAAACTTCTAGAGTTTAATCTAATGTAAATTTATGAACGCTGACACGAAATTAAATGACCACATGTGATCTCTCATAGATAGTATTCAGTTATCAAAAAGCTTTCGTTAAAAACTTTTCAGTGATTGACAGAAATAAGGAAATTGAGCTCCAGAACTAATAGCATAACACACTTGCAGGTCCAACAAAGGACGACACAAAACTAGTGTTTGCTTACTACGATCTCAGCAGTCAGATAGTGTTCCACAAGATTTCAGACAATGTTCATCCGGCAATCATGGCATTTGGTATCAAGTTCATAGCAGCACAAATCAAGGAATTGATGAACAAAGATGAAAATTTAGCAAACTTTATTAGAAATGAGCTGATAAAAAATCGAAATTCTCCGGTGTCAACACCGATGGAAGAACAACCAGGGCCCTCAGTGGGGATGCCACCCAAGGGAAAGAGAAAGGGTTATAAAAGAGTAAAAGATAATGATACCGAAGTTTAGTTAAAATAAAGGTGGAGTTGAGATTTTAAATTATTTTATTGACATTTTACGATAAAGAATGACGGTGTCAGGTACACCAGAAGCAGAATTATGATTGAATGTTTGAATTTTAACGATTTGACGAGCGATTCAGCGATCATCATTTTCTAAAAATATTTATTGAATTTAAACACAATAAAACTCGTGTTATGGAAACAATGTCATGATTATTTATTTGTACAGTTTCACAATGCAGGACCATTAATGATCGGAATTACCCTGATTCAAAATAATTGATGATGGTTAAATTTACATAATACTCATTAATCGTCAATCGACCGCTCATACACAGCCAAATGTTCAGTAGAGCAGAAACATCATAACCTTATACATGTAAATTATTATTATCGAACTTTATACAAGTCTGAAGTAGGTAGTTAACAGTAATCATCTTAAAGATCTGATAAGTCTACAACGAAGATCGGTAAAACATATTGGGGTTCTTTTGCGATAGTCAAAACGCTAGTTGTCGCTATCCATGGCGACAACTAGCGCTGGATGGCGACAACTAGCGCTGGATAGCGACAATTATCGAACATATATATTTTGCGCTGGCCAGCGTTATCCAGCGCTGGATAGCGACAACTAGCGCTGGATGGCGACAACTAGCGCTGGATAGCGCTAGCTGTCGCCATCCAGCGCTAGTTGTCGCGTTTTGACTATCGCAAGGGAACCCAAATTGGATGCGCATTAACTTAAATACTTAAACATAAAACGTGTTTATACATATCTTTAATATATAAACGTAATACATCTATGTACCTACATAATCAAATAAATTTCTTCATAAATTTCTCCATAAATCATATAAATTTGTAAGTTAATTAACGTCTTTCCTGTAAGTGTCCATGGTCAAAGACACGAAGATAGCAGCGTACAGCCATACCGGAACGAACGTCATTATCATGAACCAGGATACTGAAGAATGACAGTCTTTCTGTTTTGTTTTCAGAACTCTGGTCAGGTGCTCGAATCTGAGGATGGTATTGCCATTGGTAAGAGTAATTTACTCGTGGTAACACGTGGTATTGATAAATTAGAAACACGTTAATTGGAGAAAGAAAAAATGCTGCTAAAAAATGTAGCCAAGAACAATGACTGATGTGCCAACAGTCACCATCTCTTAATAGATTTCACTTGTTCTTGGAATAAAATATACGTTAAGTTAAGTGTTTAAGCGGATGAAATATGGACTTCTAAACATTGTTCTCAATTTGTTACCTGGAGGCTGTGTCTCTAATTTGTTACCTGGAGGCTGTGTCTCTAATTTGCTACCTGGAGGCTGTGTCTCTAATCTGTTACCTGGAGGCTGTGTCTCTAATTTGTTACCTGGAGGCTGTGTCTCTAATTTGTTACCTGGAGGCTGTGTCTCTAATTTTTGTTACCTGGAGGCTGTGTCTCTAATTTGCTACCTGGAGGCTGTGTCTCTAATTTGTTACCTGGAGGCTGTGTCTCTAATTTGCTACCTGGAGGCTGTGTCTCTAATTTGTTACCTGGAGGCTGTGTCTCTAATTTGTTACCTGGAGCCTGTGTCTCTTATCTGTTACCTGGAGGCTGTGTCTCGAATGTTGTTGACAACTCCATCTTGATCGTTATTCAGTTCCTCCTCCATGGTGAGGTACTCCTCCATGTTAACCGTCTCATTCATCACATCTCTCTCCTTCACCCGTCTCTCCTGAATCAGACACAGTTTCAAAAGGTGCATAGTTGTCTCAATGGTATTGGATTGTAGCCTATGTTTGTGAGGATTGATCTAGCTTGTCAACATAATGTAGCTTGCATTCGTTTTGGTAACTGGAGGGGGTGGAGTAAACATTTACCTTTTGAGACAGAGGTGCATCGTGGTCACCTTTCTCCCTTTTTCGTACAGCTGCAGGCATCCACCAAAGTTATACAAATCTACCTAAATTAGCTGGCAAACAGTTTTAGTGGAAGTGAAACACTGCAAATGTTATATGTTTAATAAAATTATCCACGTGGGTAAACACTACTTAAAGATACATAGCAATGATCTGCGTCGTAAAGCTAAACAAGTTGTTTAGTGTTAACGCAGTTGTTATAAGCCACACTGTCAAATATGAATCGGAGTCTCAGTTAGCAAATATAAATTTTAGCGGACACAATACATTCAAAATAAACAAAAGGAGCCAGCACACATGAAAAATTTGGCCTTGAATTATAGAAAGCTAATGACCTCAAATACAGTGATTACACTATAATTACACTATAATTACGCTACTAATCACACGCAAGTCTGCTCCCGACATGCGGAAATAGGGTCAGTATTAGGAGTAAACCAGACCACACAGCCTCTGTTTACAAGGGTCGGTTATAATGTAGTTGTATAATAGTGGACCGTTACCAAGTATTACTGGTCTCGCAATCTAGGTTTCCTGGTGCTATGGTTCTTCGTCTGAGAAATAGACAATAACCATGGTACTGAGTAGGAGACAATAGACATATCCTACTTCTGGGATTAGGAGCAAGCATTGGAGCGTGGATCACTTACGGGGAGACTTCCTGATTTACTGTTTATCGTGACGTCGTAGGGACCCGACATTTCAGTTGACTGGCGTTAAATCAAAATGCGGGTTCAATAAATTTAATATTTGACAATTTAAAAGTAAAAGATTCATTGCCACTGTAATGCCAGCGTATGTCAATATTTCTGAATCATGTCATGATTATTTAGGAGGAGATATGGGTTAAAAACTGTTCAAGAAACAAGACAACCTGCCAGTAAAGCACAGTTTAAGACAGTTACGGTTATGGTCATGGTTAGGAATTGGATATAAGTATGAAATACTGTTTCGGTAAGACCGTTCCGTATGACCAGATATTATCCGTAAAAACTCAAGTCATAAACATTTTAGGGTGATCTATTTTGTAATAACCCATGAATCATAGTTTTACAGCGGTGATGCTTTCCAGCATTTAAGCATTGGTATAAACATTAAACATAATTACACCGATATATTTATAGAATCAACATACTGAGTAAAAATACAACAAATAGCTTTGTTATTTTAACTGTTGCCAATTAGTAATTTGTCTTGTGTAACAGAAGCGGTGTTGCGTCCAAATTGAAATATATTTTAGTTTGTAATTTGTATATTATTATGCTATTCATATGAAAGTGATCATATATTTTCATTTCTTATATCAGTCTAGCCTCATTCTCAGGAATCTATCCCATTATAGTGATGGGAGGGAAAAGAGATGGGCGAGGATATGGGTTCTTCGATCATCAGTTTGATTTTGCCACCTCAAGTAAGCTGATTCAGATTTCCCCGATGTGTTATGTCAGGGAGCAAATGGTTTGGTAAAGCTTTAAAACACAGAGTTTGATAACACATAGTATTGCTCGAGATCTGTTCACCCACGTTGTCCTTGATATAAATAGCTATTCAAGATTGCTCGACTACAGTATTATTTATATATAAGATCATATTCAATCTTACCTACCGGCAAATTCAGTTTTCAGAAAATGGTTCGACAGAAACGACTCCATAGACAGCAACATAATAGAGAGGTTAAACACGCAGATGTTTTTACCTCTGGTTATGTCACTCCTAATTGTGTCCCTGTCCCAGGCCTTGGTGGGGAGCAGGCTCAACTGTTCAGGATTCGAAGACAACTTCCCTAAAACCTTTGTCAAGGTTTCTATTATTTTATCGTGAGTCCTTTGGAACTAATTAGTTTCTAGCTTTGTAGATCGTTCCACAAACCAATAATTTAGACTGACGATTATGTGTGATCCCCTTTGTAGGACTACTGCTGGAGTCAGGGTATCTACACAAACAAGTTTGCTTACAACATGCCTAGAGAGGAGCTACCCGCACCGGGGATAATACCTTGTGTCAGGTTCAGTCAGTTTTATACATTAGTTTTTATATTGGGTCCGACATTACCATTGTTATTTGAGTTTTGAATCGACTAATCCGTGAATCAGTTTAATACAATGATAAAACAGATTTACTATTTTGTAAACATGCATGCAACAAATTGTGCTTTATTCGTATTTTATTAATTATTTTGATTTATTTAAAATGATATTAACTATTTATTTAAAGTTATTAAGAAAGGATAATCAAATATTATAGTACTGAATTCGAGGCTCTAACAGGATAGAAGATGATTATCTGTGTACAGATGAGCAGAAGAAGGAACAATTGGTATACCATTTGTGGTACCAATGGATACCATATTATTTCTCTTTAGTTTACCTTGCTTTCTACGCTCCAGCAATCGGTAAGTCAGGGCCATCCAGTCCACTTTTGACGTCTAATTTGAGTTCACTTTAAAATGGGTACTGCTTAAATCAGCGATGCGACCTTAATTTTAAACGTTGTGTTACTAATGCTATACATATTTCATATTGATTATTCAACCGATTTGACCGGTTGGCATTTATTTGTATTTATATTTGAACGCTTCAAAGATTGTTTACCTTGTAAAAACATCTTCCAAACGAAGACTACTTTCAGTTGTGCGGTACAAAACAAAATTAGGAAAACTGAGAAGGTTCCTGACGTCAAACTTGCTTAATGCCGCGCCACCCAAACTGTACATACAAGGGGACCTTGGCGAGCCTGCCGTCATGCAGCCCCTATCTTTTTGGCTCATTATTGAGCTATCTCGACGGTTTGTTGAGTGCATCATTTAAATACAAATTAATTTCAAGCATGTTCTATTAAATCGTCATCGGTCATCCTACCCCAGTAGGTCCTTCTCCGCGACTCTGCGGCCAGTTCCGATCGTTCTTATATTTAATTAAGGGTCGTTGTTTCGGTATAAATATGAGCTAGGCTTGAAATGAGATATATAAATTATGAGTAGTTTACTAATACTCATTTTGAGGTGAGCGTGATTAAGTCGTAAGACTGGTGGTCGTAGGATATGACTTAACATTAACCACTATTCAGACGAGAGGGACGTTCTCACTTTTGGGAGTACTCAGA